AATTACTTAACTCATTATTCCCCCTTCCCTACAGCAGGCTATTTTTATTCCCCCTCTCCAGTCCATGTACCATTTCTTTCTGATCAGATCTTGTTCCTTCTGTGAGACGCTCCTCACATGTGCCTGTTCCACAAAATCTTTCTCCATCACCACTTGACAAAATTCTTTAGTCACCCTCTGAATCATGTCATCTTGTGGCATGTTTTATGTTGCCCTGAACTGCTATTTAATATTATTTACAAATTCATATCTTTTTGTTTCTTACTACCTGCATTCCATGGCCCCTTTTTGGTCCATTCTTCTTTAGTGAACTGTAGTATTTTCTAGTGGAAAAAAAGCAATCGTCCTGCCCTGCCCCCCCCCCCCCCCCCCCCAAAAAACTAAAAAATCGCCTTGGACAATTTTTGGAGACAGGTAGACTATAGTGTAGCTTAGTTCAGGTAACTGACATTTCTGTTTCTGTTTATCTTTATGTTCTGAAATTGTAAAAAAAAACAACACCACTTTTTAAGGTTTCTTATAATAGATATTAGTAACATGTTTTATCAGAAAGAGTCAGGAATTTGCAAGTTGGAGGACCTGAATTCAGATAGTAGCTGGGATACTGACTGGCCAAAGTCCTTCTTTGAGCCTTAGTTTGGTCATTATAGAATGATTAATGTATACTACAGGAGCTCTAGGAACCCTGCAAACTGTAAACACTGAGCCTTAAATGGAAGTCCCTTAAGATCTTACTCTTAAGTACCTGACTGGGGAGAGAGACAGACACAGAGAGAGATAGCAGAGGTAGTCTAGGATGACCTCTTCAAGCAGAGACTGCTCACTTAAGAGATTGTGTAGAGGTCATTCCATGTGGATATGTTGACTAGTTAGATGGCAAATGCTGTACCTTGGAGGTCTTTTCCACCTATGACATTTTCTAATAATGAAAATTAACTTTTTAATATTTTGTTTTGTGCTTGGCTGTGGATAATTCACGCCTTCACAATCCTAGTCTAATAAAATATTACTCTCTCTGTCATTTTATCATGCTTTCTTTGCCACCTTTGTAAATAACTCTGACTGTAAAATACAATTAAAATGTAGGTATATTATTTACTATTTGGAATTTTCAGTGAAAGCTTCAACTGGTCATTTATCAAGTGCTTGCCTTATTAAACCCCTGCTCCCAAGGAGCTTACATTTTTATCTGTTTGAATTCTGGATAGTATAACAGTCTTTAGTATAGTAGATTGTAAAACTCAGAATAATCTGCATTTCATGTTAATTTGTTTTTGTTAGACGTATTTGCCCTTTGGAATTTAGGAAGAAAATTTGTAATTCATTGACATGGGGGGGATGTCTCTTAACTTTTTAGAAAAATTTTCTAAATAATATTTATAAAGTCAAGATACCAAATATTTTCTCGTTTGGAAGGTCAGAGTTACGTTTGAGTGTTTTAGTTTTTCTCCCTCATGTCCCTGATATGACCCAGCTAGTTATACTAACTGTATCAGTATTTCCTGATCAGTGAATTCAGCCTATTTCTGTTTCATTTATTTTATTAATAGCATTATATTGAATTTTTGAAATGATTTTTCACTAATGACTATAAATAATGGAACAGTTTATTTAATAAACCCTCAGAAAACATTCATTTACTAGGAAGCTGTAGGATTCTGGTTCTCAATCTGTACCTTACATTTTATATGACTTTATTTTCTCTAGGTCTGTTTTTTTCCTCATTCATAAAATCGGAGGTGAGGTCTTGGGGGAGAGGGTTGATCTCAGCACAGAGGTCTATTTTATGATTCTTCTGCTGAGTTGAGAGTGGCGCACTGAAAAGTATTGTCAAATTAACGTGAAAAAGATATATTCCAATGCTTTAGAAACTCATAATGAAACTCATAATATTTATAATGCCTTAAAATTCCTTCTAATAGATAGTATACATTCATAGTACTTAGTGTGTTATTTGGCCAAAACTAGTCAGTCATAAACTCATACATAGATTTTGAGCTACAAGTGCCGCTGAAGCCCAGAGCAATCTGTGCTTTCCTGATGTTTAATCTGTTATTTAAAGTACTGAAGTGTTTATTTTATGCCAGGCACTGTGCTAAACTTTGGTGGTACAAAAGAAAGCTAATTATCCCATTATTCTCTCTCTCTCTTTTGAACTGTATAGTGTAGCCAAACTGTCCTACTTACCATGCCTTGGAATGTAGTATTCACTTTCTCTTCTTAGAATGCCTAGCTTCCTTCAAGTTCCCACTTCCTAAGGGAACCCTGCCCTTAAGTTGTCAGCCTAGTGGGCACACTGGACTTAGAGTCAAGAAGACCTGAGTTCAGATAGGACCTTAAAAAACTTATTAGTTCTGGGACAAACTTAACTCTCTTTGCCTTAGTTTCTCAACTGTAAAATGGGGATAAAAATAGCACTTACTTTGCAGGATTGTTGTAAAAATCAAGTGAGATTGCTCCTTTTATCCCTCAAAGAATTGTCCTATCTCTTCTGCCCTTTGTAGTATCTGCAATAGATGCCTACACTTTTGTCTCCTCTTGTTCTTTTTTAACGTTTTGTGGTTCAGCTTTCAACCTTATCATTCTACTGAAACTGCCCTCTCCAAAGTTAACCGTAATCTTACTTGCCAAATCCTCACTTACCTTGCCCTCTCTTCAGCCTTTGACAATATTGATCATTCTCTCCTCCTTGATGCAGTCTTCTCTCTGGGTTTTCAGAATACTACTGTCTTTGGTTATTATGCTCACTGACTGCTCCCTGTGTCTAGTAGATACTCATTCATATCACACCCTCTAACTGTCGTTGTCCCTCAGAGTTCCCTCCGGAGTCCACCTCAGTACTATTTCGCTATCTCATCAACTCTAGGATCTCATTACCATCTCTATGCAGATAATTCTCAAATCCATCTATCCTCTCCCAACTCTTCACTGATCTCCAACTGTCTTTCAGACAGGTCAGATTAGATGTTGCTGCCCACCCTTCTCCCACCATCCCCCCAGTCTCCCTCGCCTACCTTCCCAGCACCGTCTTCCCAGTCCCTCAGGCTCACAACTGAGGAGCCGTCCTGGATTCTTCACTATCTCTCATTCTCCCCCTCGAGGTCCAAATTCTTGCCAGGGCCTGCTTGTACCTTTGGAGCATTTCTTGAATAGCCCCCTTCTGTCTTCTGACAGTGCCCTAAGTCTCATGCAGGCTCCCATCACCTCAGGTCTCTGTCCCACTCCAGTCAACTCTTCATACATAGGTTCATCCTCGTCACCCCCTTTATTGAAAGGCTAGTGACTCTCAGTCACCTTCAGCATTAAATACAAAATCCGTTCAAAACCTTTCATAACCTAGCCCCCTCCTACCTTTCCAATCTTCTTTGATTCAGTGACACTGGCTTCCTGATTGATCCATGAACAAGAGAATTGGGGTAGACATTTTCTCTGGCCTTCCTCCATGGCTGGAATGCTTTCTCTGCTTGCCTGGGACTAAGGACCTCCCTGACTTTCTTTAAGTCCTCCTTAATTCGTGTGCCTTCCCTCCAGTTATCCAGTCTCTCTTACTTTGTCTATGTTTTTGTAGTAGTCTCCCCCATTATAATGCAAGCTCCTTAAAGGAAGCTTATCTCTTTTAGTATCCCCAGGGTTTAGCAAATGGTGGGCTCCTAGTAGTACTTAATGTTTGATTGATTGATCCTTTCATGTGCATATACACAATTATCTGTTTATTTGTTCCTTTCTAATAGAAGGTTAGGTCTTTGAAGGTCCAAACTGGGTTTTTTGTTTTGTTTTGGTTTTTGTTTTTTGTTTTTTTGCCTGGCACACACACACCTTCCACTCTTTTTTATTTTATTATATTTTTAAAAGGTCCACTCCTGTGATTTAATGGATGTAGAGAACATTTGGAGAGGCGGTGTGCTCCACTAATTCGTTATTACCCAATTTTCTGTTATTTTAGAGTTCTAGTTACCTAGAGCACTGAGAAGTTATGTCCTAGAAAGGCATCTTACAGAGGCCCTCTGCTTCTACCCCCTTGTTTTATAGATTCAGTTATCAAATAAACACTGATTAAGCTCCTACTATGTGCCAGGAATTGTGTTAAGTGCTGGGGATACAAAAAGATTGTCCCTTCCCTCAAAGAGCTTACAATCTAAATTGGAGGAGACAACACACAACATGAAGCTGAAAAAGGGGAAGGGGGCGGGGGGAGGGGAGGGGGGGGTCGAGGAAGAAAAGGTACCTGAACAGTGGAGCTTGACCAGAGCAGAGTCAAATTCTAGCATCACAGCTGGTGGAGGCTTTGGAAGGGGATTTTAGATCTGCCCTTCAGCTCTTCATTCTGGTGCTGGTGAGGTGAGGCCTAAAGCTGATGAAATCTCTGTGCTAGGAAGTTTTCTGATGCTGAACTTTTTTCTCTAGGAGCATGATTTACTTGGATTCGGCTGGTGGTACATGAGGAAACTGAGGCCTTGAGAAGTTAACTTGCCTAAACAATCACTTAGCCAGTCCCTGTCAGAATGTAGACTTGGATCCATTTTCTCTTTGCTGTGAAATCTGTTCTGTTTTCCTCTCTTCCTTTCATCTTGTATGTAATATGTACTTAATAAGTGCTAATTGGGTTGAATTTTTTCATTTATGAACCTTGTAAGGATTATTAAGGCAGCCCTAGAGTCAGGAAGACTCATCTTCCTGAGGTTAGATTTGGGTCTGGCCTCAGACATTCATTCATGAGGAGTTGAACATGACTGAAACAACTGAACAGCAATGGATTATACACAATATTGTCATTTTCTAAAAATCAAGAATCTATAAATACTAAGCAAAGTATCGAGTTGTACAGATGAGCAAAAGTTGTGTAAGGCTAGGTAATAATTTTGTGATGCCTGTGTTGATAAATGAGATCTCTCCTAGACAAGTTATTTAGCTGAGAATATGCCTAGTGAGTTTGAGTTTATTTACATATTTATCATCTTTGTTAATTAGGAATTTTATTAATATGGATTTCTTTTTTTCAGGTGGAGTCATTCATTTTAGATCAGGATGATTTGGAAAATCCAATGCTGGAAACTGCTTCCAAGTTGCTTTTGTCTGGTACAGCTGATGGTACAGACCTCAGAACTGTAGATCCTGAAACACAGGCTAGATTGGAAGCTTTGCTTGAGGCTGCAGGTACGTGTTTGGATCTTGAATCTTGAATTAACTCTTGGATATATTCAATCATTAAGAACAGTGTTTCTCTTTTTTTCTCCCCTTTTTTTCTTTTTCTTCTTTTTTTCCAGAGTGTTTCTTGAACAATATCTTTCCCCCTTCCAAATCATACTTTTAAAAACTGTTTCTTTTCCATAAACACTTTCAGTCGTCAGCATTGTGAGTTCAGAAATCACTGTGCTAAATATTAATGCTATTGTTGTTATTCATATTGAAATGTACTTTGATTTTTTTTTGAATTGATGCTTTTAAAAATTTGCTTCATACAAAGTAAAAGCATAGGATGTCAAGTCTTTTGTGAAATGATGGTAAACATTTTTGGTAAGAGGAAATCCTAGTCAAATTTCTAAAGAAAATTGAAATAGATATTTGAGCAATTTGAGTAAAGCAATTCAAGCTACTTAATGACAGATAGCTTTGTCATTAGGAAGGATGACTGACATAAATACTAGCTTTGAGTGACCACTTTTCTAGGCACTACCCAGTATTGTTCTATTAATCCTCAAAACAAGTTACAAATTTTTGGTTTTTTTTTTTCCCGGACTCTTGATTTCTTAAAGGAAGCTCTTCTAGAGGAAACTTCCACTCCCAATGAAGACGATCTTCAACTCTCCTCTTGCCTCCTTGCTCCTCTCTTTGCAGATTATTCTTTTAAACTTTAGCCTGCCTTGTCTCTTGCCTTTTTCTTTGGAGGAACACACTGACTTTTGACCAATTTTGTTTGCATTTAAGTAACTTGAATTTCATTTGTTTTTGCTTTTGATGTGTCCTCATCGGCCTGGTAAACCACCATGAAGGAATTGGCAAATTATCTACGGCTGATGGTAAAGCTTTTGCAGATCCAGAAGTGCTCAGGAGGCTGACGTCCTCTGTTAGCTGTGCCTTGGATGAAGCGGCTGCTGCCCTTACCCGTATGAGAGCTGAGAGCACGGCTAGTGCTGGCCCCACAGACAAGTGAGTGCATAAGGGGCTCGTGGTTCCCTGGTCCATCCTGTTAGATGTGGCCTAATTCAATACCCATAGGTGATTATTTTTGTAAAACATTTAAATACATCCTAACTTAAAACATCACCATCTTTAGTGTATGTAGAAGTCGTATGAAAGAATGGGTTTTTCAACACTAAGGAGGCATGTAAAGAAAATGTGATTGGTGCCTTTTTTCTTTCACATAATTTCTGACACCAGAAGGTTCCACTTTCATTCCTCTTAGTCTATAACTAAATATTTCTCTTAAGGAACAATCATCTGTAGATGTTAAGTTGTATTTTCTAATAATAACCTTAAAACTGTTGGAAAAGTGGTAGGGTGTTTTGAGAGTAAGTAAAAATAGCCTGTATGGAAGGAAGAAAGCATATTAAAAACCTCCTTTTTAGTTTCTACAGCAGTTTTCAGGACTGATATTTCTCTCTAAAAAAACCCTTCCCAGGCTGAAGATGGCTTGGGTGGAATACAGAAGGCCTGTTTTAGGGAAATGGATTAAGGAGTGGTAACCAGAATTTAGATAAGAGTCTTGGGCCTTCCGATCCTTCTAAAGAGGTACTTTGCCCCACCTTACTATTCCAAAGTGGGGAATTGATTGGTGGGTGAGGTAAAGACCCTTTTCGTTCCTTGAGGGGTGTGGCTCAAAAAGGAACCGAATAATCTCTTCATTTTATTAAGAGGCTGGACTCCTTCCTCTCCATTACACTACCATCCCTTTCCCTCCCAGGAGCATATATTCTGAGGAAATAAGCATGGAAACAAATACATACACACAAGCTGTAAGGTAAATTGGAGGTTGTAGCATGGATGGGGTAGCGACCAGCGAAATCATGAATGACTTTTTGCAGAAAGGTGGGATTTTAGCTAGGACTTGAAAGAAGCCTGTAGCCAGGAGGTGGAGACGAAGGAGTGAGGAGAGCATTCCAGGCCTGAGAGTCAGTCAGTGAAAATACTGACTTGGGAGAGTTTCTTAACGTTCTGCAAGGAGGCCAGTATCAAGGCATCATGGAGTACATATGGAGGGCAGTAAAATCTATGAAGACTGGAAAGATAGAAGGGCACCAGGTTATGAAGGGGGCTTTAAAAGCTAAAGCGGTACAGTGGAGAGAGCACGGGTCTTGGAATCTGGAAGACTTATCTTCATGAATTCAAATCTGGCATCAGGAACTTATTAGCTGTGTGACCCTGAGTAAGTCACTTAACCCTGTTTGCCTCAGTTTCCTCATTTGTAAAATAAGCTGGAGAAGGAATGGCAAACCACTCTTCTATCTTTGTTAAGAAAACCGCAAGTAGAGAGTTGGACACGACTGAAAAAACGGCTGAAAAACAACTCAAAAACTAAACAGAGGATTTTATATTCAATCCTGGAGGTAATGAGCCACTGAAATTTATTGAACTGGGGGGTTCAGATGGGGAGTGGGTGGGCCATGGATGTTTAGCTGAGTAGAGGGAGGCCAACCAACATGCTACTGCAAAAGTATAGGCATGAAGCAGTGAACTGTTGCTCCAGCATGGTAGTATGGAGGGAGAAAAGTCAGGACAGTGTCTGGGGTAGCAACCCTGTTTTTACTCTGAGAAGACCTTTCCAACCACACTAACAACTTTGTTGATCAAGTAGGTGAATTCATCAAACTTGAACCTCCTATTACAGCGAGCCTAGTAGTATCAGCTAACTTTTCTTTTGTGGTGGGATTGTACCCAGTTGATCGGTCTAGTTAAAAGATATAGACTGAAAACTAAATCTCAATATTAGGAAGAGAGGGGAGGCTTCCAGCAGGCAGTTTCCATAGACAAACTGCTAATTTTCTTTTCCTTTTAGTTTGGCTACTTACTTTATTTTACCTACAATCTTGTGAGCCTTCTAGGAACCCAGGCCATGAAATGCTCCAGCGGTGTCAGTGTCAGAAAAGAGAAGGAAGCGTATATGATACAAGATATTATGAAGATAGAATCAACAGAACTTGGATGCAGATTGGATGTGAGGGAGTGGGGGTGAGACAGTAAGAGATTGAGGAGAATGCCTGGGTTGCTACCGTGAGTGACTTGAGAGGTTAGGTTGGTGGTGCCTTCTGCAGTAACTAGGAAATTGGGAACAAGGGAGGGTTTTTGAGTGGGGGAAGATGTGAGTTCAGTTTTGGATATGTTTTGTGTCACATGTTTACAGGACTGGTTAAATTGATCTGAGAATCATGTGCATGGGTATGGTAATTGAGTCTTGGGAAGCTAATGACCACCCAGGAAGATAGAATGCAGGGAGAAGTGGCCTCCAATCGGAGCCTTGAGGGTGTGGCCTGAATGAAGATCCTTCTAGCACACTGAGTAGAGACTGGTTTTGGAATGTTAACTTTAAAACTGTTCTAATGTGATCTTTTCCTTGTTCAAAATTCCTGTTAATGTTACCTCAGATCCTCTGGAGTTAGAGAGTAATATCAGTGGTCATTGGGCAACTATACCAATTTGAACATCTAAGCTATAAATTGTTTTAATATTTGATTAATATTAAATTTTTTTAAAAAAGTATTTCTGTCTTATTCGTAAAACAGAGTACAGTATTAATAGTTTTTCTTTAACACTTGGAGTATTTTTCCTACTGTGTATCAGAATCTTTCTTTTGAAACTCCAATGAAAGTATAAAAGGATTATAGAATTGTTTACCAGCTTATGAATATAATCCATTTTGAGTAGTTTACCGATTGCAGATGGAACTTTTCCTCTTGTCCCCTTTATTCACCATCCTGTTTGTTTGATTACCTGTTATTCTGCTTCTGAGTACTTTTGCCTTCCTGCTTTTAGCATTGTTTCTCATTCCTAGTTTAGCATTTAGAGGTTACTGCCCTGCCTTAGTAATGATATAACCCTGAGAATCCTTGAATATGGTGCCTGCTGGGATTGGCCAGATTGAAGAGGGGAATCAAAGGCTTTTGTAGGGAATGTTATAGTGCTGATTCAAGTAGGTGGAACATAATATCAAGATTTTTCAAGTATTAACATTGACATAAATTGCAACCCCCATTTTTGTTTAACAAAATTGGTTAAACAGTATTCCAAGTAATAAGTGTTGCGGAATTTTTTTAAGCTTAATGTTTGCACTGATTTTAAAATGCCTTTTGCATGCCAGCCTTTTATTTACAGATTTTTAAAAATTTAACCATTTGCTTGAATCTATGCATTACTAATTTGTTACATTAGAGTAAGCCTTGCATGTAGGGGTTTTATTTCACATGTAGTTGCCACACATTAAAATTCATTAGAGACCCCGAAGAGAAGATACAGTTGCACATATCAGGAAATGTGACATGTCTTGATTAGGAAATATTGGCCTCATGTTTTTTAAAGAAAGAACCAGGTCATGGTAGAATGTAGGCATTCACAAACTAATTGTGATCTGTGTCACATGATGGACTGTCTCATTTGACTGGGGAAAATGATATATTTCTGGTCAGAAGTTCTCAGTATGCTTTGTATATAGTGAAATTCTGAAATTTCTTCCTCTAATAGTCGCAGTTTGGCAGAAGCCTGTTCAGAAGGAGATGTAAATGCTGTTCGAAAGTTGCTAATTGAAGGGCGAAGTGTGAATGAGCATACAGAAGAAGGGGAAAGCCTTCTTTGTTTAGCTTGCTCAGCTGGATATTATGAGCTTGCACAGGTTGGTACTTTGAAAAATAATAGAATGTCATTTTGTTACCTAGTTTTTGTTTATTAAGTAACTATGAAAACTTCCCCTTTCCCGTTTTCTCAAGTAATTAAATGTTTCCCTAAATTTTGCACTGGTAATAGGCACCTGTTAAATGCTCAAGAATTCCACATCAAGCACTTGGACACTTGCTGTTGCCAGCATAACCTTGTAACGCTCTTTTCCCTCCAAGGTTTTGTTGGCAATGCATGCTAATGTAGAAGACAGGGGCATTAAAGGCGACATCACACCTTTAATGGCTGCTGCTAATGGAGGCCATGTCAAAATCGTGAAATTGCTGCTGGCTCACGGGGCCGACGTCAATGCACAGTCTTCAACAGGTAATGGTTATCTCTTGCTCGGCCTTCCAGAAAGGTAACAGCCTACTATAGTAAGCACCTGTTAGGTTCAAAGGGTCATTATTAATAATGTTCTTTTACTCAATTTGTTTCTTAAGTTGCCCACATATTTGACATATACATAAGATTGTTCAAAATATTAAAATAAATTGCTTTCAGAATATGTTTTGAATGCAACTGCTCATTCATTTCTATGTTAAAAATTGATTTGCCAGTGACAGGAGAACCTGTTTTTTTGGGCTTGTTTTGGTAATATGTGGAGAACTTGTTTCTTCTGTTAACAGGTCTTTTGTTCTTGATTGACATACATTCCTGAGGCCCCTTAGCAAATTTTTCCTCTAAAATCGTATGGTTTTGAAGAGATTTGGGGGGAATAAAGATGCCTGATTCCATACTATATAAAACTATGGCCCATAATGCTGTGATAAATGTTTCTGAGACTTCTTGCTCTTAAGTCATTTTTTTTGGGCCAGATTACATAATTTTAAGGTCCAACAAATGCTAATTTCTCCAGAGAATGGTTTTGTTTGACCATTTCTTGTATTTCTTTTTAGAATTTTTTTACCTGTGCTTGTGTTTTTTTTAAAGTATTAAAACAATCCATAAAAGATTCATTGATATAAATTAGTAAATATAGTTTCAAAAACTGTTATTTTATATCAAAGAAAATATCATTTTGATGTGCTGTGAGACTTTTAATCCACGTAAACTTTGATTAGCCTGAGGTTACCAGTCATTAACCTTCCATAAAGTAGCAGTGTCTTGGGAAGAACAGTATCAACTGTTGTGTATGGTTAAAGTCTACAGAATCTAGTCAGTTTGTACTAGATGAATAACTTTCTAGAAAATTAAGACAACAAAGACTTGGTGAAAGACTAGCCTGTAGGACTTTTGTTGGAAAAAAGGCAAGCTGTTTTTGCCTTTTCTGAAGCTGACACTTTTTATTCTCTGATCCCGAGGACGCTCTCCAGTTTTCCAGATGTATCTAACTTAATTTTAAGCAGAGAAGAATTTAGGTAGTAGATTTTTAAAAATCCAATGTAGTTAGGATTTAAGACTATGTTAACTGTAACATTTCCCATACACACACATAGGTAGATAAATAGGTAAACGTACCATCTCAGTTGCTTTGTTTCTTGTTAAAATTTTTTATTTTAATTCCCTTTTTCCTTAGTAACTTTCCTCTTTTTTTCCCCTTACTAAACTAGGAAATACAGCACTCACATATGCCTGTGCTGGAGGCTATGTAGACGTTGTAAAGGTGCTCTTGGAATCTGGTGCTAGTATTGAAGACCATAATGAAAATGGTCACACTCCCCTCATGGAAGCAGGAAGTGCCGGTCATGTGGAAGTAGCCAGGTTGCTGCTGGAAAATGGGGCTGGAATCAATACGCATTCCAATGAATTTAAGGAGAGCGCACTTACTTTAGCTTGTTACAAAGGTATAGTATACAACCTTTATTTTAGAAAAAAATGAAAATTTACTTTTGATTTTTCTGGTATCAGATTATTTTTAGTAAAGAACAAAATTAAAACATTTGCATCCTATAGTATAGAGTTACTTTGTAAAAAAAAAAAAGTGCTTGAATTGGTTCTCAGTGAATAAAAATTGCTTGACGTATAGATTCAGGTGCAGAATTTACTTCACTTTCTGTTAATCAAAGGCAAACAAAACATAATGGAGCTAATCTTTGGACAACAAAAATTACTGAGTGTTTTTAATTCTGATCATTGTAGCCCATAGCATAAAATGGCCATGCATATTAACAATATATTGCCTTAATTTGACAGAAGACTTAGAAGTTCAGTTATAGTAATAACCCAGAGTAGCCTTTTGGTAACTGTGGGCATATAAATGGCATTGTACCCTGAATTTTTTTTTTTTTTTAAAGACTATCCATTAAGAGCTGAAGATCCAGAGGTCACTGACACTCAATATTAGTTGGTTTTGTGGTTCTATGAATGTGCTCACTGATTCGTGATAGTTGCAAAATCTCAGTTGCTTTATGGGAAAAATGAGAATCAATAGGGAAAGGAAACAAAAGAGATAAGAAAAGAGAAAGTGGAAGGGAAAAGTCAGTTGGCTACAAAATCAGTGACAGTGACTTTGGCATGTATTGAACCCTTTGACCCATAAGAAACGGGCAAAGCTTACAGTGTCTATGCTTCTCCTTGGCACTCTAAGGTATCTTGGAGACATCTGTGATGAGATAGTAAAAGCCCAGAGCTGGGAGCCAAGAGAGCAGTAAGTATTCTAGTCCTGGCTCTCCTTCTGACCAGCCAGTCACCCATGTGACCCCGAGTCACTTCACTTCTTTTCATTTCAGGTTTGACCTGATGTTGATGATGGTTGAAGCAGCTTTAAATTCTCTAATTCTGTGATTGGACTGTGCAGTGGGCACTGTCAATACTGGAGAGCTTTGCTGGGTCCAAGTAGCGTTGCGCCCCTCCCCGAGGATATCATTTGGCTCAAGGGCCCACTAAATACCACATATGTCATTGTAGCACAAACAAACAAGTAAATGTTGAGGAAGAGTCTGTGTATAGCATTGGAATAACCAGTTGTCGGTAGCTCCAATGTCTAGGCAGCATATTTTGTTGGGATAGATCAAATCTCAATTTTATTTGGCAGACCCTCTCCAAAACCAGTCCCAAAACAACATTGGGGTTGGTAAACTGGGGGTGAGAAGATGACAGTTGTTATTCACTGGGCAATAAAATCAAGCTAGAGTGGAATTCAATAAATAATTGCTGATGTTATTGGAAAAAGCAGCAAAATGGGGTTAGGGTTACTGTAGAATCCACACCACATTTCTTCTAGTGAAAGGGAAAGGGCAAAAACACAAGTTACTGATCTTAAGGGGAAAAGATTTACATATGCAAAATACAAAAGATTTTTAGGGCCAAATGTAGTAGAACTAGGCCATATAGGTTTTCTGGTGAGTCAATGGAACTGGCATTTCAGACAAATTAAGATGGATTATTTTAAGACTAGCTGTAGCTGGTCAAAATTAGTTCTTGAATAATTTTTCGACTTTCTCAGAGAACTCTTTACATTGTCTCTGCCTAGAACAGTGATGATGAAATCAATCTGGGTTTGATAATGCTTGCCAACTTCTGCTATGGCACGTGCTAGAGAATGAGTTGTGGCTGGGCTGTGCCTTGTCTTTAGATAATTTTAAGCCTGAAATGGTGAAGGAGTGGTGCAATCATGAGTAGGAATAATTTGAAACTGACAGAGGGCTATCAGTGGCCCATTGTGTTGGTTTTGTAGGAATGAGGATGTTCTGAACTTTGTAAGACAAGGCAAACAATTGAAAAGAAACTTCAGAGGGTTAAGACATGCACCTTGAAAAAAGAGATTGCTTTTGATTTAATAATTAATTTTAAAGAAACTTAGCTATTTTATGCTGCATTGCAGGTAATAAAACTGCATATTTTGTATTCCACCTTTATGAGAATGAGATAAGTAGCTAAAAAAGCAAGCTTGGCAAGGGACTGTTTTTTTTCTTTCTTTCTTTTTTTTTTTTTTGGGTGAGGCTATTGGGGTTAAGTGACTTGCCCAGGGTCACATAGCTTAGTAAGTGTCAAGTGTTTGAGGCCAAATTTGAACTCGGGTCCTCCTCACTCCAAGGCCACAACTTTATCCACTGTGCCATCTAGCTGCCCCCACAAAGGACCTTTTTAGAAAAGCAAAGGATATCTGTTGTGATTAGTATGCCTTTGCTCCTTATTGTCTGCATTCACAACTTCCACAACACAGTATTAATTATCAATGTGTGTGATTTCATTGTAAAAATATCCATAAATATTTATTAAGCACCTACTGTGTGCCAGCCACTGTGCTACAGTACTGTATTTGTTAAGTGATCTGGAAAATTGACTCATTTAGAGCTGTGGTCCTTAAGTCAAATGAATGAGGAATTAACTTTGTTTGCCTTTTTACACATTTAATTATTGTTTCCTGTGATGAATATATTAAATTTAGTAATGCTTGAATAGGGTTATTTGAAGCTTTTTTGGGGAAATTAATAAATATTATTTCAAAATAATTTGTTATTCGACTTACAAATGGAGTGTGCTCCAAAAGTTCATTTATATATTGGTTATTTGGGATTTCAGATGAATTTTTGCAGTGACATAGTGTTAAAATGTTAGTCTCCTAGACTGTCCCACAAAAGCTTCTTGATGCTCTCATGTTTAGTTGAAATTATAACATATCTAGCATTGATACTGAAAGGTGGCAAGGAGAGGGAGTGATATCAGAAGGAAAAATCTGCTCTGATTTGGACATCAGTGGCAGCCGAATAAAGTGTTGGTAGAGAGCAGAAGTTTGAGTCTTTTGTAAATTATTTGCCTTTACCTGACTTTGATACTCTTAATTAAATTCTGCATTTAAATTAAAACCCAACTGCTGAAATAAATTTAATAGCAACTGTACTTTTTACTTTATTTGTTCAACTTATGAGTGTTGAGGAATTATTTTTTAAGTAATTTGGTCTACTTTTGGTTTAGGTCACTTAGAAATGGTGAGGTTTCTGCTGGAAGCTGGTGCGGATCAAGAGCATAAAACAGATGAAATGCACACTGCCTTAATGGAAGCCTGCATGGTAAGACTGGTGAAACATGTATGATACACATTGATTTTGGTGAGTTAGGGTGAAACCTGTCTAGTCATTGAACATGCTGAATGTCTTTGCTGTGCAAGAATCTCATCAAACTATTGCTGGTTTTCTCATGGTATTATTGCATAAGACTAACCCAGATAGTCTGGAGATTTCTGTTATGACCTAAGTACAGTTACAGTTTGCTCCTAGCCAAAGAACCCTATATGTTCCCTTCTCTTTAACTTGGCTTGTTACTAATAGATTTGAAACTCGGAAAGTTTTGAAAAGCGTAGTCTAAATTGGGCTATGATATCAAACTCTCCTATGGAATGACCACAAGAATCTTTCTTAATCGTTTTAGATCACAAAATTCATAATTAAATGCAGTTACAAAAAATAATACGTTTAGTTAGACAACTTGTGGACCATGAAAGGAAAAAATGTAATGGTGCCTTTTTGTTTTCTTTGATCAGGGACTTTTTTTTTCTTCTGTCTTTGTTATGCTTAGGAGCTTACAAGTATAGAGGGCCTTTGTGATTCCAGGTTTTTCACTGCAGGCCTACTTCTCTCTTGGTGGGAACAGGACCTCAGAATAGTGCATTTTGGACAAGAATCCATGAGCAGAATAGCTTGTTGTCCATTTTTTATTCTAGTCCACCAGCTGGCTGGTAGGTCAGCTCGTACTGGCTCAGATCTTAACTCCTTCCTGCACATAAAAGTGTGACGGGCCAGACAAAGGACTCCCTTCTAGGGTCCCAGAGGAGGCACACCATGACTACCCTGTCACCGTGACAGTTGCCCCTTGACAAGGCCTACATCCGCAGTGCTGGGGGCCTTGGGCTGATGAACATCACAAGATGTTCATTCCATGTCCTCTCTTTCCAGCCTTATCTTATGGCATGCTTTATTCTGTAGCCAGATGGCTACTCACTGTCCCTACATACATCCTGAACTGATCTCCCACCATTTCTTTATCCTGGCTTGTTCTCCATGCCTGGAATGGCCTTTATTCTGCCTTTTGTCTTGTTGAATGATTACCCAGTTTGTAAAGTGTCACCTCTTCCATGTAGCCCAGTGGCTACACTTTAGATCCACCCTTTTGTTAATGACCTCACAACACAGACCTCAGGTATCTCCACAGGGCAGGGACTTCTTTTGCCTCTTTTTGTATTCTCAGCACAATGCCTGCTATGTAGTAGGTGCTTGTAAAAACAGCTTATTGATTATTGATTGAAAAATTATAGAGATAAAATCAAGGTCTCATGACTTGATTGAATGTGAGGAATTAAAAAGAGAAAAGATTCAAGTATGCTCCTGAGGTTATAAAGGAAGGTGATGAGGAGGATGGTGTTAATGCCCATTAGGAGGTGAATTTTGAAAGAGTGTTGAATTCAGTGTTGAACATGTTGAGATTATGATGGTCCAGCAGGAAGTTTGTCTTTGGAAACTTGAGTTCAGGAGAGACCTTATGGCTAGATTTATAGATTTGGGGATCATTTATGTAGGAGTTATTAATTGAACCCAGAAGGAACTAATGAAATCTTTCAGAGAGTGTAGAGTAAGAAGTAAACAGGTTTCAGCATTGAACCTTGAGGAATAATGGTTATGCTTAAGTCAAAGAAGATGCATGTAAAGCCAGCCAAAGAGACTAAAAGGAGCAGTTAGATCAACGATGTCAAAGCAGCAGAAAGACCAAGAATAAAGCCTGATAATTGGAAGAGGCTGTTGGAATTAGCAGTGAAGTGGGTGTTGGTGACTTGAGAGATTGGGAGGTGGGAGAGGGAGTAGAGATGGGAATGGGCTGCAGTGAAGACACTGGAGAGAGTTAGGATCAGACGAGAGGATGGTTGCTAAGTGTCTGCCACACGTTAAGTGCTAGATAACTGTCAGCTGCTGCTGCTGCAGCTGCTGTTGTCATCACCATCATCATCATCTTGGAGAGGAGAAAAATAGGACAATAACTTGAGTGGGGTTGGAAAATTCAAGGGAAGATCTTTTTTCAGGTTGCAGGAGGCATGAGCCTGCATGTAGGTAGCAGAGAAATTTCATAGAAGTGTTCTGTGAACCTGTTTTTTCAAGATTTTGTGAATACATTCATATATATTCATATGTGTCTTAGGTCTTTAATGATTTAAAATTTTTTTTATCCTGTTTCCTCTCTGCCCTCTCTCTTTTTTTTTTTTTTTTTGGCAATTGGGGTTAAGTGACTTGCCCAGGGTCACACAGCTAGTAAGTGTCAGGTGTTTGGTCTGAGGCCAGATTTGAACTCAGGTCCTCCTGACTTCAGGGCCCGTGCTTTTGCCCTCTTTTCTTCTGGATGGAGAATTCTGATGTTTAATACTTTTTCTTATAAAACTGTCCAGTCCTTGTGATCATTTTAGTCTTCCCCACTTGACCTCTTCTCTGGTCTCATTCTTGCAAGAAGTTCAAGCAGCCAAAATTGCGCTTGTTCCTCCAGACAGTGACACAGTGTAGAGAATTGCATTTATAATCAGGAAACCCAGTCCATTATACACCAGTTTTTTGACCTTGGTCAAGTCACTTGTCATTTCTGGGTGTCATTTTGCTTATGAGTAAAATGAGGAAATAGGACTGGAAAATCCTCTGAGGTCTCTCCAGCTATGAATCCCATGGTAGCTCAGGGATTGTTTTTTTTTTTTTTTAACTTGGAAAAATGTTTTTGATATCTTTTGTTTTTGCATCCTTTACATTTTCCAGTATGATCATCACTACTCCCTTTTCCAGAGAACTATCTCTTAAAACAAAGAACAAAAAGGCTCATAAACTGATAAGCAAAACTAAACAGTATATATTGCATGCAGTGTTCCTTGTCTCTGTAAAGAAGCTGAGAAAGTGCCTTCTCTAATCTCTTATTTAAGAGATTCATTATAATTTAATAGCACTTAGTTTTTCTTTTTTCTTTTTATTTATATAGTCATTGTGTACAATATTTTCCTGTTTCTGTTTGCTGAGCATCAGTCTAAATCTTCTCATGTTTCTCTGTGTTTATCATATTCATTATTTCTTACATTCATGTACCACAGATTTTCTTAGGTAGAATTTGTTTTGTTTCTAGTTCCTAAAAGTGCTACTGTAACTATTTTGGTATGTAGGGCTTTCTGTTGGGGAAGGGTATTGGCGTTCTTGGGGTATCTCACTGCCTAACAGGGAGATTTCAGTAAGAGGATGACATTTTAGTCACTTTCTTGGCAAAATTTGAAATTACTTCAAATTTGGTTGATCAAAATAGTTGGATCAGTTTGCATTTCTGCCAACAGAGTACCATCAAGCATGGAGTCCTGTTTTCAATAATCACTTCCATAAGCTTTTGAATTTTAAATTTTTCTCCCCTTCCCCCCCCCAAGAGGGCATGCAATATAATATAGGCTCCGCACATACATTCCTATTAAACGTATTTTCACATTAGTGATGTTGTAAGTAAGAATTAGAACCAATAAGAGGAACCACCAGAAAGAGGAAACAAAACACAACAGAAAAAAAAAATAGCAAATAGTATGCTTCTATCTGCATTCAAACTCCATAGTTCTTTCTTTGGATGTGGAGAGCATTTTCCATCATGAGGCCTTTGGAGATGTCTTAGATCCTTGTATTGCTGGGAAGGTTAAAGTTTATCAGTATTAGTCATCACACAATGTGGCTGTTATTGTGTACAACGTTCTCCTGGTTCTGCTCACTTCACTCAGCATCAGACCATACAAGTCTTTCCAGGTTTTTCTGAAGTCAGCCTGTTCATCATTTCTTACAGCACAGTAGTATTCCATTACATTCATATACTACAACTTATTCAGCCATTCCATGATGGATGAGCATTCTCTCAATTTCCAATTCTTTGCCACCACAAAAAGAGCTGCTATAAATATTTTTGTACATGTGGGTCCTTTTCCCATTTGTATGATCTCTTTGGGATATAGCCCTAGAAATGCTATTGCTGGGTCAAAGGGTATGTACATTTTTATAGCCCTTTGGGTATAGTTCCAAATTACTCTCCAAAATGGTTGAATCATTTCACAACTCCACCAACAATGCATTAGTGTTCCAATTTTTCCACATCTTCTCCAGCACTTACCATTTTCCTGTTCTGTCATGTTGGCCAATCTGATAGGTGTGATGTGGTACCTCAGAGTTGTTTTGATTTGCATTTCTCTAATCAATAGTGATTTAGAACATTTTTTCGTATGGCTAGAGATGGCTTTAATTTCTTCATCTGAGAACTGCCTGTTCATATCCTTTGACCATTTATCAATTTGGGAATGACTTGTGTTCTTATAAATTTGACTTAATTCTCTATATATTTTAGAAATGAGGCCCTTATCAGAGAGACTGGTTGTAAAACTTTTTTCCCAATTTTCTACTTTCCTTCTAATATTGGTTGCATTGGCTTTGTTTGTGCAAAATCTTTTCAGTTTAATGTAATCAGAGTTACCCATTTTGCGTTTCATAATGTTCTCTGTCTCCTGTTTGGTCCTGAATTCTATTCTCCATAAATCTGTTCCTTGCTCTTCCAGTTTGCTTATAGTATCAGCCTTTATATCTAAATCATGAACCCATTTGGACTTTATTTTGATACATGGGCACGTATTGTTCTTATGGGCTGCTAGGTGGCACCATCGTGCACAGAGCGTTGGGCTTAGAGTTAGGAAGACGCATCTTCCTGAGTTCAAATCCAGCCTCAGACACTTAAGAGCTGTGCTGCCCGGGGTAATTCACTTAACCCTGTTTGCCTCAGTTTCCTAATCTGTAAAATGATCTGGAGAGGGAAATGGCAAACCACTCCAGTATCTCTGCCAAGAAAACCCCAAAAAAGGGGTCATGAAGAGTTGGACACTATTGAAATGATTGAACCAACATAAAACCCCTGTTCTTAAAGACTTAGTATGTTCATATTGATTTCTTCTTGCTGAATGGCCACAGTTTACTCCCTCATTTCCTTGGGGAAGGGGGCGGGGTGATTAATGTTAAGGCACCACTCTCTTGAGAGGCATCACCAAAAACTCTTCCTGAACCCTAGGGGCTGATCCAGGCTCATCTTCCTCTGCACTGCAGTCTCCTGCTTCAACATGATCGTTTTTTTCCAATCTGCATGACTTAGTCAGTTATTCTGAACTGGGACTGACTCAGGCAGGTAATGAGATACCCTGAGGTCATTCAGCAGTTTACAAAAAGATTTATTTAGGCAAAACCCTGGACAGAGTGCTTTGCTTGCAGTATCCCAGTGGGGAAAAATAGTTTCTGACTGGAATTCCAGGAAGTGAGACAGGAATTCTTCTCTTGACTTGAGTTCTTACCTTTGATGGATATTGTCTTTGAGAATGCCACCACAGACATCTTCAATTTTAATCAAGCATGATATTCTTCAGACACTTCCTTTCTTTCCTTAAGAACCTACAAGGACTTACACTGTTTAGTCTGTATTCAAGGCCATCTATCATTTCAGACTACATCTCCCAGTATTTCAGAAAATGAATTTTGTGCTGCAGTTTTGTGAGTCTTCTTTATGTTCTTATTTTGTTTACTTCCTTTGGTGCTGTCTGTTTATGCTTACCCCATTACTTGGAATGTTCTTCATCTTCTTCACTTATCCAGATCCTTCCAAACCTTTAGCGTTCATATTAAATCACAAGATTTTGAGAGTTGGAAGGACCTCTGTGGTTATCTAATCCAACCTTACCTGAAAGGAATAGTTGTTGAAAACCTTCAGGGAGTGGCAATCCTTGGATCCTAAATCTGTCCTCCAGGTGGTTAGCTATTTCTTCCAGCTTTATATCATATCCAAATTTGATAAGCATTTCATCTGTGCCTTTGTCCTTGTCATTGCTAAAAGTGCTAAACAGCACGGATCCCTGGATACCACCTGCCAGGTCTGCCCTGTGCATCCTCACCAGATGTCAAAGCAGCCCTTTGCACTTTGGAATAGCTGTAGGTTGGAAGTTTTTCCTGACATTAAATCCAAATTTGCTTCTTTGTAGTTTCTGCTTCCTGCTTCTGTTGGATAGCTCCTTGGTTATTTAAGAAGGTTATCACGTTCTCCAAGTCTTTTCCTCAGGCTGAAGATCCTCAGTATGACATGGACTTGAGGTTCTGTACCATCTTGATTCTTCGGAGGTTTTTCAGATTAGATGGCAGTATCTGGCATTCACCTCAGTACTCCAGTTGGGCAGACTACCAAGGCACCATCACTTCCTTAGGCATGAGAGTGATCTCTTTCTTAGTAGAGGCCAAGATCCCATGGATTTGCTTCAGGTGTAGCCTCACAGTGAGACTGCAGGGTATTAAAACCCCCTAACACTTTTTCAGTCAGAAGTTATCAAGCCCTGCCTGCTTCATCTTGTACTTAGAGAGTTGATTTTGAACTCAAGTGTAAAACTTTACATTTGTCCCCATTGAATTTCATTTTATTTGATTCAACCCAGTGCTTTTTATGTGTCAGGATCTTTTTGGATCCTAACTCTGGCGTCCAGTTTGTTAGCTATCTCTTCTAGCTTTATTACGTCACATCCAGATTTAATGAGCATTTCATGTATGCGTGTCTTTATCCATGTCATTGCTCAAAATGTTAAACAGCACGGGGCCAAGCACAAATCCCTGGACACTACTGCCAAACCTGGTCTGTACTTCATCATCTTCTCCATAAGAATAGCTTTTCAAAAAATGGGGAATATATGAACATTATCCCCCTTCATTTGCCAGTTCAGGAAAGGAAATTGATGAAGGCACACTCACTGTAACCATTGCTTCCTTTTCAACGTACTCACCAATTATCTTGTTAATGTTTCGTCCTAAGATCTTCCTGGGATTTGAATCATATTTCAGTCAGTTAAATTACACTGCAGAGAATTGTGCATATGAAGAGAAAGGCTGAAAGCAATCCCTGCTTGCAGTGAATAATTTAATCGGGGAGACAAGTACATATAAAAATAAATACGGCATAAATGTGAAGTGAATATTCAAAGTTACATACAAGACAGTTTGAGAGAGAGGGCTTTAGTTGGTAGAGCTGTATTCCAAAGGAAGAGAGGGACTTTGTTTAACTCAATGACTTTTCATTTCATTTAAAAAATTCATATAGCATTTAAGCACTGTCACAGATTTTTGCATTTGGTAATGTACCACCTAGTGTTTGGTTGTTTCTTATTCCAGTATTGTCTGCCGGGTCAGATTGTATTCTTCTTTAGTGTTAAGCCATATTTTCTAATTCTTTATTTCTTTTTTTTTTTTTATGAATTTATTTTTCATATTCAACAATCACTTCCATAAGATTTTGAGTTTTAAATTTTTCTCCCTCTCCCTCCCCAGGACCGCATGCAATCTGATACAGGCTCTACATATACATTCCTATTAAACATGTTTTCACATTAGTCACATTGTAAGGAAGAATTAGAACCAATAGGAGGAACCACAAGAAAGAGGAAACAAAACTCAACAGAAGAAAAAAAATAGCAAATAGTATGCTTCAATCTGCATTTACACTCCATAGTTCCTTCTCTGGATGTGGATAGCATTTTCCATCATGAGTCTTTTGGAATTGTCTTAGATCCTTGCATTGATGAGAAGGGCTACGTCTGTCAACGTTAGTCATCACACAGCGTGGCTATTACTGTGTGCAACGTTCTCCTGGTTCTGCTCACTTCACTCAGCATCGGTCCATACAAGTCTTTCCAGGTTTTTCTAAAGTCAGCCTGTTCATCGTTTCTTATAGCACAATAGTATTCCATTACATTCATATACCACAACTTGTTCAGCCATTCCACAATGGATGGGCATCCCCTCAGTTTCCAATTCTTTGCCACCACAGAAAGAGCTGCTATAAATATTTTTGTTCATGTGCTTCCTTTTCCCATTTTTATAATCTCTCTGAGATACAGCCCCTGGAAGTGCTACTGCTGGGTCAAAGGTATGCACATCATATCTTCTATTTCTTTGGTCCACTGCCTCCTTTTCCTCTTTCTCATGCCACATAGTACCAAGAATCTATATTTAATATAAGTCTTGTGGCCTTAAATGACATATTAAATCGTATGACCTAATATTGATCCCTGCTCTTTATTTGAAGTGTCAGTGGGTTAAGATAATAGAATTATAGAAAACTATTCAACTCAGAACTTTCATTCTTCATATTAACAATATCTAATGCTCTTCTATAACTTCTACTTTTGTGCCCAGGATGGCCATGTTGAAGTGGCCAGGTTACTTCTTGATAGTGGAGCACAAGTCAATATGCCTGCTGATTCATTTGAGTCCCCACTGACGTTGGCTGCTTGCGGGGGCCATGTGGAGCTAGCAGCGCTGCTCATCGAGCGAGGAGCCAACTTGGAAGAGGTCAATGATGAGGGTTATACTCCACTCATGGAAGCAGCTAGAGAAGGGCATGAAGAGATGGTGGCCTTGCTTCTGGGTCAAGGTAGCTATGAGTTCATAAACATGCAGATTGTGGAAAGATGTAAACTAGAGTTAATGGGATGTTTTAAGACTGTGAATATAGTAGATTTCTGTTACTTTTTCTATAGGAGTTAACTCAGTAAGCAGTTCATAACATACTTAAGAAACTCCCTGAAAGGGAGCTTAATGCACAAGGGAAGAGCCTTAAATTTGGAGTCAGAGGATCCAAGTTCAAATCCTGGCTCTGCCATTTACTTCCTGTCTCACCTTGGAAAAATCAGTTAATCTTTCTTTGTTGAGAGGTTGAGCTAGATGATTTCTCTGGTCCTTTTGGACCTTAAAATCTAAGATCCTGTTACCCTATGACCCACTGTAACTCACTTAAATAATCTTATAGTGAAAGCTTGATATATTACTGTTGTTATTTCCTCCCTTCCCCCTTTCATTATTGATATTTTTGATATCAATTTTGACATTTTGACAAAAGAAAAAAAAGCAACTTGAGGTTTAAATATATTGAAAAATATAAAAAAGATTGAAAAATCTTTATTTCCACGCTGATAGAGTTTTCTTTGGTCACTGTGATTAAATGTAAGCTCCTTTGAAGTTCACTCTTGAAATAAAGGTTGTGTTAAGAACATATTTTCAGTGTCTTTAAAAATGCAAGAAAAAATTTTTTTCATTCTTGCCCAATTTGAAATATTACCTATATTTAATTTGTTTAGAAAACAGAAATATATTCTTTGATAAAGTGTCTTGAATTTGATTTATGGCCTCTATCTGCGTCAATTTGATCTGATTCCAGAATTGGAATCTTGAATGCGGCAGTTTAATCCATTCAACATATAATATCCCATCGTATATTTAGATGGATAAATGAGATACTTATATAATTAAAATGGTTATTTTTGTTAAAAGTAATTGTACAAAACATTTTTGTGTCATACTATATATTGTATGACTTTTATGATATTTTTTGTTTTAAAGAAATATTTGGTTATGAGCCATTTTTCTGATTTTTTTTCTACTTATTCCTTTAATACTTGCCATCCTACTTTATATTTCCAATGGGTAGGCAGAGTTTTCAAATAAAATGCAACATGTCGGATTATTTTATCTATATAGAATATTATTTTAATATTTTTCTTTAATAAGTTTACTATGACAGAGGAGCTATCTGTAATTATATGCTCACTATTTAACTTAATATTTTGCAGTATTTAAATCATTTAAAGTGTGTTTTAAAGAAAAAGTCATATAGCTTTCAATTAATTGGGATATTGTGTTTGTTTATTAAAGGAGCTAATATCAACGCACAGACAGAAGAAACCCAAGAAACTGCCTTGACGTTAGCTTGCTGTGGAGGTTTTCTCGAAGTGGCAGACTTTTTAATTAAGGCAGGAGCTGACATCGAATTGGGCTGTTCTACCCCTTTGATGGAAGCTGCTCAGGAGGGTCATTTGGAGTTAGTCAAATACTTACTAGCAGCAGGTAGGCATTTAAAAAAAAATTATGTTATTGTATGGATGGATGGATGTATGTATATGGTTTATTTCAGGGAAAATCTCGTAAGAGGTTATCTTACTCAAAATTTTGCATCCTTGTATACTAAGTATATATTACATAAATTATTTTCGGCATATTTATGTGAATTATAGATTAAGTGGTGAGTACTGTAGTATCAGAAATCATAAAACAAATAATTGTGCTTTTTAGCAAGCTTCATTTTCAGAAAAAGGAAGCTGTAAGAATTTTTAAATAATCAAATCATTTGCCTTTTCATCTATGAGGATGGGGCTTGTCTATTGAAAATTTGACTATTTTATGTATTTACTTTATTTTTATGGAAGTAAAATACATTGTTTGTTGTTGCTTCAGGAGCAAATGTGCATGCAACAACAGCAACAGGAGACACAGCTTTGACATATGCTTGTGAAAATGGACATACTGATGTAGCAGATGTGTTACTTCAGGCAGGAGCAGATTTGGTAAGCTCTGTTACCTTCTTTCAGTCCGAATTTGAGAAAGAGAAAAAATAAACTAATTAAGAAATGGATTTAAGTCACAAAGTAAATTAACAAGCATTTACAACGTACTTATGTGCTGGGCACTGCGCACAGTACCGGGGTTACAAACACAAGCAAGCAGAATAGATGTTGCCCTCCAGGAGCTTATCTTTTGATGGGGGAAAGAACCTACCTTTAGTCCAAACAGTCCTTCCACCAATAATCCCTTCTGCAGCATTCTTGACAAGCACTCAGCCTGTCTGTTCTTGAAAAGCGCCTGCCAATTCCACTTTGGGATACCTCTGATCGTTAGGATGGTTTCCCTCACGTTGACCATGGATTTCCTTTGTGCACATTCTGCCTGTTTGTTGTCCCCACTTCTTTCACCTGAAACCAAGCCGAGGAAATTTTTTCTTTGATGTGGCATCCCTTGCAGGTGGCTGTCATGTCCTGATTGAGTCTTTTCTTTTGCATGTTAAACAATCCCTGTACATTCCCAAATGATGGAATTTTAGACCTTTCACCATCTAGGTTGCCCTCCAGATCATCGTTGTCCTTCATAAAGTGAGGTGCCCAGAACTGATCATAGTTCTCTTGATGTGGTTTGATATGGGTAGGGCATGAAAATCTCCTAAGTTGTGGATGCTATTTTTATTAATGTACATTCTAAGACTTCATTAGTTTTTTGAGTGGTCTTACTACATTGTTGGTTTTATATATTCTCGGATTTTTTGGGAAAAGTCCTTTTTGACCAAGGGTAGTGGGAACAAATAACCCTGTCATCATGCAAGTTAGCCATAGTTTTTCCTTGAGGAGTACTGATGCTTACACTCTGTATGTGATTGGCTCAAGGGGCTAAGGTTTTGGTTAACTTCCATCTCTTCCTGGGATTTTGTGTGCAAAACAGGCCCTGGCACTTCAGGCAGGCTCAGAGGTTTGTCTGGCAGACCATCAGAGGCAGGGGAGGACCTCTCAGCTGAATTGGTTCCATGTCTGAGGTGCATGTTTTTGAACATCATTCCTCTGACAGGGCTGAGTAAATCTTAGCTTTTAAGATTCAGCCCAATTCTATTAGCTTGTCAATAGCTTTATAAATCCTGAATGTTAGAAAATCATAGATAATCTATAATGTTAACTGTTAGTGAGGGAGCTAGGTCACTCCATGGATATACAGTGCTAGTCTTGGTGTCAGGAAGACCTGAATTCAAATCCAATCTGAAGATACCTCCTAGCTTTGTGACCTTGGGCAAGTTACTTAACCTCTGTCCAAATTTCATCAACTGCAAAACAGGAGTAATAGTAGCATCTACTTCACAGAGTTGTTTTAAGGATCAAATGAGATAATATTTACAGATGACTTAGCACAGTCCTTGGCACTTAGTACACACTACAGAGATGCTAGCTACTGTTGTCATTATTCTTATATCATCATCATTCCTGGGCTTTTTGTCATCTGCAGATTTGGTAAACATACCATCTATGACTTTATCTAAGGCAGCGATTTAAAAAATATTAAATAACGTATAGGGACAAGAGCTCCAAAGGCATCCAATAACCCTTAGCGAAGTCTAGATCTGTTTTATCTGTGTCATTTCTCTGATCTAGTCTAGTAATCCTGTTTAAGAAATTTATTTTTTTAAAAGAGCAAATGAAATTAGCCTCTCTTTAACTTCATCTTTTCCCTTTAAAATTACTTGTTTTTAACATTCTTTTCTTTTTTCTTTTTTAAGACAATTGCGGTTAAGTGACTTGCACAGGGTCCCACAGCTAGTAAGTCTCAAGTGTTTGGTCTGAGGCAGACTTTGAACTCAGGTCCTCCTGACTCCAGGGCCGGTGCTCTATCCACTTCACCACCTAGCTACACCTAACATTCTTTCCTTTTAAAAATGTGAGTTCTAGATTTTCTCCCTACCATCTCTCCCTGTCCATTAAAAAGGCAAATAATGTGATATCAATTTTACATATGCAAAACTGATTTCCATATTAGCCATACAGCAGAAAACAAGTTAAAAAAGAAAGTGAGAAAATTATACTTGAGTTTACATTTAAGAGTTCTGCAGTTCACTCTCTGGAGGTAGATAGCATTTTTTTCATCGTGAGTCTTTTGGATCTGTCTTGGATCATTGTGTTGATCAAAGTAGCCAAGTTTTTTCACAGTTGATCATCATTACAGTATTGCTGTTACTGTGAGCAGTGGTCTGCAGCTTCTTCTCACTTCACTTTGCATCAGTTCATACAGATCTTGGAACTTTTTTCTAAAACCGTCTCCCTCATCATTTCTTACTGCACAGAATAACTTCATCACAGTCATACAGCTTGTGCAGCCATTCCCCAGTTGATGAGCATCCTCTCAATATTCAATTCTTTTTCACTACAGAAAGAGCTGCTATAAATATTTTTGTACAAATAGGTCCTTTTCCCTTTCTCGTGGATGTCTTTGGTATGTAGGCCTAGCAGTCGTATTGCTGGTTTGAAGAGTATCCATAGGTTCATAGCCCTTTGGGCAAAGTTCCGAATTGTTCCCCAGAACGGCTGGACCAATTCATCACTTGTTCCTTGCTTCCTTCTTTCCTTCCTCTATATGTAGATGGCTTTCATTTCGTCTTCTGAAAACTGTCTGTTCATGTTACTTGACCATTTATCAGTTTGGGAATGGCTAGCTCTTTTATAAATTTGACTTGGCTTTCTATGTGTTTGACAGATGAGGACATTACTAGAGAAACTCGTAAAAAAAAATTAGGAAAATGTGGTCTTTCTGATTATCTCTTTCAGTTACGTGTATTTCTGTTTTTGCTTTGTCTGAGATCATGATGTCCAATCCTGCCCTCTTCGCTTTAGCTGAAGCGTAATAGACTGCCCCAGGTTTCATTTCAGCTCTTTCTGTTTCACGTGCGTCTCTCGAACACAGCGTATTGTTGGATTCTAGTTTCCAGTCCATTCTGCTATCCACTTCGCCTCTACAGTCACGTGGACAGTTGTGGTCACTAACTATGAATTTCCCTCCATCCCTTTATTCCTCCTTTCCCCCTCCCCCCCTCTGTCCCTCTCTCTCACACACACACACACACACACACACACACATACACACACACACACACACGAGTCACTCATTCTTTCCTTAAACCAATTCAGAGGGCAGCTCGGTGGCGCAGTAGATAGAGTACCGGCCCTGAAGTCAGGAGGACCTGAGTTCAAATCCGGCCCCAGACCAAACACTTGACATGTACTAGCTGTGTGACCCTGGGCAAGTCACTTAACCCCAATTGCCTAAAAACAAAACAAAAAAAAAGCCAATTCAGATTCAAGTGAGGTTCACGCAATGGCTGCTATGGTATCTCCCCACCCCGTTTTCATACCCATTGCAAAAGTTCTGCAATTTACACCTTCCTTATGTGAGAAAAATTTCCGCATTCTACCTTTCCCTATCCCCTTTTCCCAGTGCATCCCTCTCACTCCTACATTACTTTTTTTTGGAGGTCATCCCAGCAAGATAAAGTTCTTAGGAGTTACATGCATCATCTTTGCATATAGGAATGCAAACAGTTAACTCTTTTGAGTTCTCCTTTTTTTTTTGCGGAGGCAGTCTGAATTAAGTGACTTGCCTAGGGTTACATAGCTAGTAAGTGTCAAGTGTTTGAAGTTACATTTGAACTCAGGTCCTTCTGATTCTAGGGCCAGTGCTCTATCCACTTCACCACCTAGCTGCCCCTTTTGAGTCCCTTATGATTACTCTTTTATGTTTACCTTGTTGTGCTTGTCTCGACTCTTCTGTTTAAATGTCCGGTTTTCTATTCAGTTCTGGTCTTTTCATCAGGAATTCTTGGAAGTTGTCTGTTTCATTAGGTGTCCATTTTCCCATTTGAAGCATTTTTACTCAGTTTTACTGGATAGGCTATTCTTGGCTGTAATCCTAGCTCCTTGCTCCTAACTCCTTTCTCCGGAATATTGTGTTCTAAGCCCTGTGTTCCTTTTATATGGAAGTCACTAAGTTTTGTATGATCCTGACTGTGGCTCCGTGATATTTGAATTGTTTGTTTCTGGCTGCTTGCAATATTTTCTCTGACCTGGGAACTCTGGAATTTGGTTATAATATTCTTGGGAGTTTTCATTTTGGAATCTCTTAGGAGGTTCTTGGTGGATTCTTTCAGTTTCTGTTTTACCCTCTGAATCTAAAACATCAAGGCAGTTTTCCTTAAAATTTCTTGAAAAATAGTGTTTAGGCTCTTTTTTTTTTTTTTTTTTTTTTTTTTTGTTAGGGCAGTTGGGGTTAAGTGACTTACCCAGAGTCACAGAGCTAGTGAGTATTATGTGTCTGAGGTCAGATTTGAACTCAGGTCCTCCTGACTCCAGGGCTGGTGCTCTAGCCACTACACCATCTGGCTGATCTGAGGCTGGATTTGAACTCAGGTCCTTCTGACTTCAGGGCCAGTGCTCTATCCACTGTGCCACCTAGCTGCCCCAAGGAATGATTTTCTTCCATGAATTTTTGTACCTCTTTTATCAAGCTGTTAGAATTCTCTTTTCATAATTTTCTTGCATCACTCTCATTTCTTTTCCCAATTTTTCCTCTTCCACTCTTATCTCTTTCTTTAATGCTTGCTGGAATTTTTGGGGGGCTTATGTCCAATTAACATTTTTCTTTAAAGCTTTGTTTGTAGCTGTTTCCATATTGTTGTCTTTTTTGGAGCTGATTTATGTCTTGGTCTTCTCTGCCACTAGGGTAGCTTTTTATGGTCATATTCTTTTTTTGTTGTTTGCTCATTTTTCCAGCCTGCTTGTTGACTTTGCGCTTTATGTTAAAGTTGGTCTCAGCTTACGTGGGTGTGGACAGGCACTGTGCCAAACTTTAGGCTTTTTTGTGCGGCTGTTTTCAGAGCTATTTCTGGGGTCTGCAAGTTTTTGGTGCTTCTAAGGTGGTGTGATCCTGGAAGAGGTGTGGTCACTGATCTCCTTCTCTAAGCTCTAGTCCTTACCTTGTTCCCCTGCAGCTGTAGGTGCTAAGGCTGCTTTCGACCCTGAAATTGTGACCAGGGCCCCTGATCCTCTGTGACTGATCACACGTGCTCCTCTCTGCCCTGGAGCTGCGTCCCAGAAGTGCTTATGGCCGGTAGAGTTGCCAATCAGTGCTAACTAGACTCAGTGCCAGTCAAGGGTCCTTTGTAATCTCTTTCTGACCAGTTGTCTGACCCCTTTACTGTTTCTGGGCTGACAGCTCCCCAAGATCGTGCTGCTGCTGTGGCTGCCTCTGAGGCCCACGACTGGTGCTGCAGACCTTTCCTGTGGACCTTCAAAATTATCTTATGCTCTGAGCTTTTGTTGGCTTTCTCACTTCAAAATTTGATGTGAGGTATTCTTTTAAAGTTTCTTGGAGGGGAGTATTGCAAGTCCTGGCCTGTACTCTGCTGTCTTGGCCCATGAGATTAGGCTTGTGTCTACTCAGAATCTTCAGCTTTAGTTTTCATCCTGTTGCCCCTTAGTCTTAGCTCTTTGTATGCAGCTCCGTCTTCTCTCCTGAGCTTATACATATTATCTCTTCTCCTTATGCCAGCAACTACCTATTTTAACATCTGAAATTGATTGTTCTGTAGCCATGTGTATTCACTATGTCTAGAGTGGAGCTCATGTCTTCCTCTAATACCTACCATTTCCCCCAGACACACCTTTCTAACTTATTTTTAATTCTGTTGAGTATACCACCATTCTTCCAGGTTCAGAAGCATAGTCACTTAACTTTTTCAGCCACCTTCTCTCTCTGCTTAGATGGCCTCATCATCATTGTTCGCTATGTCATCACTACTTCTTTGGATATTGCCTTCTGATTAGTTTCCCAGCCTGCCCTGTTTCTCCTTTTCATTATAGATTCCATATATCTGTGAAATCAGTATTTTACAAGCACATGTCACTTTTTTGCTCTTGCAGATTTGATTTTCTCTTGCCTTTCAGATGAATGTAAACTCCTTGTTTAGGCACTTAGGGAGAGCCTTGCACTATCTGCCTCTAACCTATCTTTCCAGACATTCTGTATTTCTTACTTCATTTACTCTATCTTCCAGCCACACCGGCATACATGAGAATTGCTTTCATGTTCCTGTGTGCCTTTTTGCAAGTTATTCCTTGAAATAGATTCCCTCCTCGCATGACTTTCCGAATCTCTTGTCTTCCTTCAGAATTCAGCTTAAGTGTTACTTCCTGTTGGAAAACCTATCCTAGTTTTTCCCCTCTCCCATATTCCCCCTCTTTGCTATCACCCTGTTCTCTGCATGTATTGTTTCCTTCCTATAAATAAGCTCTTTGCCAGTACGGACTAGGAAAATTTTTATTTTATTTCCCAGCCACACAGTTCAATCAATACTTGTTGAAGGAATGTTTTGTCTTTATCTATGCATAATGCGTTTTCTCGCCCAAGAATGTAAACTCCTTGAAGGTGAGAACAATTTTTCTTTTTATTAGGAGGGCCCAGTACAGTGTAAGTGCTTGCTGAATGAATGAATGAATTGCTTCCTGAATGAACTTGGCAGAGAGAGGATTTGGGAAATAGGAAACATGGAATTAAGGAAGAAGCTTATACATAAAAAAGAAAATCCTATAGCACTAAGGAGTAAGATGATTTCTTCATCGACCCCTACGCCCTAATCCCATTTAAGAACACAATCCAGATTTATTTTTCAAGTTTTCGACATTAGGGAAAGCTGTTTTAATACCTTTTTAGTATTTCTCTGTTTTAGAAATTGTGAGATTATTATTACTTGGGCTATGTTCTGTCCATCTGAAGGTGAGGGCACCACAGTAGGGAAAGTTGGAATAAAGAAATAGGGAAAGATATAAAGAGAGCCAAGATGAGAGACAGAAGACTCTCATGCTATGAAAGGCTAATTGTGTAAATGTATTGATTGTCATTCCCATCACAAGCTATAGGATTCCTTTTGAAGAGAAACTTGAGTTAAAAAATGACATCAGTTTTTTGAGCCCAAGTAACTAGAAGCAGGTGGATAGGAAAAAATCGGCAAAGGTTTTCAATTAAAGCATTGTTCAGTGTTTAACCTTTATATCGAGTCTTGAATTTAATATTAAATGTATAGGAATAACCCTCTGCTTATATTTTGGTTGTGATTCTTATTAAAAATGACTGTGTACTCATAGGCAATTAGGTGCATTTGATATTTTCTTAATATTCTTTTTAAAACAGGAACATGAATCTGAAGGTGGAAGAACTCCATTAATGAAAGCAGCGAGAGCTGGCCATGTGTGCACTGTTCAGTTCTTGATTAGCAAAGGTGGGTCTTGGTGCTGGTGGAAACCTGTTTAATAAGTCTATTTAGATACACGGGACACACTTGTTTCCATATTAGCTGAGGGTAGTGATGGGGTGTGATGGTTATTAAATTGTAACAAAGTAAGGAGCTTATATCAATGTGTATTTAGTTCCTGGCTTTTGAACTTGCCTGCAGTAGTGACTATTCCTCCCGGCAGTTCTGGGTAGTCTTCAAATTGAACACATGACCTACGTCTAAGAAGCTCTGTGGCATAGTGGAGGGAGTTGTTGGCATGGGTTAATGGGATTGACAGCAGAATCCATATCAGCAGGTTGTGTGTTGAGGGTCTGATGATAGGAGACGTATAGTCCTGGTACCCCTCTAGAGATTACAGGAAATCCCTTCCCTGGCACTCCCTCCGGATTGGTGTTGTCTTTTACTCCTTCTCTGCCTCTCCTTGTTGACTCGCCCTGTGGCCAGCTCTGGCCTGGCACAAGTGTTGGCCTTTTCTCCTCTTCTCCCCTGTCCTACTCTATCAGAAAGCACCTGTTTCTTTCTCTGTTGGGATGCATCTCAGTCTCTGTGTTGTCACCCTTGTTCCTCCCTCCTTTGCCTTAATCTCTCCAGAAGAAAGCACAGTGTTCAGGGCAGCTTTTTTTGTTTTTCTTTTGAAGCACATGTAGATTGTGCTTCAGTCCCCAAGGTAACATTGCCTCTAAAGAGAAAAAACGAGGTGAGGTTGTTGGCATGACAACCAGGATCAAGTGGATGGTGGTGGGCCCTCTGAATCCCCAGAATGACAAAGTGGGGTGAGTCAGGAGTGAGAAGGGCCTTTGTGGTCTTCTCAGGGAGGGCTTTTTTTTTTTTCCTCTAATTTAGGAAGATGAGGTTTTCCTGATTCTAAGTCAGTCACGTTGTGCATAAATACTTGTCCCTTGTTTGGAGACTGCCTGTGTTTATCCCTTTTTGTAATTACTGATGAACCTTTTTTCTCATAGTTGGTACATATCCATGATCTCTTCCTAATCAATACTTGTAATAATAGCATTATTTTAATAATCCCATGTAATCTTTGAATTTTATAGCTGAAAGTAGATTTAGAAATTATCTGTTCCAGTTTCGTCCTTTAACAGATGAGAAAATTGGGTCCCAAAGGGGTTAATGCGTATGTCAAGAGTTTTAAGACTTAAGTATCCATTGCAATTGCAGGTAATAAATGCTTGATTAATGTGCGGTAATGCATGGATTTTCAAATAAAGGTATTTTGGAATAATAAAAAGCATGTCCTGGGCTTGGAGTCAGTGAGGTCTGTGTTTGGCCATCTGTGTCCTTGTGTAATTCACTTGACTTAAGTCTTTGGTGACTGAAAATTTACTACAAATCCAAAAACTAGTTGTGATCCCTAAAAGAAAGGAGTTTAAACACTGGGAATTCTCCTCACTGATGAAATCACAAATTCTTTTTAAAATTGTTTAATGCATTCCTAACACCCCTCATTACACTCCTTATACCTGGTGACAAGTCACTTCTATCTGCCCATCAGTTTCCTTCTTTGTATAGTGACGGGATTGGATCATATGTTCTCTAAGCTTCCTTTTCACCTCTTTATTTGTAAGATCTTATGATCCCATATTCTCACCTTTGCTGCTAGTGCTACCACTAAATTGCATATCTGTTACATAGGGGTAAACACATGGGAATTGAGTTAGGCAGCGGAGCCTTTGATCTACTTTCAGCATTAAAATGATCTTGCTGTGTGCTCCTGAATATGCCAGTTGTCTGGATTTCAGTTTCCTTATTTTTTATTGGTTTGTTGTTTTGATTGATTTTTGGAACCTCCTCTCCCATTTCTATGACTCCATGAACTCCTGTCTTCACTTTTTTATTCCGATTCCTTTGATTTTTAATCTTTAGCTAAATATCCTTTTTATTTCTTAATTATACTTCTCTAATTCTGGATTTGGAATCAGGAAAGACCTTGATTCAAAAATCAAACTACTGTGACTGAGTAGCTGGAAGCTGATAATGGGCAAGTTCCCTAGCCTCACTGAGCCCAGTAATACCTGTGAAACCTTCCTCATAGTCTGACTGAGAACCAAATGAGGTCCTGTCTGTCAAGTGCTTTCCAGGCCTCACAGGACTCTGTAAATGTCAGTTACTGTGCGATCTACTAATAAAGCATTCTGAGTATAAATCAAGCTTCATTTGCCCACAGAGATTTTGGATATTAATTGGGAATTAAATCCTTTCTTTCCTGAATGACGTTTTCAAACTTGTGTCTCTCAGGAGCCAATGTGAACAGGACCACAGCAAACAATGATCATACCGTGTTGTCCCTGGCTTGTGCAGGCGGCCACCTGGCGGTGGTGGAGTTACTCCTGGCTCATGGGGCCGATCCCACGCACAGACTCAAAGTATGTAACTGGGGTGTTTCATGGAGTGTTCAAGATCCTTTAATGTTCTTAATGAAATGACAGCTTCTTGGTTTTGTGAATCTACCCCCTTCTGAAGCCTTTATACTCCTTACCAGGAGAATTTTAAAGGCGTAAGATAAAATACAAAGGATTGCAACTAATTATTTTGAAATACAGTTATCAAAATATGTTTTTTAAGAAAAAGTTTACAGGTCAAGAGCTCCAGGTTTAAAATTTTTTAATACTGATAGAGGGAGATGAATACGCTTCCTTGATTTTTGTTATTTTTGAAACTATTAACAGCCGGAATATGTCAGTAATTAGAATTAGTCGGTTTTAGTACATAGGTTTGTAAGTACAATTAACCTGAATGTATCTTGAATACATTGAAATTAAAAGCATTTCTACCATTTTCTTGCAGTTTTATTTCATTTTTAAATATGAGATTGTGAGAATGCACATTCTAATAGAGAGTGAGAAAATAAAATTAAGTGTAGTTGTTGACTGCTCATAAGTATGAATACGATCACAGAAATGGATGTAATAAATGTATGGGTTGTTAATATTTAAATTTGCAATGTCAAAAAGCAGTGACTCTTTTTTATAAAAAGTTTTAGATGAGATGGACCTGTCTCAATTTGTGCTCTTCACAACCAGATTTATCATGATGTCCTATGTCTCGTGTTTGCCTGTGAAGTAACATTTTATATACTTCCTTTTCCTCCATTGTGCCCATACTTCTCTCGTTTTAGGATGGTTCAACAATGTTGATAGAAGCAGCTAAAGGTGGCCATACAAGTGTTGTTTGCTATCTTTTGGATTATCCCAATAATTTGCTTTCTGCTCCTCCACCTGATGTCACCCAGTTGACCCCTCCATCCCATGATTTAAATCGGGTAAGAGTCAGAGCTAATTCATTGTATTATTTGATATTCTACAATTGATGGCTATTTTAACCTAGATTACTTTAATTTTTATTTATATAGATTCTTTCTCCAGACTAATTTTCCATATGCTTTTCAAAAAACATTTACAATTTAGTAATTGTTGTTACATTTTGCTGTTTTTTTAGTTCTACCATTGTCAAAATAATAACTTCACTAACTCTTCTAATGAATTTGTAGCCCATAAAATTTATTGAAAAGCACAGAGATCTTGTAATATGTTTTTGCTCAACTTGGAGTCATAAAGACTTGAGTTTGAGCTTCACCCTCACACAGATACAACCATGAAACTTTGGGTAGCTCATTTATCTCTCAATGAGCATGTGTAGTACCTGTACAGCTTAAAATGCTTTGTAAGTGTCAGCTATTAAATGTGTCATTTCATCTGATAATCTATCATACTATTTGGCAAATATTTTAGAAAGTTTGTTGTCAAAACATTTTTCATGTTATTTAGATACAGGTGTAAGAATAAAAGGCATATGCTTAATTGATGTATATTGTTGTAGGCTCCTCGTGTCCCTGTGCAAGCACTGCCCATGGTGGTCCCCCCACAGGAGCCTGATAAGCCCCCCGCCACTGTGGCTGCTACACTTCCCATCAGGAGCAAAGGTCAGTTCTTTTTCTGTCAACTCTTTTAAAATGCTTTATAGGTTGAAACCACAGGAATAAAAAAGTAGAGTGCTTATTTTTTAAAATGATTTTTCACACCAAATGGCAGTTGGAAAAACTAAGGTGATTTGGGAGGGTTTTTTTTTTTAAAATAACAAGAAATACTCCTTCTTAAGGGCCAAAAGAAAGTGAGAGGGAGAGAGAGAATTTTAAAAAACAGTGAATTTGTGCTAAAATTCCAACTTGAGATTTGGTTGCTCTGTACTTACGGGATAGCTCATCCTTCATGCTATTTTGATTAACCATGATATCCCTTAAATAATTAGTCTTTTATAGTTCTCTATAAAGTGCTAGGCTGGGTATAATTTGCTTAAAGCAGTCTCTTCAAACTCTGCAAGGTATTAGATTTAAAATTCTGCATCAGATAGAAATTTTCAAAATTCTGTTTTTGATGCAAATTTCATATTTGGATCAATTATTTCAGATTCACTTGTATTCACTAGAATTTTCCCTTAGATCCATCATCTGACTTAAAGTTAGGATCTTGTACATATGTTTCTAAGTCCCGTTGTCCTCTCCTTTCCCCAGTATTTCAACTATCAGTTTGAAATTACTTTTATTTTTAAAAAGTTTTACCTAAAAAGGTGTTGTGTTTTTTTTTTTTAAGTGCGAGGATGGTTGTGTTCTTTTTTTTTCTCTTACCAATATGACTATTACATATTCCTTCCACCTGATATTTTCAGTTCCTGACTACTATTCTACAGCACTTTTTTCTGTTGGTGGGTGTTACAGGCCATTGATGCCACACCTACAGCCAGGTCACTTTATTGGCCTGACTGCGGACGGGTAGATGACATAAGCCATCCATCATTGTTTCTTCCAGGGTGGCCACATCCTATTCTCTACTGGTGTGAACATATTTAAATTCATCTCCTGATTTTATCAGTCCTGAAACTCCAACAAAGACATTTCAGTTGGATTTAATTTCCCATGACTTTAGTAATTCTGGAACTGTTTTGTGTTTAAAAAGAACCAGATTCTTAAATGTGGAGAGAGGGAAAAAATAACACCTTAAATTAAAGATCCTTACAATTTCAAAAATAATTTTTTTCCTATACTCTTGAGCAATATTTTCTTGTTTGCAGTGGCATTTTCCTTTCCTTTGTTACTATATTCAGTAGCTTCTCTGGGCCTATTTCCTCTTCTCTCAAATGAGGGGGGTTGAACTAGATGGTTTCTAAAGCCCCTTCCAGCTCACAGTCCTATGATCATATGATGTACACACTTGCAAACTGTAGCTTGTTTTGTACCAGTTAGATACCACAAAGTTAGATACAGGTATTCTTGGTTTTTCACTTAGATAATCCTTCAGTAATCTTGAAGTGAATTTCTAAAGTATGTATATAATCCATACATCTCTTGAATTGGTGATACAGTAGAAGGTGTTATTTGCTTATAATCACATACAGTACATTTCCACCTTCTGTGGGTTTGATCCGCCACTAAAGTCCTCCCCTGATGCCTCCTCATGGCATTGAGGCCACCCCGGGCTCTCGAAGGCTGTGCCAGTGGAGCACAAGCTCTGTCAGGTCCTCCCAAGCTGGAAAGCCTTCAAGGATGGTCTGGGGATAGATTGTTTATCTGTCACCCGAGGACCAGCCTAGTTAAGTTTGGAAAGACTCATCACCAGATAGTTGGCCATGAGGTGATGGATTGTTTTTTGGCCACAGCAACTCATGAAAGTCTTCTAAGAGGTAGAGAGGGTTGCGATCTGCATCGGTGGAGGGTGTACCCACACCAATGAAATCATGGATCCTTGAAGTATGGATTTGCTAACTTGGTGCATAACTGTTGGCACTAAGCCTCCCAACAGTAACTCTGTAATGAGGATGCCATTCATGTGCACTTCTGAGGGGGTTTCTTTTTCACACAGCTGCTTCTAAACAAAAGTCCAGCAGCCATTTGCCAGCTAACAGCCAGGATGTACAGGGTCACATCACCAATCAGTCTCCTGAGAGCATTGTAGAAGAGGCTCAGGGCAAGTTAACAGAACTGGAACAGAGGATAAAAGAAGCCATAGAAAAGAATGCCCAGCTGCAGTCCTTGGAGCTGGCTCATGCCGACCAACTTACCAAGGAGAAGATCGAGGAGCTGAACAAGACAAGAGAGGAGCAAATTCAGAAGAAACAAAAGATTTTGGAGGAGTTGCAGAAAGTGGAACGAGAGTTACAACTGAAAACACAACAGCAGCTAAAAAAGCAGTACCTGGAGGTGAAAGCTCAAAGAATTCAGCTCCAGCAGCAGCAGCAGCAGCAGCAGCAGCAGCAGCAGCAATCTTGTCAACACCTGGGACTCCTGACTCCGGTTGGAGTTGGAGAACAGCTTTCAGAGGGAGACTATGCCCGGTTACAGCCAGTGGATCCCATCTTGGTTAAAGATGACCCCCAGCAGAGTGCTGCTCAGATGGGCTTTACACCAATCCAGCCTTTGGCGATGCCCCAAACTTTGCCTCTGGCAACAGGTTCCCTACCTCCAGGGTCCATCACAAATCTTACAGAACTGCAAGGAGTTATAGTTGGACAGCCCGTACTGGGCCAAGCACAGTTGACAGGGCTGGGGCAAGGAATTCTGACAGAAACCCAACAAGGGTTAATGGTAGCCAGCCCTGCTCAGACCCTCAATGACACGCTGGATGACATCATGGCAGGTGGGTTTATATTGTTATGAGCAGGTATACAGTATGGTTTTCGTAAGGCACAAAGTAAGGGTATGCCAGAATTGTTCCAATTACCAGACTTGAAGGCTATCTCTGGACTTTTGACCCTTGTACCCCAGTAGATGTAGTAGCACTGTGTCAGAAGTCCTCAGAAAGAAACTCAGATGGTGATAGGTCAAAGTATAGTACAGGCCCATTGCTGCTTTAGCTCTGTTTTAGAGAAAGTATGCTGGAATACAAAGGACTCCTGCTTGTTTGTGTGACTGGGTGGACAGGCAGGGTTTTTTTTGTTTTTTGTTTTTGTTTTTTTGATTGTTGTTTTAAGTGCTCTTTTTCTTAATTATTAGAGACAAGGTGTTGTCTTTTACGTTTGCATCAACAAACTAGGAAATTTTAAAGATATTCCAAGTACAGCTTCCCAGTTGGTTGGATACTATGTAGACTTAGCTTATTTGTGAGCAGGAATATTTTGGTATAGAGTTCTAGGCTTCAGAAAAGTAAAACCTTTTACCTTGATATATTTCAAAGTAGGCTATGTGTATCACATCCTGTGTACATAATTATAGGGTGCCTCGTTCACCACAACACAAAAATTTGTGTCCCTCCATCAGTAATGGGATTTTACTGTTTTTCATAGTGGAAAAAATGATTCATTGACAATTTAAAATATACTCTTGTGTTTTAGTCACTCCTGGAATACATACCATTTGTAAATAAAACCTTTTCAGAGGATTGTCTCAATTCTCTTAAGTTTTAAATGCGTTAACATGTGTAAAGCACTTTGCAAACCTTAAAGCACTGTACCTTTGCTAGCTCACTGCTTAAGACCAAAATTTCTAAAAAGTTCAGTATCAGGAAAGAAAAATAGCATTCTTGAGTACTAGGGACATAAAAGAGTCAAGTTATATCCTTCTTAGAAGAATAATTAAGCTTTTTAAGAATGATTATAAAAATAAGGCACCATTTACGGGAGAAAATAGTTGGATAATTTTTAGAAACACTTTCATGTGATCTTTTTTCCTTAAGATAAAATGTATACAGATTTGTATGGCTAAACTGATAATGTCTTGCCAAAGTAATTTATTGTTAGTAAAACATCATTTAACTAGTCCTATAAATTTTTAGCAGAAATATACATACAGCTTTTTAGTGAAAGTCCACAGAATAAATTATTCTTAAAATATGATCTATAGTAGGAAGGATTTGTTTCCTGTCCAGTTAAAAATGTGGAATATGCTTTAAATGTCAGTGTAAACCTGTATTACCTCCTTGGTCACTCTGAATTGTGAATGTCAGGATTTAAAATACAAAGCAGTTTGAATATTTTTGTAATTTTGAACAAAAATTCAAAAAGTGAAATAATCTACAAATGTTACTTTGGTATTTCACCCCTCAGTTCAACTAGTAATGTATAGAGTATAAATCTTTTAATTATTTTGCATATTATAGGTTTCAATAAATCTATATTCTATAATGTTATGAAAAAGAATTTACATAGTCACGAGAATGACATACTAACTTGTAGCTACACTGACATATGTGTGTGTTAGAAATTGGAGTGTTGTCCCACCATTTTTGAGTTAAATTGAATGGGGAATTTAGCCAGATGTGGTGGTGCACACCTGTAGTCCCCGGTGCTGAGGAGCTCTGCTATGTCTGACAGATGTCATGAACTCTACATTAATGACGAGCCCCCAGGATCAGAGGGACCACCAGATTGCTTACGGAGTGGCATCAGGCCACGAAGGGCTCCTGTTCTTTCAGCCTGGTCAAGAGAGGAGATCCAGTTTAAATAAATAAATAAATATTTATTAATATAAATATATAATATATAAATATAATTTTATCATGGAATTTAGTTTTTAAAAAAATATCACTCAAATTCTTTAAAAGTTCATCTAAGGGATGCTAATTATACTCAGAAAAACAAAAAAGGTTAAGTGGCCCTTTATCCATATAACTCTCCCCTGTTATCTTTGCTGTGGTTTGTATTAGGACCTAAAGAAACCTGTCCAAAGTATTCATAATTAGCTTTCACTTATCCAGGATAAGAAGGGATAAAAGAAAGTTGTAGATAGGTTAAAACTATAAATGATTCTTAAAAATTATATTTGATTTTTTTCATGTAATCATAAGTTGCCCATTAAGTTTACAGGTGCCAGCAATGGCCTGGAACTTGTGCATTTTAAATTCTAGCCAGAATCACAATAGAAACAGAAAGCCTTTACAGTAAAATTGGGATAACTCTTTCTATACATGGCCACTGATTTACTCCAAAAATAAAAATAGATGAGATACATAAATTTTACTTAAGATGAACTTTACAGTGTTTTGGGTTTTTTCTGTGAGAGAGAGCATTTTATCCACTTTTGAATTTTAAAACCAGACATATAATTTTCTCCTCCAAGTTAGTTGTTATACAACAAGTACACTTAAATTGCTCACTGTATCCACTTAAAAAAAGAAGGAATGAGGCATAGAACTGGAAGGAAAGCTATGTAAATATAATTCCAGCCTCACATACACTTTAGACTTGGTACTTTTTTAGTGAGAGTTTGAATAAAAGGTTCCTGCCTGCCCTCATTTCACTGAAGGAGCCTGTGTCCTTCACCATCAGCCACATCTATAGTCCAGCCTCTTGTCTTCGTAAACACTTATGCCTTGCTTTCAGCTGGTGAGGTTCCATCCCATTTCTGATTGCTGGCTAGCCAAACCCTCTCATCCAGCTTATGGTTATTAATACCTGGCATCTCCACAAAAACCTTCTAACTCATCTCTCCCTCCACCCTCCATTTCATCTATTTGTCTCCCTTATTGATGAAATTTATCTTTGCGTAGTCCACCTACTATTTATTCTCTCCAGGTCCTTTACAGTTTTGCGTGAGTGGCACAAACTGTGGATGTGTGTGTGTATGTATGTGCGCGTGCAAGCTTTCTCCTGTAGCCTGCCTTGGTTGTACTTGTAGCTGTTAACTATGGGGGATGAAGGTGACCAATGCACACTCAGTTTAGAAGCCTTATTTCATAAACTAGACCAAATAACATTAGCAATAGGGACTTGGCCTACAGGTCAGAGATCTCCTGCTCTCTTTACTCAAATGATGCAAAAGCTTTATTTAGCAAAATATATTTTAAAAACTAGGATTTTTTTTTAGTAATTTCCTTTTAAAAATTGAAATTTAGATGTTGAATTATTCACTTACCTTTATTAGGATGCTTATATCACTGAATAAAATTGTATTTGATCTATTTGAGTTGCTTATTGTATTCCATCATTGTTCATTGCTAGAAACAGTACTAAGCACTTTATCAGTTTGGAAGCATGCTTTTTGTTTTGAAACTTTTTGGGGAAAGTTCATTATTAGTCTAGATCTTATTTGCCATGCTTTTTTTTTTTTTTTGAAAAATATTAGATAATCACATTTTTTTTAATCTAGAAATAAAAATGACAAGGTAGACATGCAGTTTTTTCTCTTCATGTTCCCAGGTCAGCTCATTTGGATCCCTGAGAATATGTTTATTTTTATGCAGATAATTTTTTCCATTGTCCTTTAAGTAGGCTTAAAACTGTATATTTACATAATATGTATTGGTACTGATATGGTGCTAGGTATTTTAATAGGCTGAGATTTTTATGTAAACAAGATCTTTTAATGAGATCAGTTTTTATTCTTTGTACTTGACAGGGTCAAACATTTTTCCCTTTGGTTTCAGATTCATTTTTAAGGAAATATTTTAATTTTTGTTAGAAGAAATAAATTGGCTATTCATTAAAACATTATGCAGTCATAGACTTTTAAAATAAAATAAAAAATTAAAGTGTTAAAGTGCATTTTGGACCTGGATTTTAGTTCTTGCTCTTCTACTGCATAGCATTGTGAGTTTAGCCAAGCTTGTAGCCCCTTTAATGGGCTTAAGTTGTTCTTTCTGTTAAAATAAGGTTAGACAAGATGATTTCTCAAGTATCTTTCAAATTTAAAATCCTATAGTTTTATTATCTGTGATCATGTTATTTTTAATGGTGGTGGTGCTGTTGAACTATTCATTCAGAAAAATAAAAATGTTTAAAATATCAACATTATGATGTATAATTTGTATGTGTTGAGCACATGATGTCTTGGCAGTCTTAAAAATAAGTTTGACTTTTTACCTAATTCCTGTGATTAGTCATCATGCTAGTTCGAAGAAGGAGAACCAGTGGTAATTCTCATTTAAGTAACGTTGTCTGTTGGAATGCAGGTGATAGCTGCTTTTCTGATGAGCATCCACAATGCTTTTTAGCAGTGAAAAGTTGGTTCCCATACTTTAATATAGTGGAATTTTTAATTGGGGGAAGTGGGCTTGAAAGGAGAGAAGATCTGGGACTGATCTTCACACACCAGGTCCAACAGTGAATTGATGAGAGTAATAGTCCATGATCATCGAGAGCCTAGACTGTATCACCCTTTGAGTTTTACCAGCTAGGTACTGAGTTTCTCAAGTCAGGTGTGAAGAAAAGGGCATGGATATGTCAGAAACAAAATATACTGGGTATAATCCAAATTTATTAGCTATATAATTATTTTCTGCATTACCATTCTTGTACATGATGGAATTTCTGAAATCATTACATAGAAAAATGTTCTAAATTATCTCTTGCATGAGAAAACACAAACCTGTCTCAAAGACTAATATTTATCTAAGAATATGAACAGATACTGAATGCCGTAATGTAGACTATTCCATTACCAGTCTTTGTCTGAGGGGGAGATCTCATTTTATGAGGGGACCAATGGCTTAAAGATTGCTTGGCTGTAGAGGACTTCACCTGAGCAGAATTTATCCTGGCAAAATATTGGTAGTCTTGCAATAGAAATATTAGCAATGACAAGGAATCGAATGTTTTGCTCTTTTACTCTTCCCAGTTTGACTTAAAAGTACCAAAAAGACATAATGAAAGACTTTGCTGTTTTTTGATATTAAAAAAATTTCAGTCTTCATGTGTCGCAATTTTAATTTTAACCACTTGACCTATTCATATGCTCCATTAGACTTTTCATGTCACTGAATGCTAGACTAAGTCAGTCCTAGGTCTGCTTTAGGTAACGTAAAGGAGGAGACACTTCCATAGATGTTCACTTTATAATTTTAAATTGCTCCCCAGAGTCTTGGAAATAATAAATGGGATCTGAATGTAGAAATTTTTCTTAAAATTAGTCCAAGTTTTCTGCTCATTTTTACTTATACTATAATGACAACATTTACCATTACTAAGTGATGTTGTTTTGTTCAACAGCAGTGAGTGGAAGAGCATCTGCAATGTCCAACACTCCTACCCACAGTATCTCAGCTTCTATTTCCCAACCTCAGACGCCTACTCCAAGCCCGATCATCTCTCCTTCGGCCATGCTGCCTATCTACCCTGCCATTGATATTGATGCACAGGTGAGGCACCTCAAATCATAAAAGGAATCAGTTGAATCAATTAAATAGTGTTAAAATAGTTCTTACTTTTCATTAACTAATTTATGAAAGTTTAATGTCATTCTTTTTTAAGCATACCACGGGTTCTTACTGTACACTTGTAAGTTAAAGCTCACAAAAAGCCTAAGTGTTTATGGCACTGTCATTATTAATGTATTTTCTTAAGTCGTAGATGATGATATCTAGTTCTGTAAAATAATACATATGATATACTTAATAAAATCTATCTTAAAAATTGATAATGCTACTTTTTCAGCCATATCACAGTGTTTACTGTTATATTCTTGGGTACTAGAAGGTCTCAAAAACATTGACCAAATAGCTGCATAGTCTGATGAAAGAAATTTGTAAGTCCATCGTTTCATAGTATATGAAAAAAAAATACGTGAGTCGATCTAACCAACATTTATTTAAGAACACATTATGTGCCATGAACTATGTTAGGGGTTCTGGTACAAAGATAGCAATGAAACAGCCCCTGCCCTCAAAACGTCTTACCAATAGGCAGAGACCTATACTTGAATTAAAAGATAGAAAATAAATACAAGGTAAAATTTTGAGGCAGAAGGGGAGTACCAATAGCACTGGGGGATCAGAAGTAACTATATATAAGGTGTCCATGAGCAAAGCTTAAAAGGAATGAAGATATTCTAAGAGGCAGCCATGAAAGGAGAGACTGGAGTCATGGAGTCCCATTAGAAACATGTGGCAAAACTCAGGTGCAAGATGAAATCCTAAATTAGGGCAATGACCAAATGAGTAAGGAGAAAAGTAGGATGTAACCAATTTTTGGCAACTGATTAGGTATATGGGGTGAGAATGAATGAGAAGTCAGACACACCACCTATGTGGTAAAATCTGAGTTGTTGGAAGGTTTGCTGTCCCCGATAGAAATAGGAAAGTTCAGCAGGATGGTCAGGGGAGGGATTAGGGAGGAAATAATGCATTTCCTTTTGGTCTTATTAATTTTTGAGATGCCTGCAGGACATCTGTTTGGAAATACCTGGTGCTATATATTCAGTGTTTACACTCGGTATGTGATATAAAATTTAAAGAAATTAGTCATTTCTTCAGTTCATCATTACAATCTACCTATGAATATTTATGATTTCCAACAGGCTCTAATTAGTAAAATAAAGATGCCAGATCTCATGCCACATAACCTGGCAGAAGATCAATTTTCCAACTTTCCTTTCCTAGGGGGTTTAAAAATGATCTTGAATGATAACAGTCACAGAATTTAAATGTTGGAAGAAGAAAGAAATGCCCATTACCATCTCTCAAGCTAGTAGTGGTCCCTCACTGTTTGTCCACCTCCCTCTGCTTCATGACTGCCTTGGCGTGTGCGCATGAGAGGCTTCTATGCCAAGCGATTGCTTGGTGATGGTTTTGTTCGGCCCCAGGTTCGGCCCCAGGTTGTGGCTAGGATGTTCACATGCATGGGCAGGGATCTCCCTGAGTGCCCCTATTTTGTCTGTGCCGTGCAACTTTGGTACGCATCTGTGCCAAGCCCTTCCGCTGGTTTTAGTTGCAGCTGCTCTGAAGTCATCACTTGGGTTTGAGTCCTGCCTCTGGCACTTACTTTGCTCGAGTTAGCCTCTAAATGAGAGGATTGAACTGTGTGGCCTTGGAGGTCCCTTCCAGCTGTAGCGTCTGTGACTCTGTGAAGCCTGTAGTGTTGTTTAATCCATCCTACTGGATCCTTTCCACAAGGAAGAAAGGGTACTTTATCAGATACTTTGCTAAAATCTAGGTGAACATATTTACAACAGGTCTCGGATTTGCTAGATTGGTGATCTTTTTATAAAAGGGAATAAGCCTGGTGTGATAAATTTTGATGAAACCATGCTTGCTCTTTGTAATCAACACTTTTCCTTTCTTCATTAACCATCTCTGTAATGATCAGTTTTCTAAATTTCTAAGGAAGCAAAGTCAAGTTCACTTGCTTATAATTTGGAGATGATTCTTCTAGTCCTTTCTGAAAATCAATACATTTCCCCCCTTTCAGTTCTGTAGCACCTCTTCAGTCCTTCTTGATATCACTGACAATGACTTAGCCATATCTGCCGGTTCTGCATCCAAGAATGTAGCTCATTTGAGCCAGATGGCTTGAAATCATGCAGATAAGTTGATAAACATAAATTGCCTGCTACGTGTCAGGAACTGTGCTGAACACTGGGGATACAGATACAAAAAAGATAGTTCCTGCCCTCAAAGAGCTTACTGAGGGAAGACAACATATGAAACGAAGCTGAAAATGTGGGGAGAGGGGAAGATAAACCTGCCATCATGGGGGGGGGGTGATCAAAGGAGTCTAAAACAAGTGCCGTGAGTGTGAATGAGACATCTAAAATAGCTTGATACGTAATTTATTAAGTGCTTAGTATGTGCCAGGTACTATACTAAGAAAACTAGCAAGACAGTTCCTGCCCTTAGGGAGCTTGTATGTGAATAGAGAAAGACAGCACATAAAGGCAAAGTGGGAAGACGGAGGGAGTCACGTGCATGGCATGGAAGCTTGATTCACAGTAAGAGAAGGTGAAAGCTCTTCTCTTGGAGGCAGAGGACCCAGGAAGGGAGTTGGAGGCTGTGGTGGAGCGCAGATGGAATGATGGTTGGATTGCCAGTAGAGACGGCTGGAGAAGAGGTCAGGGAGTCAAGGAAGACTTGGGTGTTCTCTTACTGTTTTCTTATATAACCTTACCCTGTTAGTCGTTGTTCTTCTGTCCTTTCATTTTCTTTAAATTGAGCAGCTGCCTTGTTAACCATTTTCACATTGACCCCTAGCAGCAATTCTATACATTCTTTGAATCTATTCTGTCTCCATTTAAAATTTTTTTAAATAAAAACCCTGTAGTTCTAGTCAGTCTCAGCTTCTTCTGAGCTTTGACACTCCTGTCATTCTTATTTAGGATCTTAAATCCATCCGTTTTTTGCCTGTACTTCTGTCTTCTATACATATCTTTTAAAAAACGTAAGTTGGTGGTGAGGTCTTTGAGCATATACAGCATGTCCCAGATGTTTTAGTGCAGATTTAAGCTTTAATAGCTTATCAGTCTCACGGCTTATTTTTTCATTGCTTTGGAAATTTCCTTGGAACCATTTGAAATCTGTCTTCCCTAAATCTAGGGCACATGTTAGACTGTTGAGGTTTCCTTTCCTCCTCTGTCAGAGACACAAGGAGGAAGTAGTTCTCTCTCGCCAACCCAGAAACCAGTTATTCCCTGTTAAACTGAAATCATATTGATTATGGAATGTCACCGTATTGTTTCCTCTTTTGAAGCATAAAATTACAACTAAGACAAGTCAAAAAGTTATTCATTGTTCTGCAGTTGGAAGAGAGCTAGAGCCAGATATCTTAATGGTTGACCGTGTCATTACTCTGTTATGCCTATGTGCCAGGCTTGTGCAAGGTCTGTTTCCGTACTTCCTCACGTATAGTGCAGCATGTTTCTCTTCATTCCACTTCACTCACAAGTATGCAATGTGTTTATGTAACTGCATGTACAGAGTGTAAGAGTGCATGGCAGCTTTCTTCCAGCCCTATAGAGGATGTGATCTTTTCTGAGAAGGGAAGTAAGGTGACCTAAGTGAATCAGCGTTGTTTGGATCCATCGAAATTTATTCTCACTCTTTTCAAGCTTTGTACAAATCTTGATGTATAATTTTCAGCATTATAATAGTGTTCCTGCATTTCTTCTCTTTGTTACATGGAGGAAGTTTGGAGTCCTCCTGCTATAAAACTGCTTCTATCGCTCTGCATGAATACACATGCCTGCACACATACATACCTTTATATAAGCCACAACTTGTTGCTCTCTTCGCTTGGTCCTAGAGTAATATAGTCTTAGATGTTTAAGAGTTTTATTGAACTGAATGTGTCCTTGCACTTAATGTCCTCGGGCTGTGGTGACGTTTCTGTGGTTTAGTTTCTGCTTTGAATTCATTTATTCTCTGCTCTCGTTTGTGTGTGAGATTGGTAGATCTAATGTCCGTAGCTACTTCCTGCTGTGATTGACTCTCATCTCTCATTCATGTTTGCATTTCTTCTTCCTTCTCTTCCGTGATCCCCTCCATAATTATTTACTAACCAATTCAAGCTCCTCTTTGTCTTTTTGTAAATTATTTGTCTCTCAAACTCTCCCTTGTTCTTTTGTTGCTCTTTGTGTTTGAGAGGTTTGGCTATTTTAGATTATTTTGATTACACTTCAGTTTAACAATAAAGGCCAGGTAATGTGCTAGGTGCTAGGGACACAAAGGAAAAATTGAAAACTGCCTTGGCTTTCGGTTGCTATTGGATGATGGATTTCAAATAGATCTACACTGGGATACGTTTGTTCATTGTATGCCCATCTGATGAGGAGTAGAAGCCAAAATGTAGCAGTGGTGCGTACGAAAGTACTTTAATAAGTTGTATTGAGAGTTCCCTTGCGCTCCGTCTGTCAAGCTCCTAAGTTGTTATATCATTTTAGACTTTTTGGTGAACATATATTTTTGGCATACACATACACACATGTGTAATTCTTAGTAGCATTTTTTTTCCTTCAAATTTGTTTCAACAGCCTAGCTATGGAATTTCACAAAGGCCACTTAAGTTTTTGACCATTTAAAAGAAAACCTATAAATTTTTATTTAGTATTGGTGGGAAGCAGTGGGTTTCAGTGGAAAGAGCAGTGGTATAGAATCAGAGGACCTAAGTTGAAATCCTGGTATTGCCTGTGTGTGTAACCTTGAGTGAGGTATTTCACCTCAGTTTCCTTGCCTGTAAAATTAGGGGTTGGGTGAGATGATCTCTAAAGGCCCCTTTCAGTTCTAAGCCTATGATCCTAATCCAAGATTGGAGAAGACAAAAGAGTGAGTATAAATATGTATGTTTCTAATTTAGCATCTCAGTAGGAAAAAAATTTTTTAAAAATTTTTTTAAACAGACTGAAAGCAATCATGATACAGCACTTACACTGGCCTGTGCTGGTGGACATGAGGAACTGGTGCAAACACTGCTTGAGAGAGGAGCTAGTATTGAACACCGTGACAAGAAAGGTAGGAACTATTTTTGTTCTGGAAATTGTTTTTAATGAGGTAAGATGCTCTGTCTCATGTCTGTAAGTCATAGTGCCTAGCAGTATCAAATGTGAGTTTGAATTCTGCATAGAATGTTCTGACAGTAAATGTTTTTCAGGTTTTACTCCGCTCATCTTAGCTGCTACAGCTGGACATGTGGGTGTTGTTGAAATCTTGCTGGACAATGGTGCAGACATTGAAGCCCAGTCTGAGAGAACTAAGGACACACCGCTATCATTGGCTTGTTCTGGTGGAAGGCAAGAGGTAGGGCTTCATTCTCCTGAATTTTTTCCCTTCCAACTTTGTTGGATGAGTGTACCTTTTAGGATTTTTAAAACTTTGGCCATCTTAACAGGGTTTGAAGTAGATGGAATGTTTCTACAGTGTTAGCCAGGCAAAACAAAACAAAAACTTTGTCAGAAGAATGGGTGCTATCCATAATTCTGTAGCCCCATCTTCAGGAAAATAGTAAGCTAGCTGCCATCATGTATCGTTGGTCCATCAGAGTAGGAATTAGAAGACCTGGTTTTCTTTTGTCATGCCAAAGTTTGCCTGACCATTGGTTTTTTATAAGTCTTTTCCTGTTTCTGTGAGTTCTTTCCCACTTAGGCTCAGGAATCTTTTGGGGTATTTGGAGTAAGCCCTGGGAAAAGGCAAACAAAGAATTAAGAATATATTCTCAGTGTTTCACCTCTTTTTTGGTGTAAGCACTACTTTACAAAGTTTCTTTCCCACAACAACCCTATATCATAAGTAATACAAAAATTATAGCCCCATTTTATAGAAGAGGAAAGTGAAGGACCGAATTCAAGGGACTCTTACCTAGGTTTTCTGAAGAAATACATACAAAAACATAAATGCATACTGATAGCTTGGAGAATTAGGAAAGGCTTCCCTTTGAAGCAAGTTAGGGATGATAAGACACGAAGGTGAAGGGGGAGTGAGGACAGTCTATGCAAACGCACTGAAGTGGGTAATTGAGTCCTGATGTCCAATATGGCACAAAGGCCATATTGGCCCTGGAGCATATCTCGCCTTTACCACTGGTCCAGCTGCTTGATAGCTCTCCCACCCAGCTTTTCCTGTTTCTGCTGGTTTATAAACAAACCATCACACCACAGCCATCCAGTCTTCGAAGTGAAAAGTGTGTTGCTTTTCAGCCCAGTTCCAGCTTAACAGTTACTTCTGCTAAAATGTGGGACTCAAAACTGGTCCCACTATGTGAGACATACCACCAGATACATAAGCTACTGAGAAGGACCCCTTGGCATGCTCTGTTGCTGTTACTGCATCCTAAGATGACGTCCCTTTTTGACACCGTTGATTCACCTTGAGCCTTGTAGTGCCATGGAAAGCACAATGACCCTCTGACATGATCTTGGTGACCTTGGTGTCCCTTGAGGGCATCTAGATCTAGGATCCTGTGAAACTCCCATGACATAAATTGCTAGACACATGACAGTTGGATGAACTTTTTTGTTACTTCAGTTAGGGCTTGTCTGCATGCTGTTTCTGAGATTTAGTTTAGTTAAGTTATCCCTTTCTTTTGTTAATTTGGATAGTCTATACTGATCTTCTTAATGATCAGAACTGGTCTATATATACTTATGGGACCTTAATAAACAATTACAAGGACATTTTCTTAATATTTTAATACCTTAGGGAAAACCTAGTAATATCTGGGAGTTAAGATCTGATTGGGATTTGTTTCAGATGCCTCTCTAACTTGTCTTTTATATGCTTGCTCTCGCACTAGACCCCGCGTAGTGAAATACTGTCTGTATCTAGATGTTTCCAAGAGGCAATTATTGAAGTTTCTCTGCAGAGAGGAAAAATACGTTGACTGTTCCCTGCTGTTTGAGCTCCCTCTTACTACGGCCTTTAAGGCTTCCTGTATGTTAAACCTTTAAAAATCACTAAAAGGAAGGTGCTTTATTACCACATTAGATGGGATGATTTAGTATTTGGAGAGCTGCTAATAAAAATAATGATTTATAATTCAGCAGTCTTAAAGTTATTAGTGTAATAAATCTCTTCCAGTGCACCTGAAGAAATAGCAGTGTAATTTTAAACATTGTGGTAGATGAACCTCACAGCAAAGTGTTGTGTGCAAAATTACCTATATATCTCACTAAAATTTACAGCTTTTTTGTCTTTATTGAAATGACATTTATTGTGGAAAATAGCCAGTTTAAAGTATTAAAGCGAATAGTAATTAGGGCTAATTTCCTTCCTTTAAAAGCAGAGTCAATAGGAAAAAAAATTAAGTTTCGAAAGAGACTATTCAAAATAATAGCCATTCATGTGAAAGTCTTGTGTAGATAAATGGGTAACCCTAAGTTCTTGATATTTTAGTCAATTAAAATGTTTATCTTTTTCCATTTTATTTTAGAGCCCCTGAGTCCTTATAAGCAGAGGGTGTGTGTGTCTGTGTAATCACCTTTAAATTACTTTTAAATGCTTGATTGTATAGTCATTTAAAATTTGAACCTCCCAAGCCTACTCCAGTGTGATGACTACTATTTCTTTAGGATACTTCATTTGGTTACAAAGGGTAATTGTGGCCAAAATCTAGAAATCATTGTGAAGGATAAGGAAGTATGGGATTGAGACACTTCAGAACCCTGGAGCACCCGAGATATTTGATTGCTGCTGCCTTTGAGGACAGCCTGCAGACTATTGGATTATGGTGTAGGAGAGGAGTATGATGGTGGTTATTTTTTCAAGGGTGGACCAGCAAAGAGACTGGATCAGGGAGTGCATTGGTATAGAGGACTGTCCCCACATCCAGGAGACCCCTTCTCTGCAAGGTTCATAAGCACTGGCGTTAAAGGATTCACCCTAGTCATCACAGCCAGGATGTGTCAGAGGTGGAATTAAGGGGGCCCATAAAAGATATTTTTCTTGAGTTTTGATGATGTAATCAAAAGAGCTTTAAACAGAAGAGGACGGGAAAGAAAGGCATACATATGTTCGTGAAAATGGATACCAATACCATCAAGAATAGCGATGAAATATATATAAAGGATAGCAGTAGGGGCATCCAGAAGTCCAAAAACAGAGCCAGCATGGTTATCTATAGACTCGAGGATCTGTCCACGAATGTAAGACATGTGGGCAAGAACTGAGGTAAGCCAGGAATCTTGATTCAAGGAGATGCATTTATCCTTGACAGGGTAGGGATGAAAAGATAGTCCTTATTCCAAAAAAACAGGATGTATAGAGGAGTGAAGGTGTGGTGGACTGTGACTAGGTAGTAGTGTTGTATGTTATAAGGGAGTCCAGGGCCCAGAGGAGGAACAATGGTGGGGAAAATATTTTGGTAAAGATCAAAGGAAGCTACAATAGCATCAATGTTGTCGTTAGAGAATACTACAGAACCACTCAGACAGAAACATGAACCATCAGTAAAGGAGGTTAACAAGCATTTTTAAGAGTTTACTTTATGTCCTAAGTTCTGAGATGCAAAAAAGGGCAAAAAATAGTCTTTGCCTGTAACAAGCTCATTATCTAATAGAGGATGAAAACATAGAAACAACCATGTACAAAAAAGATATGTGCAGGATAGCTCAGAGTTCATCTGATAGGGAAGGCACTGGCTTAAGGAGAACCAAGAAAGGCAGCTTGGAAGTTGTAGGAAGATGGAAGGGAAAACATTCCAGGCCTGGGATAGAGCCGTTACGGATATCCAGAGTCAGGCAATGGATGCATGGAAGTAATAGGGAAGTACTAGTGTTTATTAAAAAAAGGGAGGGTGACATGCATCTTTAGGAAGATCACCTTTACTGCTAAGACGAGGATGGATGGAGTGGAGAGACTTGAGGCAGGGAGACCAATTGGCTATTGCAGTGGTCCAGGCATGAACTGATGAGGGCCTGCTCCAAGTTGGTGGTGTCTTAACAGCACTGATCAGCCAGGTCAGAGGGTAACCAGGAGAACAGAGTGTCCCGAAAATCTTGGGAGAAGAGAGTAGCAAAGAGAAGAGGGGGTATGGTCAGTGTCAAAGACTCCAGAGAGGTCAAGAAGGCTAAGAATTGAGGAAAGGCCATTAGATTTGCCAACGAAGAGATCATGTGTAACTTTGAAGAGAGCAGTATTAGTTGATTGGAGGGAGAAGTTTGAAACCAGGGGACAGAGAATTGAGAAGAGAGTGACAGGAAAGGAAGTCTAGGCACCTTGTAGATAGTCTTGGCAAGGAATTTACGCAGAAGGGGAATAGACCGATTTCAACTGAGGGTGTTTTGAGGATGGGGCGGCATGAGCCTATTTATATAGGAAGTAAGGAAGCAGATAGAGAATTGAGGTGATATTTGGAGAAATCTTCTAAAGAAGATCCCTTTGGAAAGGGATTCCTCCCTGCAGGGAGACAGGCCACCTTTTTGTGGAATAAAGGAGGAAATAATTGCAGAAGGCCTTTGAGTGATATGAGATGAGAAAGAGGGAGCTCTTGCTATGGCCTTCCTTCCTTTTTCATTTAAATATGAGGTAAGGTTCCCAGCGTTAAGAAAGCAGGGAGCCTGTGGAAGTTTGAGGATGTGAGTTTCCAAAGGCTGCTGTGCTAAGTGAGATGGTGGTTTGATTAATCAAGTGTAAAAAGATCTGGCCTTGCCACCTTCAGAGTCCAGATGAGATTATGTAATGCATTTGTAAAGGACTCATTCAGCATGCTTCTGATTTTTCTTTATCTTCATTCATCAACACATGAATAGGAATGAAGGCAGCAGTTGGTGGGAGTAATCCAAGATTGAGCTTGGCAGGGCAAGATGAGCAGTAGAATTGGACAAATGACTCAAGAGAAGAGGGAACTGTAGAGTTCAGCTGGTTCTCCGACATAGGCAAGGAATGGAGAGTGTGGCCAGTGTAGGAGTAATGGCCTGGCAAGGTATTGCAGGTCACAGGGTAAAGAACAGGGTTAGTTTGTAAGATGCAGAAGGAAAGATGGAATGACACCAGATGAGGAGGAGGTAAAGGAATTTTACAAATCATGAACATGGAAGTGGACATAGAGAAACAGGATGTGGGAAATGAGTCTGTGGAGGATTTAGGCAGTTAAGGTATTTGAGAAACTTTTGATGTGGATGTCGAAGTCTTCCCTGAGGCCAGGAGAGAAGCATAAAAAACAGACTACAGCCTAGCATGAAGGTATAATCAGGTAGTGATGAGACAAGTTATTCAGGCATTTGTTAGACTTTTCTCTGTAAAAAGCAGATCAGCTTTGATATCATTGTAGCTATATTGCCAAAAAAAAAAAAAAGGTGCAGAAATAAGATCAAGAAAATTGTATTTCACTTGCCTTCTGAATTCATCAGTTCCATCTCTGAGGGTGGATAAAAAGAAAGTAAAAATAAAATGAGAAAATTATACTACAATTTGCACTCAGATTTCATTAGTTCTTTCTCTGGAAGCGGACAGCATTTTCCATCATGAGTCCTTTGGAATTGTCCTGGATCGCTATATTGACAAGATTTTTCTTTCACAGCTTTCACAACTGATCATCATTACAGCATTGCTGTTACAGTGCGCAATGATCTTCGGGTCCTTCTCGCTTCACTTTGCATCAGTTCGTATAGGTCTTGGCATGTCTTTTCTGAAATCATTTCCCATACATTTCTTATAGCACAATAGTATTCCGTCACAATCCTATGCCACAAGTTGTTCAACCATTTCCCTGTTGATGAGTATCCGTTCAATTTCCAGTTCTTTGCCACCACAAAAAAAGCAGCTATAAATATTTTGTGCAGAGGTCCTTTTACTTTTTCTTTGCTCTCTTTGGGTTACTCACCTAGTAGTGGTATTGCTGGGTCACAGGGCGTGCACAGTTTTACAGCCTTTTGGGCATAGTTCCAGCTTGTTCCCCAGAATGGTTGGATCAGTTCGTCACCTATTTTCCCCCTTCCGCTTCAGCATTCGTCATTTCTGGTAGGTGTGAGGTGGTTATTCAGGGTGGTTTTAATTTCCCTTCACCTAGGGATCTAGAGCATTTTTTCATGTGACCATAGGTAGCTTTGATTTCTTTTTCTGAAAATCGCATCTTCATATCCTTTGACCATTTATCAGTTGGGAAATGGCTTTTATAAATTTGACTCAGGTTTCTACATATTGACAAATAAGGTCTTTATTAGAGAAATTTGCTGTGAAATTTTTTAGGAAAATGTGGTCTTTCTGATTATCTCTTTCAGTTACGTGTACTTCTGCTTTTGCTTTGTCTGAGATCATGATGTCCACCCCTGCCCTCTCACTTCAGCTGAAGCGTAATAGACTGCCCCAGCCTTTCATTTCAGCTCTTTCTGTTTCACGTGCGCCTCTCGAACACAGCGTATTGTTGGATTCTAGTTTCCGATCCATTCTGCTGTTCACTTCCCCTTCTGTGGGCTAGTTCACCGTAATGTTCACTCATTGTGAACGTTTCCCTCCATCCCATTATCTTCTGTTTCATTCTCCCCTCTCCTCCTCTCTCTTCCTCCTCAAAAGTCTGTCATGCTTCTGACCACTGCCTCCCCCCAATCCCCGCTCCTCTTTATGCCACCCCCCCCCCCCCCCCCTTTGTTTTCCCTTTCTCCTCCTATCTCCCTGTTGGGTAAGATGGATACCCAACTGAGTAGTATGTATGTATGTATGTATATGTCTGTGTGTGTGTGTTCTTCCCTCTTCGAACCAATTCCAGGGAGAGTGCCTGACACCCCTTCAACTCAGTCTTCCATTTGTGCCTCTATTATATAAGAAAATTTTCCCCATTCTACCTTTCCCTGCCCCTTTCTCCTGTTGCATCCCTCTGTCTACGTCCTTCTGACTTACCTAATAGTGATAAAATTCTTAGGAGTTACATGCATCACCTTTGCATATTGGAATATAAACAGTTTAACTCCTTTGACACCCTTGTGATTGTTCTTTCATGTTTACCTTTCTTTCTATGCTTCTCTTGAGTCTTCTGTTTGAATGTCAGATGTTCTATTTAGCTGTGTTCTTTTCCTCATGAATGCTTGGAAGTCCTCTATTTCATTAAGTGTCTATTTTTCTGTCTGAAGTATTTGTACTCAGTTTTGCTGGATAGGTTATTTTTGGTTGTGACCCTAGCTCCTTTGCCCTCTGGAATATCATATTCTAAGCCTTATGTTGCTTTTACATGGAAGCCACTGTCCCTCTCATTTCTTTTCCCATTTTTCCCTCTCTTCCAGGAATTCTTGTTTGGCTTGGGTCCATTTTCCTTTGAGGATTTGTTTGCAGCTGTTTTCATATTATTCTCTTCTTCAGAGCACTTATTATTTTAATATCTTCTGTACCACTGGAGTAGATTTTTCTGATGAGGTTCTTTTTTTGTTGTTTGCTCATTTTTCTAGCCTATTGCCTGACATATTAAATTTGGGCTCTGCTCACCTAGGGGTGGGAAGGCACTGTGCCAAGCTTTAGGCTTTTTTGTGTTGGTGTTTCCAGAACTAGTTCTGGGGTCTGCAAGTTTTTGGTGCTTCCATGGTAAGGTGATCCTGAGAGAGATGTGGTCACTGCTCTCCTGGTCTGGGCTGTGGTCCTTCCGCAGGAAGGGCCCCTGCTCCCCTGCAGTCACAAGTGCTGACAGTCCTTTGTGTCTGATTACAGGCGTTCTTCCACCCTGAAACCATTTATGGGCAATAGAATTGCCAGTTGGTGCCAGCACAGGATCCTCTAAGCTTTCTCTGATCAGTTTTGTGACCCCCTTCCTGTCTCTGGGCAGAGAGCTCCCAAAACTCTTGCTGCTTTGGCTGCTGCTGCTGCTACCTCCCAAGCCCACCACAGAAGCTCCTGCTGCTCTCTGGGGCTCTACCCCCCCCCTTTGTTGAGACCTTTCCTGTAGACCTCCTACATTGTCTGAGGCTGGAAAAATGTCTCCCTCTTCCTTTTGTTGGCCCTACCAGTTCAAAATTAGATTGTAGATGTTATTTTACAGTTGTTTGGGAGGACAGTGTAGAGAGAGTTCAGTCGGGTCGGGGCCTGTCCTTGGCTATCTTGGCTCTCTTCCTAGTTTACCATTTTTTAGTATGTTAACTTCAGTCAACTGGAACCAAAATCAGTTATTATATTTAACCTGAAATTTGTAGCTTTTTAGTGTAGTATTCATTTTTATTATTTTTAGTTATAATATGTATTGTTCTTTTGATTCTGCTTTCTTCTCTTCATATTCATTAATGGAAGTCTTCCCATGTCTCTCTCAATTCTTCATTCCATCTTTGGAGCCCAGTAATATTCCACTGCATTCATATGATTCTAAGGTATTAAGTGTCTGGCTCAGTGTCACAACTGTTTTGTGTCAGAAAAACAACTTAAACCCATGTCTTCCCATCTTGGATGATTGTTTTCCATTCACTAAACAACATTTCTTCTATTTATGCTCTGTGAAGAAAAAAAATGAACGTATCAAAATGTGTTAAAAAGAAAAAAAAACCGCTGTTTTTCCTATGATGTTTCTAGGTGGTGGAACTGCTTTTAGCTCGAGGGGCAAATAAAGAACACAGGAATGTTTCTGACTACACGCCTCTGAGCCTAGCTGCTTCTGGGGGTTACGTGAACATCATCAAAATATTATTAAATGCAGGAGCAGAGATCAATTCCCGGTAAGAATTATTCTTTTTTTTTTTTTTTTCTTATTCCTGTGACATCTTCTAGGCACTTAGTTCCCAGAACTTATCTTAAGTTTGGAACAGAAAGTGTACAAAGAGGCCGCTCTGTGGCCCAGTGGTGAGAGTGCTGCTGGACCTGGAGCCAGGAAGACTTTTGAGTCTGTTTGAATCTGGTTTCAGCTGCTTAAGGACCTTGATGTGTGTCCCTAGGCATGACACTCAACATCTCTCTGCCTCCAGTTTCCTTGTTTGTAAAATGGGACTAACAATAATAGTACTGGTCTTCCATGGTTTTGTGGGGATGAATTGTTAAATTTTGATAGAAATAAAGCAAAGTAAATTTTTTTTATCATGTTAAAATCAAGAAAAGGTAGACTCAAGGAATTTAAAACTTAGATTTAGATTCTGCCTTAGCGCTTGGTCCCTCCAAACTAAATTTAACTCACAAACTCTCGTTCAGGCCCTTCCCACCTCTTTGCTAGACTACTGTTCTCCTTATCACAAGCCTCTCCCCAATCCAGTCCTTCCTTCACGTAGTTGCCAAGTTGATGTACTAAAAAGGTGCTGACTGTGTCTTGACCCTACTCAGCAAACTCCAGTGGCTCCCTTTGGCTTCTGGAGTACATTATAAACTCTTGTTAGCTTTTAAAGCCTCGTACAAACTCAGTCTAGCCCCATCTTATATTTGTGGCTTCTCAATGCATTTCTATCCTTTCTCCTTTTCTCCTTTCTGAGAGTTCTGAAATCTACTTATCTAGCCCTAACCACTTTGCTGACCTCTACTCTCATACCTTCAGCTGCCCCTTGGACATCTTGAATTGGTTAGATCATTGACAGAACACATTCTCCCCCCAACCCTTCCTTCCTTCCTTCTACCTTTGCCTATTGTATTTGTAGCTTGTGTCATCCTTTGAGTCACCAGGTGTCATCCCAACTCCTTTCTCTTTTACCCTTCATTTCCAGTCTGTTGCTGTGTCCTGTTGATTTTTTACCTTTGTGATATCACTTGATTATGCCCCCTTCTCTCCTTTGACATTGCAGTTCCACTGGTGCAGGCCTCATCACCTCAGGCGGAGTTTCTGAGCCTTAGTTCTCTTCCCATTCCACCCATCTGCTACTCACTTTCCAAGGGCTTTGCCAACAGTATAGGTCTGACTCTGTCACCTACCTGCTCAGTCAACTCCAGTGGTTCCCCATCACCTCCAGGATGAAACGTCTTGGCATTCTGTTTGCCATCCAAATGCCTTCAGAACTTGGCCCCTTCTACTCTCTTTCCAGTCTTTTTACACCTTTCTCCCTTACCTCTCCCAATGCTCTGTAATCCAGTGACATAATTATCTTTGCTATTCCTCACAGAAGACATTGCTGACACAACATTTTCTCTATGTTTCCCCTATGCCTGGAATTCTCTCCTTCCTCATCTTTATCATCTGCCTTTCCTAGCTTCCTTCAGGTGACACCTAAAGCCTTCTCTTCCACAAGAAGCATTTGCTGATCCAGTTCCATGCTAGTGCCTTCCTTCTTTTGGTTATCTCCAACTTATCCTGGCTCTATCTTTGTTGTACATTGTTGTTTGTATGTCGTCACCCCAGTTAGAATGTGGCTCTGCAAGCAGTGCTTAGCACATGATAGATGCTTCATGAATGTCTCAGTGACTGACTGTGTGCATATACCCCAGAGAAGTCTAGATCTAAGACATACCCTCCATGCTTTGACATAGTCACTAGACCTGCTCTCTTGTTTCTCCCTAGTTGTTTGTATGCTTATCTCCTTGGCGAGCATATGGCTCCCTGAAAGCAGGCATTGTCTTTTGCCTTTCTTGGTTTCCCCAGCACTTAGCGCAGGGCCAGGCACACAGTTGGCACTTGAATAAATTTGTTGACAGATTGAATAACACTCTTAAGAATCTAGCCTATACTAGCCTCTTTAGGTTAATAAGCAAATATTAGTAAATAATAAATATTAACATATTTAGTCCTATCTTAGGTTTAAAATATGTATTTTTCCCATTTCAGAACTGGTAGCAAATTGGGCATTTCTCCTTTGATGTTGGCAGCTATGAATGGTCATACAGCTGCTGTTAAACTTCTTTTGGACATGGGTTCTGACATTAATGCTCAAATAGAGACCAATCGTAATACAGCCCTTACCTTAGCATGCTTCCAAGGAAGAACCGAAGTGGTCAGTCTTCTCCTGGACAGAAAAGCCAATGTTGAACATAGAGCAAAGGTAAGAAAAACTGTCTGTGTGGTGTTCTAGAGTTGTCTTTAGGCAATTCATTTTTATACGTCATGTGACAATGCTATTCTTTGTAGTTAAGAATGGTATCTTCATTTTTGCTTTTTTCAGGTCTATCTGAAAATAGTCACTCTCCAGTGTCAAAGTTTTATGCATATTTTAATAACTGACTTTAACAGGAAGTAATGTGATAATGGAGTCAATCAGAAAATATTTACTATCTTGTTTGTGGTTATTTCTAAAATAAGTTATATCATTACATGTTTTGGTTTCCCTTTATTTCTAGACTGGCTTAACACCACTAATGGAAGCTGCTTCTGGTGGCTATGCAGAGGTAGGCAGAGTCCTTCTAGATAAAGGTGCTGATGTTAATGCCCCTCCGGTGCCCTCCTCAAGAGATACCGCTTTAACCATAGCAGCAGATAAAGGGCATTACAAGTTCTGTGAACTGCTCATTAGCAGGTAAGGTATGACTGCTCTTCAGATTGGAGAATGTGAGCGCAACAGCACCTGAAATATGGGTTGTTCTCAGCACATTGGCATGAATCAAACAAGTCCTTTTTTGTTACTGTTTTTTGATGCTGTTCTGTAGTAGCATTAGTACATCCTGTCTAGTTTTTATTTCTTGACTATTTGATAAATGTGTTTCTTTTTGGCGGGGGGGTAAGCAGTGGGGTTAAGTGACTTGCCCAGGGTCACACAGCTAGTAAGTGTCAGGCATATGAGGCCAGATTTGAACTTAGGTCCTCCTGACTCCAGGGCTAGTGCTCTATCCACTGCGCCACCTAGCTGCCCCAATAAATGTGTTTCTTCAGGAGTCTGTTGTAGATGCTGCCCACTCCCATTTGATCACTATACAAAAACTGATTCTTCAAGTGAAGTGCTTATCTTCATGTCTGTCCTTTCTTATGATTGTATTTGAGTAATCATCAGTTTAATTCTCTTGGCTCAGCTGAAATGCAAGATCTCATTGTTGTTCCTGGTTTATCATTTAAAGTTAATTTGGGCTTAGAGCAGAGGTGATGGTACTGTTTTAAAGGGTCAGAAATGGGTAATTGGCCTCAGTCAACTTGGAGACAATATTCTGTTTTTAGAATGCCTGGTTCATAGTTGGTGCTTATGAACTGATAGATGCATGCAGTTTTATTGGAATTTAATTCTGTATTATGTCTCCTAAAGGTCAGACTTGAACTTTCATTTAGGTTTTTACCCTATTTTTGATTAAACGTTGGATATTGTCCTGCCTATGGAGTAGAATTCAATAACAAATAGTTACTCATTTCATGCTTTTCACCTGTAGTGAGACTCAACTACTGTTAAAAATTCCCATTGTAAACTTATGTGTTTTTTTTTTTTTGTTTTTGTTTTTTCAAAGAAAAAATAACAATATAAAGTTATGTGAAATTTGAAGACTAAAGTCACCTTTTTTTATCTGGGTATGTAGCATGTTGGTACAAAGGGCATAGTATTAGATATTAAAATATTCCTAATTTTCACTCAGGCATAATTTTCTATATATCATTTCCTTAAGTCTTTGTGGGAATTACATAGAAAGGTTAAGACTTTAAAAAAACAAATCAAACTCATTTTTTTAAATTGCTGAGGTTTCTATATCTTTGTTTTTTTTTTTCTTAAGACTTGATTAAAAACAAAATGACATTTAGAAAAATATATGTCTTTTCTGGGATAGATTTTAAATATGTCTTTCTTGCACTAATATTTTCAATGGCTACTAATTTTTTGATTTCATAGAAATGATGTTATTTTCACTTAATATGTAATTTATTTTTCTAGGGGAGCTCATATTGATGTTCGTAATAAGAAGGGGAACACTCCCTTATGGCTGGCAGCCAATGGTGGGCATCTTGATGTTGTCCAGTTACTGGTACAAGCAGGGGCAGATGTGGATGCAGCTGATAATCGAAAGATAACTCCCCTTATGGCAGCATTTAGAAAGGTAATATACAAGGCTTGTAGCTTTCCTTGGGGAATGCTATTGACATGCTGACCATTAAAGACTTTTATGATTTAGTAATTGATAATAAGTAAACAAATTCTGAGACAAAGGAGAATTGTTCATTTCTTGCTTGTGGAGGACCTGGATCTGAATCCTGTGAACCCCAGAAAACTATGACCACAATGTATGTCATTGCTGGAGGGGCCCACATTTCCAGTAGCAAGGGGAGAGGGCCTTCTGGCATCACCAGCTCTGTCCATCCAGAGTTTTCAGTTAGCCAACACGGGTTTGCAGGTTAGAAAGGAATGTAGGTTTAGTTATCGCTGTTATCTTAATTATTACCATTATCTCATTTCTTTGCCATTGAATTAAAATATTAACAGAGAAAGGAAGGAAGTGAAATGTCTAGCTAGCCCTTGTAGACATCTACAAACTGAATAGATTCTCGTCAGCCGTTGAAAGCGTGTGTCTGATGTCAGAAGAGAAGTTTTATGGGGAGGAGAGTGTGGGACGTGGAATCAGAGGCATCTTAGGGTTGGTTAGAGTTTGAATTTCAGCTCAGCTGCTTACTGTTCTGCATTTGGGCAGATATTCCACCTTTTAGGGAGTTAGTTTTCTCATATATGAGATAAAGGTGTTGCACTAAATGGCCTTCTGTGTTTCCTTCATCTTGAAGTCCGTGATTTTGTGGTAGCAATTTCACTTGCTCTGTAGAATGGGTAGCATAGCACTTTTTGCAAATAATCTATGGTTTGTAGTGACATTATTACATTGAAATAATGACTCACGTTTATGTAGCTCTTGACAGTATGTGACGTCTTTTCCTCAAAATAACACTGATAATTTTAAATTAAATTATATGGTCATAATCATTCCCATTTTACAGATGAGGAAGAACATTGTTCATGATCACTTTCCTAAATAAATAGCAGACTCGGGACTTAAATCTAAAGTCCTTTCTATTAGAATTCAAAGTACTGAAGTGCCTGCCACAATTGAAAGCTTAAATAATGTATATTTGTATTTAGAGGGATAAAATTGTATTCCTGAGCATGTACAAGTAAAATTCTGTTTTATACCCAGCAAAAATTTTTTTGTAGTAATGAAATATTTGAAATAGAAAACAAATTGTTAAACCATCTGTGCTGATCTTCCGTCTCTGTTCATTTTCTGTGTCCCTCACTGACTCCTTCCTCTTCCTATTTCTGCTTACCCTGCTGTTCCCACCCCCAATTGGGTGATTCTTCCCTTCCCACTGACTTAACTGGTCTCCCTTCCTCTAGTAATCTTGCTTCTAGAAATCTAGCTTGCATGTCTCTACTAAATTAATTTTTCTTAAGTACCACTACTTTTATTAGGCTATTTCTTTGCCTTCTGTCATTTATCAGATCTGACCCTTTTCCTCTTTTCACTTAGTTTTCACTTAGTACTCTTAAATACAAAACTTTTGTCTAAGCTAGGTATGTTCTTTTTCTGTTTCCTCAAACATTTTGTGCATTATCTCTGTCTCTCTTAAATCTTAGCCAGCCTTTAGGGCCATGCTTTATTCCTACCTCCAGTCTTGCCTTCTCTCATTCTAGTCCACATTGGTCTCCTTCTTGAACTCTTCAAGTATTTATTGTTCATTTTGACCTCTGGTCTTATGTTGACTTGTGGTATTATCTATATGTGTCATGTGGATTTGTCTTCCATGCTCAATAGACTCTGAGAGTAAGAATTGAGTATGTTTCCTCTAAGTACCTATTATATTTTTTTAAGATGCTGTTCAAGAAACAAAATTGTACAAAACTTAGAAGGAGGGAGATAATAAAACCGCCTAGAAAATATTATGTGTAAATGCCCTATTAATTAGTGGTGTATTATGAAAGAGGGATTGATCAGTGCTAATTGTGATTGCCAGGGAAAGCATCATGGAGCAATTGGCATTATGGCTTGACTTTCTATAGCGGGTAGGATATTAACTGGTGAAAATGTAAAGGGGGGAAATTACAGGCAGATTAAAATGTGGGAGCAAAAGTTTTGAGGTATAAAAGGTCATTTGTGTGTGGCATATTATTACGTGGTTAAGGTTGGCTAATGGATAGAATTTAGGCTGTAAAATTGTCAGATTAGTTTGTAACCAGATTGTAGACCTCTTTGAATGGAACATGAAATTCATTTGATGAATAGTAAGGAGCAGTCAACCATTTCTGAATATTAGTACATTATGTAGGCATTTCATGATAATTACTATCCATCACAGTATCCAACATGGTATTCTGAACAGAGCTATTAATAAGTTTTGATGATTGAAACATATTTGTAATATTCAGGACTTACAAAAGAAATAGAAACATTATCAAGACTTTCTCTTAATTAGCAACTAAAAAGGTCTTTGATCCTTTAATCATTCCTACTCTGCTAATCCTTTTTGTCCCAACAAAGGATTTGTTATCTAGAGAGGTTTGGATTTTTTATTGTATTTACCTATAGTGGTTGAGATGTTTGGGGTATTGGGGTACAGATGGATATGAGGTTGCCTGATGTTTGAGAAAAAAAATTCCTAGGTACTCTTCTCTTTCCTAATAATCTAAACATCACTCAGCCATGTCATTTCTTTATGGAACAATACAGTGACAAGTATCGGGGAAAAGCTCATTTCTTGAGGAATTCTTTGTTATAGAATTCTTTGTAACCAAATCATCAGTTAATTTTACCTGTATGTGAATGATAAACTACTTCACTTCAGGCAGAATATCTTACTGCGTTTTAAATGATATTTCTGTAGCACTCTCAAAGTAAAATTGAAATTTATTTTCAGGGTCATGTGAAAGTGGTGCGTTACTTGGTGAAAGAAGTTAATCAGTTTCCCTCCGATTCTGAGTGCATGAGATATATAGCAACTATCACAGATAAGGTAAGTTACTCTTTTGCATCAGCTGTATGCTGCCGGAACCATGTGGCTAAAATAATTCTCTGAGATTCACAGCTCTTTTCGCATACTTTGTAAACATGACAATGCTAAGTAGATGTGTCAGAGTCCTAAATGTAGGATATCTACATGTATATATCTGTGTACATGTCTATTATTCTAGTATTAGTAGTAATCATTTTTCATGTGAACGTCACAATTCAGTATTACAGTAATATTTTATTTATCTGCCATTATCAGCCAATGATGTGTTCTAAACTGGCTGAACTTTCTAAATGACTGAAGCTTATTCTTTTCAGCATAATTCCCTCACAAAAACAGTTTCATCATCCCCCAAACATTTAAAGATGCAACTGTGCTGACTGTAAAAGAAAAAGAGGAAAGATCTTATTCTGTTCAATGTTCTGCAACAAACTCTTTTGTCCATCAGGTCAGTGGAATTACCACATTGGATCCTAACATCCCAGTCTCTAATGTGCTTTTTAAGGACATGAGTTTAGTAAAAGATGAGAATAGGTGCTAGGCTAGCCCCAGATATGTGAAGAACAATCCTGAGCTAGAGGCAAACATTATTTGAAGAGGTTAGGGAACTGTTTTTATAATATGTGAGAGAGAGAGAGAAAGACCTAAATGTTGACAGAAAATCAGACACCCTTATTAGCATACTACTTTCTCATCTCTATAAAATTTTTGAGGATAATTTATACCAATTACAAAGTGTATACTTGGTGAAATTATGAAAAGGAAAGCAGCAGAACACTTTCACCAGATGTGTTCTCCAACAGATCAAATCTTTATAGCCATCAAGATGAGAAAGGTTTGTGGCTGAGTGTCTAAGGAAGGTCCTACTATCTACATTCTGATTGCTAATTATGAAAAAGAGCTTTGATCTTTCAGAACACAATGTAGCCTTAAAAGGTCTCATCCAACAAGATGTTTCTTGTGCATAAAAGAGCTAATAATTACAGCTAGCATTTACATAGTGCTTTAACGTTTTCAAAGCACTTTACACATGTTAACTCATTTGATCACCACCATAGACAATCCTGGGAGGTAGGTGCTATTATTATCCCCGTGTTACAGAAGAGGAAACTGAGGCACAGGGAGGGTAAGAGACTTGCCCTGGGTTGTGCAGCTCATATGCATTTCAGGTAAGATTCAGCTTGGGTCTTCTTGAGGTCTAGTATGTTAAGATCATGTTAGACTGCTTAATAGATACAACAACAGAGAAAGTTTGTTTAATCAGCCTCTGATCATTCATGTCAAGCAAAACAAAACCTGTGGCGAGCTGCTCTCCAGAGTTGTTTGTTTGCTTTTTTTGTGGAGGGCGACCTATATGGATTTCCCGTCGGAGAAGTGAAGACAGTGAAATCCTATCGTTTGGCTCCTGTTTACAGATGACACTGGGTTAATTAAATTGAGCTCCAGTATGACATAAAACGTCTCAGTGAGATCCATAGTTGCTCAAAAAGAGGTAAACCTTGTTACCTGTGTAGGATAAAAACACGTGGCTAGACAAGAACTATTATTCAGGCTGAATTTGCAGGTGGATGAGCCATAGGCTTGCCCATAAATAGATATATTTTGAGCCCACAGTAAACTGGGCTTAAAGTCTGATTAGAAGCAGAGACTATGCTGGGCTACATTTGGGAAATGTCACATTTTTCAGTGACATAAATCTTTGCCCTGAAACAAAGTCCTGTTTTTCCACATATTTGTTCACTTTGTTGGGTGCTGTTGTGTAGCAGATAGCCTCAAACCCAGGAAGAACTAGGTCCACGTCCCACTTCTGACATATACGTGCTCTGGAATGCTACGCTAGACTTCTGTTTCCTTGGGCCATTGTCTAAGGCTCAGTGGCAGAGAAACTGCTTATCTGCATTGGTGGATCAATGAAATCACAGGTCCAGGCCCTATTCTTGTTTTCCATCTTATTCTCTTGTATGGCTGCCAGTCATAGAATACTATCATCTATGAGGAATCAAAATTTCTGGTCATGCAAAGGCAGTGTAAGCACACCTGGTAAGCACAAATAAGGTGAAGAGTTTGACCACTGATGTATACACACAATTCTGCTTCCACTACATCCCTCCCATTCCTTTTTTTCTCCTCTGCCTTTGCCACAGAGTGACTTTCATCCATTTTCCTTGTCACTTGGACTTGTTTAAGTGGTCTTTCTCAGGCTCTTCTTGCTTGAATTCATTCTGCTAAGGCACCATTTTGATGGTATTTTTCCCCTTTTCAGGAATTTTCAGTGGCTCTCTTTTTCTCTAGCAGAAAATAAAAGCTGCCCAACTTAGAATTTCAAGGCTTCTGTGATCTGTCATATTACCTGCTTTCTGATTCCCCAAACTCAATATTCCATCTCTTCTTTGCCTTGGCATGGGCAAGACAAACCCATCCCTGGAATATAGTCCTTCCTCGTCTTGGCCTCTGAACCCTTAGAATTTTTCAAGACTTATTTCAGGTGTACCTCCCCTGGGTAAGTCTTGCCTCATCCTTCTGCTTTTTATCTCCTCAATTCTTGCTTCAATTATCTTATATATTTTACCTATTTACATGTGGGGTTCCTCCACTAGAAAGTGCCAGGCTTTTCTGTGTTCATCACATGCATTGTTTCTTATAGTGTGAAAATATTCCATCTCTCTGTCTGTCTTTCTCACAGACACACACACACACACGCACGCATGCACACATGCACACCACAATTTGTTTAGCTATGCACCCAATTTCTGGGAGTCTACTTTGTTTTCAATTCTTTGCTATCACAAAAAGTGATGCTGTCACTGTTTTGATGTACATGAAGACTTCTTATCAGTGGCTTCTTTGGGGGTATATAATAGCTTTCTTTTTTATTATTTTCTTCTACATTTTGTTGGCATTTCCACAGCTGTATCAAATTACAGTGGGAAAAGGGAGCATATTTACGTTACTCTCATATTTATTTGGAAAATTTCTATTTTCCCATTTCACACAATGGTAGCTTTTGGTTTTTGAGAGACACATTTTATTATGTTTTTCCTGAATGCAGCCCTTCCATGCCTGTGCTTTGCGAAGGCCTTTTTTCCTGCATCTGTTAAGTAAAATCACTCTCAGCCTCCATACCCAGTCAGTTGTCAAGCTCTGTAATTTTTACCTTGGTAACATGTCTCCTCTAATGCTGCAAGCAGCCTGATGCAGACCCTCATCACCGCGTGCCTCTGAGATTACAGGAGCCTATTCTCCCTGTCTTAAGTTAGTCCCCACTCCAATCAGTCCTTCATTTACCTGTCAATAGTCTTCCCAGAGCACAGGTCTGACCATATCTGACCCTCAGTTCACTCAACTCTAATGACTTACTGTTACCTCCAAGATTAAATATCAGATCATCTGGCTTTCAGCATCCCTTCCTATCTTTACAATCTTCTTAGACCTCTCTCTGTATTTTGTGGTTCTATGAGACTGTCTTCCATGCTGTTCCTTCCAGAAAACATTTCATCTCTCAACTCTGGATTTTCACTGGCCTCTCCCCTATGCTTTGAATTTTCTCCTCCTCTCTGCCTCCTGGCTTCCTTTTCTTAGCAAAAGCCCCACCTTCTGCAAGAAAGATTTTCTAGACTTTTTGCCTTATTGACTTCTCTCTGAGACTCCCCCCCAATTTATCCTCCCTATATCTTGTTTGCATGCTGTCTCCTTCATTATGACTGGAAGCTTCTAGTGGGCAGGCACTGTCTTTTGCTTTTTTTTTCATATCTTTAGTGCTTAGCATGATGCCTGGCACGTTAGTGCTTACTAAATGTTTATTGAATTGCATTGAACAAAGCCCTTTGCTGTTTCATCTGCCTTCATTAGTTGGGTGTTACAGCTGAAATTATAAGCAATTCATTTTTCTTTGTAACATCTCTAGTGCCCAGATCAATTAAATGGCTCTTTATGTCTTTGTGAAACACCTTATGTCTTAGACCACAGAGAAGGGTGTGTGTGTGTGTGTGTGTGTGTGTTTTGCTTATTTATTTAAGCCAACATTTAGACTGTCAGCCTCCCATTTTCAGATTTTATTTTACTCTGATTTGGGAGTGTGGGGCTTAAATAGGGAAAAGAGACTGGACCTGTGATTTCATCAGTCCAAGTGCACATCACTCAGGGCAGGTCAGTACCTTCTCTGCCCAGATTGTCTTGGGAGTTGTCTGAGATGGGGAGAGGGGAGAGACTCGGCCAGGGTCACATGGCCAGTATGTGGCTGTCCTGGGACTGGAACCCATGTCTTACTGCCAACTGAGACCAACTTTCTTTCCAGTGTAGTATGAAAACCATATCTTACGAATTTATGCCATGAATTTCATGTCCTATAACCATCTTCTTTCAGATTGGAAATTTATTTCCTTTTTCCTTTTAGGAGATGCTGAAAAAGTGCCACCTGTGTATGGAGTCAATAGTACAAGCCAAAGATAGACAGGCTGCTGAAGCAAACAAAAACGCAAGCATCCTTTTGGAGGAGTTAGACTTGGAAAAGGTAATCCCCTTCTTTACCAGCAGATTAAACAGCATTCTGTTCATTTGTATTAGCTAATTTTTGTTTGTTTTGTTCGTTTTTTGGTGAGCAATTGGAGTAAAGTGACTTGCCCAGAGTCACACAGCTAGTGAGTGTTATGTTTCTGAGGCGAGATCTGAACTCAGGTCCGCCTGGCTCCAGGGCCGGTGCTCTATCCTCTGTGACACCTAGCTGCCCCAGCTAATTTTCTTAAGTCATCAAAGTGTTAGTTCATCATTTAGCAATAAAAAGTACAGAAAATCAGAGAATACCTTAAGTACTCAATCACTCAGCCAGCACTTATTTAGTAACCACTAAATTCCAAGGCCTCTACTGTACACTGGGGAGAGAAAGACAGAAAAATCAGTAAGTAATACCTTGTCTTGAGGAACTTAACTTTCAGTAAGGGGAGGTGACACATACATGTATGTATGCATGCATGCATGCACACCTATAACTATGTCTACATACATGTACAACAGACCATAGATGTGAACGATGTATCATAAGAACCAAAAAAAAAATGTCTTAAGGCAGATTAACTTAGTCACCATAGAGGGTGATAAAAGCAATACAGCTTTAAAATTCAATCTGTGGCTACTGTCATTACATATTCTTGTAAGTTCTATTCTAATTATTGACATAGTTGTTCTAAAGTTATTTGATATTGCTTCCAAATATCATGGATCTACAGAGAGTGTCCTTGATTATTGTACCAATGCTAATTTTAAAGTCCAGATGGAGTGATGTCTTCTTACAAATGAAGTGTCCTTCTCCAGTTCTGTGTGTGATCATTTAAGAACCTATTCTTTTTTTTTTTTTTTTTAAGGCAGTTGGGGTTAAGTGACTTGCCCAGGGTCACACAGCTAGTAAGTGTCAAGTGTTTGGTCTGAGACCGGATTTGAACTCTGGTCCTCCTGACTTCAGGGCTGGTGCTCTATCCACTGTGCCACCTAACTGCCCCTTAAGAACCTATTCTTTATTGAATGCAGTGGCATTTCATTCCTCCCTGGTGCCAGGGGCAAGCATGGTCTTACACTCAGCATAAACGGTCTATTATGATTCCAAGGAGATCCAAGTGGAATTCTAAAGCCCTTTTATAGCACAGCAGTTCATCTTATGCTCTGTGTCGTCTGGGACTGTGCCTGTGTTCCATTAGCCTGTGACTACAGAAAAGAACTGCATAAACACATCAGTTGTAGAGGTTTTGGTTACTTAAAATGTTGGTGTGGGACAGGGCAAGGAGGGAAAGAATTGGAGAGTCACTTGAGGAAGGCCTTTGACCTCTTTCTCTTGGGTAGACAGCTATCGCAGAGCTCCTTCTTCTTTCCTAGGGAAATGGGACGAAGAGCAAGATAGGAGGGTGATGAATGGTAAATTCACTGGAGTGGCTCTGCTAGAGACGGGCTCAGTTGGACTGAAGGTCCTGTGGGTCCGAAATTTTCTAGACAAATCATACCGATTGGCAACATGCTGCTATAAAAGCACTGGTGTTTTTAGCGGCACACCAAATGCCACCAAGGCTCCAGGCACGGTTCTGTCACCTTCTCAATCCTCCTCCTCCCTAGCCGAAGCTGCTCTCGCATAATGTTCTCAAACTGGAACTCCTCTTCACGGAAGGATGTCAGCTAATTTGTGACGTCTCATTGGAAAATAACCTGCGTCAAAAATTGCAGGAAGTCTTCTCATTGAAGTATTTTTCCCTCAAGAAGGAACTTGTTAAGTCAAACACTCCTTAAATTTCTGGAATGCACAGGAAGACACTTTTTGAGCTGTGGAATTCTGGCACTATTGCCTGCTCCACAAAGTTGGTAGTTGTTTTCCTTTTCCTGCACATTCTCGCCAGGTGGAGAATATACAGACTGCATCATCCTCTAGTTTTGATGTTGCCCTCCTATGCAGCCAATTTTGCAAAAGGCTCTTTCTTCATGGCTTCCCTTACCCAGAAACCCTTTGAGGAAGGGCAGATGTTTTCAGTTAAGAATAACACATCTTCAGCTATGAAAGACTAACTTTCTAACATTGTTTGCGGGGGACCTTAGTTGGCTTAGGTATATTTTAACCCATGTTCTAGAAAGTTTTGTTGTTTGGAAAAAGGCAAAATTTCATAAATGTTTATCTTGTGTTATTGATGATAGAGGATGTGTGTGTGTGTGTGTGTGTGTGTGTGTGTGTATGTATATATAGCCAAGTCATAAGAATCAGTGGTAGATGAATAAAGTGGAATAAGATTATGGACGTTTTTAATTTGAGGACAGATACTTGGACTAGTTTGGCAAGACAGTGTAGAGGTTTTGTGGGGTCTTAAGAAAAAGGTAAACATAACCAGTGTAGATGAAGTATACAAGATGGATTGGAGGAGGAAATGAGTTGTGGATAGGGATTGTTGAAATAGAAGATTCCAAGTCTGAAATTGTGAAAGATGAAAGAAACAGAATTTTTTCAGCTTGGAGGAAGTTGAGGCTTTAATGAGCACTCGAAGGTTTTGACTCTAGTTGAGTTGGAGAATGATTTTTATTATTATTAAAGGTAATTATTTCTTTTAAAAACTGGGAAGATATGGAACAATGATCTATCATCTGGGTAGTGAAGATCATGAATTTTATTTTGGCACAATTGAATACTAGATGGTGTTTTTTTTTTTTGCGGATTTGGGGTCACATGAGAAGTCCATTAGGGGTCTCTTCCATCTGAAATTCTGTGATTCTCTGATATCTAAGTATAAATATCTTGCTGATAGTTTTGGAGCTAAAGGTTATAGATCAAGAGATAAGGCATTAAGAGATGACATTCTTTAATAATAGAAAACAATTGAGTTATCATACTAGCTAAGGGATCTCAGAGGCCTATTTCTGTTCTCTCAGTCATTGATTACTTACTGAGTGTTTCCTGAGTGTCTTTCAAGTTCAGACACATTCTCTTGTAATTTTGGACGATGTCAATGTGAGCTTACCCATAAAGACAGTAATGTTTGAGATTTTTAAAAGAATCAGATTTGTTTCAGTACTTTACACTTTGAGTTCAGAAGTTATCATTTCTGGTATGAAATGAGAATTGTTCTTGGTTAGGATTAAGGTGTTACAATCTCTCTTTAATATTTTCCTCAATAGTTAAGGGAAGAAAGTAGGAGGTTGGCTCTGGCTGCCAAAAGAGAAAAGAGAAAGGAAAAGAGAAGAAAGAAAAAAGAAGAACAAAGAAGAAAACTAGAAGAAATTGAAGCAAAAAATAAAGAAAACTTTGAACTACAAGCTGCTCAAGAGAAAGAAAAACTTAAAGTTGAAGGTATTCTTGTAATATACATAATAAGGCATGCTTTCTTCATTTTCTTATCTATGTAATACATTTCTATCAAAAGTCATATTTCATTCTTTTCTTTCCTGTTGGTCATTTGAACTGTACAAAAGCATTTAGATATTCCAAAACTCTTAAAGTCTATGTTGTACTTTTTAAAGATATTTATTTTTAATTATATTCTTACCCTTAAATTGGTAAGTTACAAATTAATAATCATGTGAGTACCTGTATCTTCCACCACTACTAACTTGCAAACTTAATAATTCTTGTTTGTTCTCATTTCCTTTAAATAAATAAATTTGACACAGTTACATAATGACAACATTAACAATCAGTTAAGCCCAGTAATATTTCTTCTTATCTTTGAATGAAAAGGGGGATGCCTTTTAATGTGATGGAATGCAGCATTTATATTTAGAATCTGTTTATGTCAGAGGAATAAGGACCAGGAAGTTACTTCTGTCTTACTGTCTTCTCCTGGCACTAGTGGGACTTAATTTGCCTTTCTCCCCCTTCATTCTAACTTTCTTCCCTTCTCCCTTTCCCTTTGCATGCATTTATTCCAGCCCTGGGAAATTATGTGTGAATCAGATTGGGAGAAAAGAGTTAATGGTGTTTGTTTGGGAGGAAGAAGGAAATTAGCATTTCCTTGCTGACCCCTAAGCAGCATCTAGTACCATGTAGTGTTTTACATTTAACCCTTGTTTACCATTTCTGAGGGACAAGGTTAGGGAAAACTGTTAGAGCAGCCTTGCGATGCAGTAGGAAATATTGCTGAACCCAGTCATAGGGCTGGTGACTGAATCCCACGTGTTCCCCTTTCCTTGGGTCATCTCAGGCTAGTCACCTCAGCTTTCTGAGCCTCAGGTTTCTCATCTATAAAATAAGGTCTCTTCCGGCTAAATTTCGAAACATTTAGAAAATGTGAATTATTACCTCAGAAATTAGTCATTAAAGAAAATTCTTTTTTGCACTAGAAACAGTAGGTATAAACACCATGTAAGGAACCTTTTATTTGTAAATGCAGAAGCTGTATAATTATAATTATATTATCAAATAGTCATGATTCTTTTTAAATTTGAAATTCCTTGACAGTTTCACGTAGGAACAGTAGGTCACAATTTCACACGTCGTTTAAGCCTTGTGATGTATTTGTATTTGAACGACTTCCCTTGTGATTTTGATGATCTTTCCCATCCCTTTTCTGTCCTACTAGATGAGCCTGAAGTTCCCATGGAGCCTCCCAGTGCCACAACCACCACCACCATAGGTATATCTGCAACCTGGACGACTTTGGCGGGTTCCCATGGTAAAAGAAACAATACCATGACCACCTCCAGTTCCAAAAGGAAAAACAGAAAAAATAAAATCACTCCAGAAAATGTGCAGATCATATTTGATGATCAGCTGCCCATCTCATTTAACCAAGCAGAAAAGGTGAACGGAGAGTCAAAAAGCAGCAGCACGAGCGAGAGCGGCGACAGTGACAACATGAGGATCTCCAGCTGCAGTGATGAGAGCAGCAACAGCAACAGCAGCCGCAAGAGTGACAGCCAGTGCTCCGCTGCCCCGCTGCCAGCGCCCGGTGGCAAGAAGCAGCCGTCCGTGCTCGTCACCTTTCCCAAAGAGGAGAGGAAGGCCGTGGCCGCCAAGACTTCTGTCAAGTCAGTTCCATTTAAATTTCTGTTTTAACTCTGCTAGTAAGTCTGATTGAGTTACATCTTAATGCTGAACTTGTTAAATATTGTATAGGCTTTGTTTTTCCCTTGCTAAATGACATTTTTTTTCCTCAAGTAGAATTGATGGGGCATTAGCAGTTCACATTTATCTATTTTTTCGCTTTGTTTTTTTTTTTTGGTGAGGCAGTTGGGGGTTAAGTGACTTGCCAGGGTTATACAGGTAGTAAGTGTTAAGTGTCTGAGGTTGGATTTGAACTCAGGTCCTCCTGACTCCAAGGCTAGAGCGCTATTCACTGCACCACCCCCTAGCTGCCCCATGAGCTCACATTTATATAGAAATTTACAATATACAAAGATCTGGCCAAAAGACAAAACAGAACCCTTCAAAGTAAATAGAAAAATGAGTATTATCACCATTTTATAAGTAGACCAAGGTTCGTATCACTACTGGCCTGAGTTCACACATCTTGTAAATGACCAGAGCAAAGACTTGAACCTAGCTTTTCCGCTTCCAGTCCAGTGTTCTTTTCTTTGCCCTGTGCTTTATTTTGTGCTTTGTGGTCTTTCAGTTTTCTTTCGGCTGCAGGGGGAACAAGACTGAACCACAAGTCAGTTCTGCCCTCTGGGGCCCAGTTTGCTCCTCTGTACATAAGCTCCCTTCTAGCCCTCGATTGAGGATTTATGACCCATTTCGAAATTAGAATATCTCGGAGTTAGAAAATTTGAATTTTTTGTTAAGTGATGTTAATTTGGTCATTATGTGTGTTTTTCTTTTTAAGTTAAAAATGTAGACTTCTACGAATAAACACATTTCAAGTATTTCAAGTACTTTAAATAAATTTGAAATTACTGCTTTCCCAGGAAAGTAGAAAGTCATCATTGGCATGTTTTCAAATAATACACTGACTTATGATTATTAGAGCTTATTAGCCCCTCTATTTGTGTGAAGTGCTACACACTTGATGCTTTTGCACCAAGTTTTAACCTCATTGATAAAACATGTGCGATGGCAGATGAAATTACTTCTCCAACACTTTTACTCTTTGTTTCGTTTAACTTTTTAAAATACATTTAATAGGTTTTCCCCCTTTTCTCTTTAAGATTGTCTGAAACTATCAGTGAGGTATCTGGGAATTCATTGTCCACCTGCACAAAATCTGCTTCCTCTCCACTTTCTTCACCAAATGGGAAGTTGACAGTAGCTAGTCCTAAACGTGGGCAGAAGAGGGAAGATGGCTGGAAGGAAGTTGTAAGAAGGTCAGTGAAATGTTCTTTTCTTAAAATTCATTTGTTATTTCATTTTCAGCTCTGAATTCTCTCCCTTCCTCCTATCCCAAGCTGTTCTACTCCTATTAAAAAAAAATAATAAATTCCTAAATTAGCCATTCCCAGAGAACTGTAGTGTTCTTCAGTCTGTCTGTTATTACCTTTCTTCTATCTGGAGGGCTTTGTAGCATGTTTCATCATGAGTCCTCTGGAATCATAGTTGGTTATTGTGTTGACCCAGAGGTCCTAGGTTTTTCTAAGGGTTGGTCTTTCCAGTATTGTTATTACCGTATAAATTGCCCTCTTGGTTCTGCTCACCTCACTCTGCAACTTTTCATCACGTCTTTCTAGGTAAAATGTTCTTCCTTGTTATTCCAGTTTTAATTTTATATTTTAAGTATTAAGGTTTTGTGACATCGAAATGATATCTCCATTTCTCACAAGGACTTCTAGAAAGTTTTCTGCCTCCAAATTTGAAATCAAATGCCAGAGTGGTATGGAGAACATTTTGCGCCAAATCAAATGATAACAAAATGTCAGTGATCCAGAAAAAAATTGGAATGAAGATCCTAAACTTTCATTTTCTTTTCATTTAATTCATAATGTTCAAGTTCAGAACAGTTTGAAATTTGCTTCTTTCTGAAGCTGTTAACTTAGAATTAGAAAATCAAAGCATCTTCCAAATGTAATTAAAACCAAAGTAAGTGTTTCACTTGAGTCTCTCTTATTACGATTATGTACCTGGTGTTGAGGAATCATCCCTGGAAAGAAAACAACCTGTGCCTGAAAATGGCATTAAAATGAAAACATAGTTCCATAGACAGTTAAACATTCAGAGATCATTCAGATTGTGTTAATGAAGAAATGACTACTAAACAATTTGTAGTTCGGTTAGTTACAATGACCATATTGAATCCCTGTAAGAAAATAAAAATGTTAAAAACTTCATGATTAAGTTTGTGTGAATATCTATTTCAAATGAATATTGTGTATTGAGAGTCTCTCTCCTTATACATACATACACACATATATACATATACATGCATATATGTATATACATGTATATGTATATGAGCCTATCTATTCTTGAACCTGATGAATCATTCTTACCTTTTTAATTCCAGGTTTTCTTCAACTCAGATTTCCCTCTATCGCCAGTTAATGGAAAAATGAAGTTCTACTATACTTAAAATGATGGTTCAAAAACTCACTGGATTTCTAGGTTTAAGGCAGTCTTTTGTACCTGTAGGTTGTGTGGATTTACAGTCACACTATAACACTTCACGTGTTAAAGAATAAAGGAAGATGAATTTTAACCCAAAACAAATGCCCACAGAAGAGGAAAGAAATGTGGCGATAAGAACAGGCATTCAGGACAGGAGATGTTTATCTCTCCCTGGTCCCCTACCTGGTTACATTTTCTCCATTCGTGTAGTGGAGGATAAGAGACTGAAGATGAAATGGCATAAAGTTTAGCCATATAAGGAATAACATTCAATTCTATTTAGCATAGAAATGTTTAGTGATTTTTTTTTCCCCATTGTTTTGCTACTCATTAACAACTATTTTTCTTTTTCTCCCTTTTTTTGAAAATAGATCAAAGAAAGTTTCCGTTCCATCAACAGTTATTTCCAGAGTGATTGGAAGGGGCGGCTGTAATATCAATGCTATTCGGGAGTTCACTGGAGCACATATAGATATCGATAAGCAGAAAGACAAGACAGGGGACCGGATAATAACGATAAGGCAAAATAGTCTTTTCTTTTGTGCTTTTTCTCTCCCTCTTTTGTAGTATTATAATTTAATGTGAGGATTATTTGCATTTCTAGTTGAACTTGAAATTTATTAGTAATCTTTTATTCATTCTGATTAATTTTCTCTTAATTTCTTGAAAAATTCTTTTTCCTTTATGATTTAAAATTTTTTTCATCATTTTGTTTTTCTGGTGGAGGCTGACGAAATGCTCCATAGATACTTAGATGTCTATCATGGAAATTAAAATTGTAGGAGAAAAATGCCTGCATTTAGTCAAGTTCTGCGTTGCCAGTGAAAAGTATTTTAGAGAATTGTGAAAGTGTCACTTAGCCATTCCTTCAGAATTAGAGAATATTGTATAATTGTGTTAAAAGGTAGAAATTATTTGTCCTTTACCTTCCCTAATTTTGTGATGAAAGTATTGTTTAGATAGGGTGTTCTTAATCTGGAGACCATGAACTGGTATTTTTATTTTAATATCTCTATTTGAATGTAATTGTCGTCCTTTTAAAATAGGCTTCTGTTTACTTTATGTTACGTATTTAAAAACATGATTCTGAGAAGGTGTCCATAGGCTTCCCCAGGAAATAGCCAGAGGGTCTATGACACAAAACAGTTTAGAACATTCTGAGTCTTTTAGCCAAGACTATACTTCCTCAGATGTTAATATTTGAAATTCTTTTTGCCAAGAGTTTCCTGTCCTTGGGATCTGAACACTTTTATGCTATGAGATTTAATCATATTCAGTAATCCGTTTAACATGAGGAAGTGTTTAACCCTGCTGTGTGTCCTTTAAAGTGGGAATCATATTCTAGGAAACAAGCGAATGCCAGTAAGCATTTCTTAAAACTTCTCGATGCTTCCACATTCTTTTGACAATCATATGTGCCTTTTTGAAAGAAAATGCTTGCTAAAATAATATTTTAATGTTTTAAATTTGTTCCAATTTGGTAGGCATTTATTGGACACCAACACAATTGGACACATCACAATGTGAATAGCATTGTGTTCAAGGAGTGGGAGGGAGGTGGTTACAGGTATCTGTGAGTCATAGGGAACTGGGGCATGTAAGCATGAAGAATTGACATTGTTACATCTAGAAGGTAATAGAGTGATACCTAATGAATGACACGGGGAAGAAAGGTGCATTTCAGAGATTTGCTGTTAACTGGTGAGTTTAGGAAAGGGTTAATGGTTTCAACGGAAGTTAGATTTAGACAGACAAAGCAGGAATAAGACATATTCAGCTGCCTGGGGAGGGTCAGCTCAGGGGGAACTGCAATCCAGTCAGCCAAGGCAGGAACAGATGAAATGTTCAGGAGGGTTTTGAGCGGAACCTTAATGTCTCAGAAGTAGATGATGAAATTGCAGGGTGGCTAGCAAGGGACTGTAAAGTGTCTTTATGCCCAGGCCCTAATTTTGCAGATGAGGAAGGAAGCTGAGATCCAGGGGTGTCTATGACTAGTCCAACACCAGGACAAAATGGTTTGGTGACGAGATCACCAGATCATGAGAACAACCATCATCAGCTGTGCCATAGCCAGAGATGGGTCCTGTGGAACGTCACGGCCACTCTTCCTCATCTGTAAAATTTGGAATCCCATTTGGCTCTCCAACGCTATTCCGTTTCAAAGACATAAAGCTTTTGCTTGAAACAGGCTAGCCTATCCCTTCTGCACACCTGTCTTGTGCCTGCTTCTCCCTTCCTACCACCATGACTACCCCACCCCTTAAAAGAACAACAGCAAACCCACCTAAAAACAAAAAACACCTTCAAGAATGCTCTCTTCTTTTTTGCTTCTCCGAATCCTCCACATCATTCAAAATGCAGAGGGAACCATACTTTTTCCAGGTTACTTTTTCTGCATTTATAAGTCCTCAGTGATCTCTCCTGAATTTTTATAGTTCAGTTTGCCTGTGTTACTTATGTGACCACCTGCCTCTCATGGAGATGGTCATTACATTAACAGCTGGGCATTACCTTTCTCTGTTTATGTCAGTTCTTCCTTTGAGGAACTGGTAGAGTTCATAACTTGAATGGGAAGAAAATTACAGCTTTATTTTCCCTAACTTCTAATTCAGGATTTCCTTCAATTGTTTACAATGTGATTTTGAGAAAAGATCTTTAGGCTTTAACAAATTGCTGAAGGGGGTCCACGGTGCAAAGTTAGGAAACTGTACTTTAAGGTAGCCATAAGGCATCGGCTGCCAGGCCAGTCCACTGGAAACATCAGCATCTCTGTTGATAGAACTGATCGTTGATGTGTTATCATTAAAAATAACGATTGTGCTCTATGTATAAAATGTCAGGGATTTATTAAGTTTTTCATGTTTGGTAAATTTTGTTTTAATGGAACAAAAAAAACCACGAACATCCCAAAACCAAATATACTCCCTGAAAGTAACACGGAAGTATCTGTGACTAAGTATGAACAGATGCATTGCTTCTGTACATTCTTTCTGATTCACCATTTAAGAGAAAGGAAAACATGCTTTAACTTTAACAAGGTAGTACCAGTGTTACCATTGTATTTGGCCTGAATCTTCTTGTCGTTTAATGTTATCTTGCTTTACATAGTTGTAGTCAGTATGAATATTTATTTTTTGGATCTGTTTTGTTCACTCTGCGTTACCTCTTGTAAGTCTTTCCAGTTTTTCTTTCGTGTTTTTTGTTCCTTTAAGGAGCGCTAACATTCCATAACTTCTGTATGCTAAAATTTAAGCTACCCATAGCCGTTAGGTATCTAGTTTGTTCATAGATTTTTACTGTTTTAAATAGTGCTGCTCTCGATATGTTTGTGTAAATGAATCTTCTCCATATTGATCAGCTGCTTAGGATATAAACATAGTAGTGGAATTGGTGTGTCAAAGTATATAAGCACATCTTTTTCCTGTTTTGCTAATGTGGTTAAGTGAAAGGTCATACTTCACAGTTGTTTTAATTTGCATTTCTCTGATTTTTATCAATTCTGAATACTTTCAGGTAGTTGCCAGTCATTTAATCATTAAGGACCTACATGCTTTTGTTGGTATTTAATGTTTTTATACATTGTCTTTAAATCATCTGATTTAGAACAGACCCCTTAGCCACCTCTCTCTCAGTGATTAGATTCATCATTGACTGTATCCTCTTGATTTATAGAGTTCTGACTGTGAGACCACAAAACTTCTGGATTCAATCCATTTATCAGTAAGCATTGATTAAGTCCCTACTATATGCTGGACACTTTTCTAAGCACTGAAAATGCAAAGTAAAGCAAAATCATGCTCCCTGCCCTCTTGGAATTTACATTCGCGTAGAGGAGGAAATAATGAGGTATATGCAGAATAATTAGCAGGTAACTTTATAGCAGATAAAGTCTCTACTATCTGGAAGTCTCTACTATTGGAAAAAAGGCTTCCTGGATAGAGGTGATATGTTTTGCATAGTCTTGAAGGATGCCACAGATTCTAAGAGGCAGAAAATCACTTTGTGAGCTGTGTGGTTTAGTGTGGTGAGAGACCCGAGGTACATGGTTGAAATAAAATGCTATTTCAGTAGTCCAAGTGAGAGGTGGTAAGAGTTTGGACTATAGTAGTGAGTAGAAAGAAGGGGATGCATACTATGAAGATCAAAAGGACAAAGTTTAGCCACTGATTGTGTATGTAGGTTCAGTGAGAGTGAGGCATTGAGGGTAACACTGAGATTGGGAATGTGGGTAACTGGAAGGATGTTGGTGTCCTTTGTAGTAATAGCGAAATTCAGAAAAGGGGTATGTTTTACATTCTGTTTTGGCTAGTTGAATTTGAGAATGCCTGCAGGATATCCAGTTTGAAATGTCCAGGAGACAGTTGGTGATGAGATAGACTGGGCAGGGGTGTGTGTGGGTGTGTCAAGGATCATCTGTATAAAGATAATTGAACCCAGGGGAACTATGATATCATCAAGTGAAATGTTGTTGAGAGAAAACAGAACAAGGAACACCCACAGTTATTTACATGGATAAAGTGCCAATAAAGGAGGATGAGAATATGATGCCTTAAGATTCTTAAAAGGAGATCCAAGAGAGAGCAGTGTCCTGAAAACCCAGAGGGCAGTGTCCGAATCAACAAGTTGCTCAGAATGTCACTTGGGGTGGATTGATCAAGAGTCATTAGGATTGGGGGAGAAAAGGACCATTAGATTTGGCCGCTCAGAGATCTTTGGTGACTTTAGAGAGAGAAGTTTTTGTTGAATGATATCAGAGAGTTTAGAACAGATTGATAGGAAAGGACAGGGGAGAAGAATAGAGGAGTAGGAATGGTAAGGCCACAGAGGGTTTCTTGAACAATAGGGAGACCTGGCCAGCAGAGAAAGAGAAACTGAAGATCGGAGAAAGTTGGGGTGAATCTGCTGGAGCAGATGGGAAGGTGGGAATCCAAGGGGCACATAGAGGGGTTTGCTGTGTGAAGGAGAAGATTCGGTTTTTCTTGTGAGATAGGTGTGAAGGAAAAGATCCTAGGAGATGTCAGTGAGATGTGAAATGAGGAGAAGACCCTCCCTTTTTGCTAGGTACCTTCAGAAGGGTTCCCATCATTCCCCCTGCTACCTTCCCCATGCTTTACTTAAACCAAAATCAGAAGTATTCCTTTTAAACTACCTTGTAGAGGCCTCAGATATATAGTAAATGGAAACTTTTCCCATTTGAAACCCAGCAAATAATCATCAACATCAGGAGACGATTGATCTGGTTATTTAATATGATTAATACAAGAGATCTTTCTTTCAAGTAGATGATTGCACTTATGTAATCAGGTTGAGCACAGTCACTTCCTGAGTTAGAGAAAAACTCGACTTGGTTAAAGCCTTTTGTGTAGGGATGGGTTGCCTCTCTCCTAGAGTTATCATCCTCACTGTGGACCTTACTAGATTTGACCAGCAGTGTAGGGAGATAGTAGTGCTGCTCACTGTTAAAACTCGTTTAGCCAGTTTTTCTCAGGTGGACATGAATCTTCCTCATTCTTTTTCTAGTAGACTCCTGTCCCATGAACCCCTGGACAGTCTCTTGCAAAACCACCATTCTCTTCTTTTCCTTTCGTTTGTGAACCAAAAACACCTCTGGTCATGGTTAATAAGTAATAGTGTATGGATTAGGGTGTAGACGGAAAAAACAATTACATTCACTTTGATTGTAGTTTTTGTTGTTGTTAATGCATCTTGTTACACGCTTGTTTTTAATTTTTTTTCTTTCCTCCTGTTCCAGCAGCCTTAATATAAGACTTTGTGGCCCTCATTGGGAACCTACCCAGTACTTATGACATTGTTTCTGTGGGAAAGTGTATTCCAAGACGAACCCCACTTAGACATGAACTTTGCAGAATTACTGTCCACTGATAATTCTGTACCCTAGTAATTCTGCACACACTGCACCGCTACAATTTCATTTATCTGTAGAACGTTCCGGTGATGGAATTATCTTTTTGGTCTGGTTATCTTGTGTTAAACCACTCGCTTTCTATCTGTAGAGATGAAGCTAATCAGAAATGTGGGACCTGATTTTGTCTCTTGACTTTCTTGTAATAGGGGTGGCACAGAGTCAACAAGGCAAGCAACACAATTGATCAATGCTCTGATCAAGGATCCAGACAAAGAAATCGATGAGCTTATTCCAAAGAATCGTTTGAAAAGCTCCTCGGTGAATTCCAAAACTGGGTCTTCGGCCCCTGCCACGACTGCTGCTAACAGCTCCTTGATGGGGATTAAAATGACCACGGTGGCCCTGTCGTCCGCCTCGCAGACCGCGCCCGCCCTGGCCGTGCCCGCGCTCTCCTCTGCCTCCGCTCACAAAACCATTAAGAACCCTGTCAGCAACGTGAGGCCGGGTTTCCCCGTCTCGCTGCCCATTGCCTACCCCCCACCCCAGTTTGCACACGCCCTGCTTGCAGCTCAGACTTTCCAGCAAATCCGCCCACCTAGGCTGCCCATGACCCACTTTGGAGGGACTTTCCCACCAGCGCAGTCCACTTGGGGTCCCTTTCCTGTCAGGCCTCTGAGCCCAGCCCGAGCTCCTAACTCGCCCAAGCCTCACGCGGTGCCTCGCCACAGCAGTCAGCAACACAGCAGCGGTTCTCAGGTGAACCCCGCAGGTTCTTTCACGTCTGCTGCCGCAGCGACCACCAGTGCGTCCACGGCGACGGGGCCCGGCACCTCCGCAAACGGCAGCCCGAGCTCCCCTTCGGTCAGAAGGCAGCTCTTTGTCACCGTGGTGAAGACCTCCAACGCCACCACGACCACAGTCACGACCACAGCCAGCAACAGCAGCACCGCGCCCACCAACGCCACCTATCCTCTACCTACTGCCAAAGAACACTACCCCCTGTCATCCCCGTCCTCCCCGTCCCCCCCAGCTCAGCCGGGAGGCGTTTCTAGAAGTAGCCCTTCTGATTGTGTAGCATCCTCTCCCAACAAAGGGATCCCCTCCTGTGACCAGGAAGCTGGCAGTCCGCCAGTAGTAGAAGCGACCAGCAGTCGACAACCAAATGGCGCCAGTTCCGTGGGGAGTTCTGCAGGGCATCCTGCTCCCCAGCCGCCTCCTGGGGCTGCTGCTCCGGACCCACGACCACCTCTGCCACCGCCGCCACCGCCGTCTCAGGTTCCTCCACCCGAAGTGAGAATGACTGCACCTCCGTTAGCAACGACGAGTTCTGCCCCAGTGGTACTGCCGCCTCCTGCCCCGGGCACCTACCCCATTCCTCAGGCACAGATGGGGTCTTCACAGCCTGCTCCCAAGATGGAGCTGCCCGCGATCAGGCCTCCACCTCACGCCGCAGCTCCGGCTCACAAAAATCCAGTACCCTTGCAGAGTTCATCTGTTGCAGTCCTCAATGTCAATCATATTAAGAGACCCCACAGTGTTCCCTCTTCTGTCCAGCTCCCTTCGACCTTAAGTGCACAAAGTGCTTCTCAGAATTCAGCACATCCAGCAAGTAAATCCATGGCCCCCAATTTCAGTGCACCCTTACCATTTGGGCCCTTTAGCACATTGTTTGAAAACAGTCCCACTTCTGCCCATGCCTTCTGGGGAGGCTCTGTGGTTTCATCTCAGTCAACACCGGAATCCATGCTGTCAGGAAAGTCGTCCTATTTGCCAAATTCAGATTCCTTGCATCAGTCCGACACCTCCAAAGCACCAGGCTTCCGACCACCGTTGCAAAGGCCTGCTCCAAGTCCCTCAGGTGAGTTTGTCGTGACCTTCCTGTGACGTGATACCTCCTGTTGCCTTATGTTGGTTAATGTTCTGTATCTCTTGAGAAACCTTTGATTTCATAGTGGCTTACAACTTTTTGTGTTCAGGTCGTTGGAATTAATCTGTGTTGTATGTTGCTGTGTCCTTTTACCCCCTTTATATGTCTGTGTCAGTCATATATTTTTTGGTGGTTGTTTAGAACTCTTTTGCATTTCTTAATGCTCCAATGACAATTTCTCCTAATATCCATGCAAACTAATTTTCTTTGCCAGGCTTTTATACCATCCTTTCTCCAAAAGAAGAAAATTGTTAGTGGTGGTTAATAAATTAATGGCCCCAAATTCTGCTTTTATTTTTATTCAAAAGAATTAACGAAGGTTTTTCCATTATAATTGGCTTCTCACGAAAACTAATTTATTCTTGATTGATGAATTTTGTTTTAAAAATTGTGTTCCAGTAACTGATAGGACGAGTGTTCGAAGCAACAAAAGCTGATCTACACCATTAAATAGATGTCATTCAGCACCAATGCACGTATGCATTTTGGACTGAAATTGTCTTTGACATTTTTTCCCCCCCTTTGCACAGTGGTGGGACTTTGGAGAGGGGGACTGCTTTTCTTCAAAGCTTGAGCAGAATGCATTGAGTGAGGTCAAGACAAAGTAAACGAATATGGCTAATAATATTAATTGCTTGTTTTAACCAATGACTCCAGGTGTTTTAAATACCGGTATGCAGATAGAACATTCCACAAATTGGCCATCACAAATAATTCATTTACGTCAGAACATAACATATACATATAACCCCAAAATGACAGAATACAAAATTTTCATCTTTTTTAACTAATCCAGAAAACATCTAAGTAGCAAGTTGATAATTCTCATTTATTTTTATTTTTTTTTTTTTTTGAGGCAATTGGGGTTAAGTGATTTGCCCAGAGTCACACAGCTAGTAAGTGTCAAGTGTCTGGTCTGAGACCAGATTTGAACTCAGGTCTTCCTGACTCCAGGTGTGGTGCTGTATCCACTGCGCCACCTAGCTGCCCCCGCAAGTTGATAATTCTAATACTGGATTAATATATATGTATGTATGTATGTATGTATGTATGTAATGTATGTATGTATATGTGTATATAGGATGATGGCTACCCCCATTCCCCATCTGTCTCTTTCTTTATCACAGTCTATCTTCAAATAAGTGCAGGTCTGACTGTGCCTAAAATATTTTTTAAAACATGTGAAACTATGTAGCAGGTAAATCTTACCTTCCAATATTGTTACTTGTAAATTGTGAGATGTTAGATTTTTAAAAATTATCCTTTGCCCATGTAATAGGAACTTTTAAAAAAATTCAGTTTCACAATAACTGTAATTTTTTGCAACTTTGTGAAGTCAATTCAACTTTAATAAGAAGGTGACAATTGGGACTGTATTTTAAAGACAATAAAAGATTGTCATTCAGAGGAAGGAGCAAGTCTTGAAAGAAAATTAGGCTTGTTTATATTTTGTGGGAGGGGAAGGTTGAGAAGAAACACCAGTTAAAGTAGGAAGGTGTTCCTTCAAAGCTGCATGTAAAGTATCAGTGAGAGACTATGGTAACACATGGAAGTTACATTTCTACTGTAAATGCAAGCCAAAAAGTGAGGAAAGACCTAAGGGAAAATCTAATAAAATTCAAGGTGTAACTACAAATTCAGTATTTTAATTTTTAGTGCTTTGGAAGCATCTCTAGTGATTTCCCCTTTAGGATGGTTACTTCGACATTTCTATCTGAATTTTCCAATTTGTTTTGTTCCCCTGAAACCTTGGCTTCCTATTACCTGAGTGTCTCACTTGTGCCTTCAATGTTATTTATGTATTGCCCTGTGGAAGTAACCTGGCCATTTATTTTTAGAAAGCTAAGTTAATTCTTTTACTCTTCTCTTTTTTGGGGGGGATTAGGGGAGCATGAGGAGGTAGTCAGGAGAATGTGACCTTAAAAATATTTTAGAACACTGAACTATTTTATTTTACTTCCTGTACAACTGAAATAAAATATAGAATTTTTTCTCTTGAAAATTAATGACGGTTTCCTTTTCCCTATGAAAGGAAAAGGGACAGAGACAGGTGTTAAAGAAAATAAGGAATTGTTAGATGATCTGGAATCATCACCTCAGTTTATTTTGTAGTCTTTACAGCTTTAGGATTGTCTAATCATAACTGCACACTTTATCCAAGAATGATCTGGTATTTTGTAATTGTCTTCTTTAGGTATTGTCAATATAGACTCCCCTTATGCTTCTGTAACACCTTCCTCTACACATTTGAGTAACTTTGCCTCAAACCTTTCTGGAGGGCAAATGTATGCACCTGGGGCACCCCTTGGAGGACCACCTACAGCTGCTAACTTTAACAGACAACATTTTTCCCCACTTAGTTTATTGACTCCATGTTCATCAGCATCAAATGGTGAGTTGTTTGTACCTTAGAAGATAGATGAGAAGTTGAAAACAACAGGATTCCATAAGAAGGGGAATTTTGAATATACTTCCTTTGGATGTCTCTTAAGTCTAATTATATTTTTATTGTAATGGTGCCATAATTTCATCCAATATTAGTTTAACCTAGATTTTTAAAATATTTCTAAAGCCCTATAATGCCAGCAGTATTTTTAAGGATATTACTTTATTTCGTATTGTACTGAAATACTGTGGAATTAGAAGAAATTCCAAAAATGTCCCTTACTTGCTAAAATGCTAAAAAGAACTTGGGGCATTTTATAGCCCAGAATACCACCGTGGCACTTTTCACTTAATATTTTTGTTGATTCTTTTTTACAATGTAGGTATTTTACTTGTATAATTTATTTTAGTTACAGCTGCAATTTGTGATATATTTCCAGGAACAATCAGTTGGGCTTCTAGTTAGCCAATCATAATTTTTCATACTTAAGAACTGACATTCTGATTACTTGTGTAATCTCAATTCCCTTAAAAAAAACCTAAACTGCTTCTAGGATATGTAGTCTGGTATTCTAGTATACTGGAAGAATCAGTCATTCTGTGATACAGAAATTAACTGTGCCAGAAATTGAGCTTGCTAAATTTCTGTATGGTAAGTAAATCATGAAGGGCAGTGGGAGGCATAAGAGGGCTATCCTCAGAACTCCAGAGTAGTAGATTCAGGGGGTCACACCTCTGCCATACACGTAGGCTCTGTAACTCTTGAGGACCTGCTTCCCCCTCCTCTGGGTGAAGGTGCCTTGCCTTCACAGGTACCGGTTGATGTGTTTAGTTTCCTCTTAATACAAAAGTCTTCATTGAGTTTCATCATGTTCTGTACTGTTTGATTGTGTCCTTATTCTATATTTCATACACGTAAAGAGTGACATGGAGATTGGAACTGTATTTTAGATAGTGACATTGAGGTGTAAAAATGTCACATATTTGATGGTATCATAATAAATGGCAACCAAAGAAAACTGTGCTTTGTTGTCATAAGAAAGACTTGAGCTTGCCTCGCCCTTGCCATTTACAGTGGGGTCTTCACTTCGCTCTTTTTGCCTCTTATTACTCAGCTATAAAATAAGGATTAAAAATTTGGAAACTTCATGTAAATATTAGCAATTGATTATATCCATTTTAACGTTATTTGTATTATCGTGCACAATTTATGGCTTTAAAATGAGTACTATTTTAGGAGAAAAGAACACATCACTTTTTCAATAACTTCTCTGCAGATTCTCCTGCTCAGTCTGTATCCTCTGGAGTAAGAGCACCATCTCCTGCCCCATCAGCGGTATCTTTGGGGGCAGAGAAAGCCAGCAGTGTCTGTCAGGACAGAAAAGTTCCCGTTCCAATTGGGACAGAACGCTCTGCCCGTATTAGACAAACTGGAACTTCCACTCCATCTGTTATTGGGAGTAACTTGGCCACCCCCGTAGGCCATAGTGGCATCTGGTCCTTTGAAGGGATAGGTGGCAATCAAGGTATGCAGTTTTGTCTGTCCTGCTTTGTGAAATGAAATGTATTCTGTATGAGGATAGTCATATGGTATTTTACCTTTCCTAAGGTCTGTTTTTTAAAAATTAGATATTTTTTTCTGACTTTACTATTTACTTGATGAGTTGTTCTTAGCTTTGTAATTGACGTGGTATTCTAAATAGCTGTGTCTAAAAAGAATCATGTTCTACCAAGGAATTCCAAGTGTTCATTCCATCAGATCCTGAAGGCATATGAAACTATTCATTTACTATTTATTTATTAACTAATCTATGAGCTCTCTTGATTTTTAAGCAAGCTTTTTCTATCTCTTACTTCTACTGCTGATTATCATGTATTTAATACATAACTGCTGTATCCATGGCTGCCTAGAAGATGCACATATATTAAACCTGGGTCCTGCTCTTTACCGTGATAAGTCAAAACTTAATATAGAAAAAGAGCTGCATAGAAATTTTTCATTACTTAAGTAAGTTCCACCTGCCTCATAATGGTAAGGAGATGGCATGGGGTTTTTTGGGGTATGCTATTGAATTTTTGTCTCTGGAGTGTTCTGCAAAACTGGGAAACTTTTGGCTGTGGTCTCAGCTGTGGACTGAGTCTTCTCCTCATGCAGCTTCTTTATGTAGCGTTGGTCACCAGAAGGGAGTTGTGACTTCTTGGGCTATGGCAAACCATGGAACAAAATGTGTCACATAATTTTGTTTTTTAAAATCAGACATTCAATCTTTTCCTTGAGATTCTTTTTATATTGTTTAAGCATATTTATTTTTTGGATCTCTGTTTTTTTCTTCAGACAAAGTAGACTGGTGTCATAGTGGAATGGGAAACCATATGATTCATAGGCCAATGTCTGATCCAGGAGTGTTTTCACAGCATCAAGCAATGGAGCGAGATAGTACAGGAATTGTAGCTCCTTCTGGTACATTCCATCAGCATGTTCCCGCAGGATACATGGACTTTCCTAAAGTTGGGGTAATTTTCATTTAAGAGGGAATAGCCATTTAATTTTTAAATGTTAAATTTAACCTTTTAACACTTCTGACAGTGATCCTATGGATATTGGACAATTCATTTTTGTATCAGTTTGTAAAAAATTTGATTCTTTTGAGCAACGTGATGTCATGTTATGAAGTCATATATAAGCTTGGAGTTTGTTGTGACTATTTGTGACGGTCACATATTGTCACATCTGGCGCTGAAGTGATAAAGTATGTGACTGTGAAATTCATGTTACCCGGCTTACTTACCGAATTGAACAAACTGATATTACAATTTGAAAATGACTCTTGAGTGTTTGTTTATGGGCATGAATGTTATCTAAATATGCTTTCCCTTTTCTTTCTCCCAAGGGTATGCCCTTTTCTGTCTATGGGAATGCAATGATCCCTCCAGTAGCACCTATCCCAGATAGTGCTGGAGGGCCCATATTTAATGGTCCTCATGCTGCTGACCCCTCTTGGAACTCACTGATAAAGATGGTTTCAAACTCTACAGAAAATAATGGCCCTCAAACGGTAAGATTGAGCAGATAACATAGAAAACAAAATTGATTAACCGTGTGAATATTCTTGATGACATCTTCATGTATGCATGTAGGACTTGACAGAAAGATAGGGAAGGAGGAAAGTGTTAGTATATTCAAAGCAATGTACCCCCGCTGAATAAAAGTAAATATATGTATTAGGTCACAATATCCACAAGAGAAATTGTGTGCTCTTTCTGTAAAAAATGTGTAGATCCCAGTGTAGGTTCCTAGTAGGGGAAGGCCACTAGCAGTTGCAGGGAATGAGGGAGAAAGGCTTCATGTAGATGGTGGTGCATAAGCTGCATTATGAAGCAAGAGAGGGATTTTCTGACATGAATATGAGGAGAGAGAACATTCCAGGTTTAGGGGGGTGGCCCCTGCAAAGGTATGGAGGTAGAAGCTGGAGGGTTATGGATGAGGCATAGAGGGGGCCATTTTGGCAGGATCACCGAGTGAGACAGGATCCAGTGTCCATGGAGCCCAAGAAGATTGATCGATCAGTGGCAGGTTGTAAAGGGCCAGACAGGAGTTTGTTTTCTTAAAGGCAATAGGGAACCAAACCACTGGAGGTTATTGAGTAGAGAAGGGATGTAGCTGAATCTGCCCTTACGGAAAATGACTGACAGTAGAATGGTGGATGGCTGGCAGGGGACGTTAGGCGATACGAAGAGGGCCTGAACTTAGGTGGAAGGAGAATGAGAATCTGGGAGAATGCCAAGATCGTGAACTTGGAAGACATAGCAGGTTGGTGGTGCCTTTGACAGAAATAAGGATGTTTTGAAGACAGGAAGGTTTGGGAAGATGAGTATGTTTGATTTACCCATTCGTTCCCACATGGTGAATTGGGGAGTGGGGGTGAGTCTATTTGTTGTTTCCTAAGATGCTGAGAATACGTAATACTTTAGCATTTTCTAATTCAGTGTCACATACTTTAATTCCTCAGGTGTGGACTGGAACTTGGGCACCTCATCTGAACAGCGTACATATGAACCAGCTTGGCTGATTGGGATCAACTTGTTAGCCTACAGATTCCTTTTCATTCAGAGGAAATCACAAGTGGCCGAAATAATTTTTATGTTCCCAAATCATTCTACTGATGTGCTTGACTGAAGCGTGTAGGCTTTTTGCAGAAGATCTTACTAACTGACCTTTTTTCTGTGAACATTTGTGACCGCCCATTCCCCACCACCCTACATTTCACCTTAGTTAGCATTCTTTCTTCTTTTCTTTTTTTCTTTCCTTCTCTCCCTTCACCCCAGTCCTGTCCCTGCCCTGCCCTTGGACATGACTTTCTGTTGAAGCTGTTCTTTGGCTGGTTGGTTTTAGTACTGTAAACTGCTTCTGAGCAAACACGGAAATTTAGCAAAATTATGTAAACTTGATCCTGAAGTTTTAGAATGGCAAATAAATGTACAATTGTTTACATAACAGAAATGGCTAAGCAGAAAGTAAATTTCAATATGTCAGTATAGAGGCTCTACTTTATGTAGACTTAAATTAATGTGAGATATGTACCTTCATATTCAGAAATCTGGATGTTTCCTTCATACATTAAACTATTAATAAGCATAACATTTCTACTTGTGTAATTTAAGTACAGTATAAAAGAATGGGAGAATGGGCATTACCAGTTTGTGTTTCCCCACATGAGCTTTCAAAAAAGCTAAACTTGTTTTATTTTGGGAATGGGAGAGGTTTGTAGCAAGGCACAGACTAGAGAATAATTCGTTACTTTTACCTTGCAAAAGTTTCCATAAATGTTTCTTAAATCTTTTGGCACTTTCAGAGCCCATAGGCACAACCTCTTCTCCATGCTCCTAGGCCCCTCCAGTCCTAGTCAGATGCCTTGGTGTGATGTTAGTCAGTCATTCCTGCAAGATTTCCATCCTTGTAGCTGCTACCACAGAGTGGCTTACCTCAAAGATCACATTTAGCTCCTTCCAATTTTAAAATGTTTTACATTTTCTGAGTGGAAAAAGACACTACTGGCTACCAAGGCAGTTTGTCTTACTTGGTAGATCTTCATAGAAAGTTTGGTATTAAGAAATAGTTGTATGAGCTGCTGATTCTAGGTAACTTTCAGTCTCGTCTATCCCAAATTTATCCTAAAAATCTCAATTTTGAAACTTAATGGAAAGTGTTAAACACTGTATTAAAGATACTTTGTTCTCATCACCAGTGCACTCTCTCTGACTCTAGGACCTGCCAGCTCATGGTAAATGTAAAGGGCATTGTGAACTTGAGGTTTAGCCAGCTTAGGTTGCACACAAACTCTCCGATTCTGCTTTAAAATGTGTACTGTATACGTTTAGACTCCATCCATTTGACACAGCGAGCTGTAGTCTTGTACCTAACAAGGACACGAGTCTTACATTGTTGGTCTTTCTTGCTGAAAAGCAATGCAGCAAAATGGGTAGGAACAAAGTTAAATAATATCTCTCTCAATTTTTCCATTTTCTGTAACATTAATCACACTCTGAACAAAATGATTAACCAAATCTGACACGTCATCCTAATTTAAATGAATTAATGTAGTTCCTTGCTGTTAATAAAGTGATTTATCTACTGTGGTAGCCAGAGCAAGAAGGGAGTGGGGGGAGGGGGAGATGATTTTATAAATGGGAGCCTTCATTTCTTTAATTATTATAATGTGTCCAGTAGTTTATGAATAATAATAATAATCTTTCTCTTTTTCTGCATTTCAGTTATTGCCTTAAAGCACATATTTTTTCCAGCTGTCTTGTGATTATAACATCAGAAATTTAAGGAACAAATGAATCAAAATGCCCTACAGCTATTAATTAACTTAAATTTTAGCACTTTAATGTGAGTGGGGAACGAATGCCAATTTTGAAGTGTTTTTGTGTCCTTTGCCACTATCTTAACAATTTTATGCTTAATGGCCTTTCCTGTACTATAACTAGGATTATGTTCTATCTTAAATAATCCTAAGATATAGATACAACCCAATATTTATTTATTACAAAAATTGTACTTTGGGGTCCAACAAAACTGAGTTACTGAGAATGTGTGATTTCTTACCAAAAAAAAAAAATCTGTATTTTTTTTTTTTAACTTGGAAGTCAGAACTTCTTACAAGGGGATATAAGTTGGAATGCCCCATGTTTAGTTTGTCAATTAGGCTTGTTAAATATTATACCATGATTTTTAGTCTGTACTAGGAACATTTTTCAGGTACATTTTTTATATTTTAAATGTAATGCCTTTTATTTGACAAATAAAAGAAGGAACATGACCTTTTGAGACCATGTAGGTCTTTTCTTTTTTGTTCCCACTTTTTAAAGAGAGCTTCAAGAATTGGTATGTGTATATGCAGACTATTACGTGATTTATTTCTCCCATAATCATTTAAGGAGTGACTTAACTCACAAGTCGTCCTTGAGTTAGTTCACAACTTAAACTACATAGTCGATATCTCAGTAATACGTAATCTGTTTATACCAACCACTTAGCAGATTCTATTTATTTATCTTTTCAAATAAGTCTAGATTCTCAGTGTTTTTTTTTTTTTAATATCAACTATCCAAGAAACCAGATTTTGGTGCTTAATCTAAAGCATTTTTTCCTTGTTTTGAATTATTAAAGTTTATATGATGAGCTGAATTTTTTTTGGTTCCTAAATCACTATAATCTATTTCATGAACATTTTTTTCTTAGAAAAATTCATTAATTAAATTCAGTTTTGTTCTACACAAAATTTGTTTTCTGTCCTAGTTTTGCCATGAAATTAACTCTTCTGTGGAAACGCAAAATTTCATTGGTTCATTCACGCAGAGCTAAGTAGCATGGCTACTTTTAGGAAAAAGGAAAGGGAAAAATTAAGTTTATTAAGCCAATTCTGACCTTTAAGAAACAAAGCCAGTTGAGTTTATTGTTTTTACAGGATTAAATTTGTCAATGGTCGTTTGATTCAAACACCCAACGGCCTTATATTTATCTTGAGTGAGATAAGGAAACCACATTCTAATATAAAATCCTTTCTTATTACAAATTTAAAACTTTATTACTTCTAGGAGCTTATAATTTTTTTCTCCAAATACAAATTCTCTTAAAACTGGCATAGCTTTTTTTATTAAACTTTATTTTGAAAAGTCTGGACACAATATAGCCATGTTCTGTTGAATATCTCTTCCATAAACAGATATGGATAGATCAGCAATATTTACAGAATTTTAACAGTAAAAAGAAAGAACTTTGGCAAAGATGTAGTCCAAACCCACCCTTCTATATCTGAGAAAACTGAAGCCCACTCACTGTGCATGCTGATGGCCCAAGATTTCATGGGAAAGTTTCCCGACTATGCTAAGTGCTTTCTGTTACATACATTTCATTCCTTGTAGACTCATGAATACTTTTATTTTTTTAAAGAAAGTAGATGTTATTGTGCAAATAAAGCCTTCACTAAGCACTTCTTGTATGCCAGGGACTGCTAAGCAGCTGAGATGAAATAGTCCATGCTGCTTAGAAGCCTATAAATCCTATAACTAGACTAAAGGTAAATGACTATTATTTCCTATTTTAAGTAAGTGTACCTAGAGGCAAATGTGTGTAGGTTTAAAATAATATTCAGTTCAAGAAAATATTCAGGGAATGATTGAATCTAATATCTGACTTAAAATGGAATTTTACTCTATTTCCATTTGTTTCTAACACCTTTTGGCATCAGCAATCTAACTTAGGAGCTTTATCCAGATATAACACTATGGTTTTTGTATAAGGAAATAAATAGAAATCAGTTTGTCAAAGGGATTCAGTTTTAAGAACCAATCAGTTAAATTTGCTCTTACAGAATTAAACTTGGTATTTGGCTATTAGGTGAATTTAGTATTTGAGGATTATTTGGGCACCCAAGAAAGCTGAATCATTTATCAAAGGAGATTCTCTTGAGTTTCAGTATATCCTTAAAGAACTGAGTACAGAATAAAAAGGTCATATAGGTCAACATAGCCGTGTTTTTTTTATTTGAGAGATGAGCACAACATGGCGGACTTTTTATATGACTTACAAATCACCTATAGTTAATTAAATAAATCTCCGCTGACTCCAAGAAATAATTTAGAAAAATTACTCATGAAAATTCGTCTAGGAACTTAACCTACTGAATCATTTTTGGACCATGACATTTCAAAGCAAATGAACTGTGTGCCTTGCACATGGCAAGTGCTTAAGCATTTACTGGATTAAATTGAATAAATAAAATGTACCTGCCAAGCTAGGAGCAGTAAGAAATTGAGCATTGTGATGATTGTTGGATTCAGTAAGCAGAAATTTGACCCATTGGCCCAACCTTGATTGATGACTTTTTGTGCCAGGAAATAAGTGGTGAGTGACCGCCCCGTGCCCACCGCTGTTAGGCACAATGGGTAAGAAAAGTAAAAGACTCCTGCCTTCAAGGGCATATTGCCTAAGGGAGCAGACGGCACACACATTATCATAAACGAACAACAGGTACAGAATTAATTGGAGATAATCCCAAATGGGAAATGCTAACATTAAGGAAGATGAGGAATGATTTCTTGCAGGTGAGATTTTTTTTTTTTTTTTTTTTTGCTGGGACTTGAAGCCAGGAGACAGAAGAGAGGAAAAATATAATTCTAGGGATGAGACAGCCAGTGAAAATTGCATGGAGGAAGAAGACACTACTTTCCCCGGTGGAGATCATAACTTAAATATCTTTCCATCCTATACCCTTCTTGCCCACGTCATAAATCTTCCATGGAGGATCTGGGTTAGAGGGAATTGTCTAGGTATCTAAGTATCCTATGGGCACCAATGCAGCAGTTGGGCTGTTCATCTCTGTCCCTTCTCTTACTCTCATATTTCCTGTTACGGTATCTTTCACCCAATTTATAAATCCAAAGTATATCTGGAAATAAGCTGCAGCCTACTTCAGCCCACTGTATGTTTCACCTTTGAGTTGTCTAGTCCTGATTCTTTGAAAATTGTGGTGTTCCATGATTCCAGCCACCTAGCGTCACCAAGAGAATATTGTTAGGTTTTGTTTCAGGCAGCAGCTCATCATTGTTAGAAAGTACATGCGCTTTCCCAAATGCAGTCCCCCTTGCCTTCTCCCTTCTCTTCAGTTTTGGGTCCAGCTAATTGGCCATTTGCTGTTCTTACCCAAGACAGATATTACTCTAAGGAGCTCAGTGTCCATTTTCCATGTGGTATTCTGGGCAATAGGGTTCTTCATCCATTTTTCCTGAATGTCTTGTTAGGTTGATTGCTTCTTTATGGCTTTTGGCATTCTCACTGTTATAACTGTTAACATCAGTTAAACTTATAGGAGGTGGTGACATACAACATCAATAAAAGACTCTGGTTAATTAATTTTTTTCTGTGATTTCAAAAGGGTAGGGAACTCCACTGAGAAACTCCTTCTACCTGTAAAGATGAGCATGACTTTCCACAACTTAATAGGCTTAGCCTGGGTTACAGAAAAGTTAATTGACTCTGGGAACATGCAGCCAGGGTGAGGCAGAAGCAACACCTGAACCCAGGTCCTCTTGACCTGGAGGCCAGCTCCCCATCCACTATAATCCTTCCTCTAGGTTCAATTACAAACATTAAAATATTTAGCATTTAGGTTAACATTTAAAAGTCACAATGCAAAATGTTTGAATTCAGGTATTTAAATGAATTGTAATACTACTTTGTTTACATATTATGCCCTTGTCCTGTACTCAAAATTTATTACTGATATCATTTCACTGTGTGATCGGGTGGACAGAGACCGATCTGCTCTAAGTAGATGGTCTTTGTGTTGATAGCTATAGCCAAATGCAGATTATCTGTATCCATAAGCCTGCTCCATAATTTGCCCACAACAGAACAACTGTAACAACCTAGTAGATTCTCAGCAATCACGAGCACTTTTTTGCCATATTGACTCATTTGTACAATGATTTTGGATCTTAAATTACAGCCTCATCATGGCAGGTGGAAATAATACTAGATAGTACAGTCCTAAAAAAATCAATGTCTCTTTAGTCTTATTGTATACCAATTGCTACTTATAACTCTCACCTGTGACAAGATAAACGAATATTGAGCATACGTATTTTTGAGTAATGCCATAACTGAAATTAATTTGGAAATATAATATTGCACTCAACATAATGCAATTAATGTTTTCTCTTAGAAAATAATATTGCAATGACTGCCAATGTTTGGGGTTGTGGTTTTAAATCCAAATGACACCGTTATGTCTGGAATCAGTTTTTGTAGCGCCTTTTCAGACCCAAGGTCAACCACAAACCCCTGCCCTTAATATATCACTCCTTCAGCTGGGCTGCTTCAGGCATGCCTAAAACGGACTGAAGTAGCTTATTGTTTGGCATGAAAATTTAAGTGATAACAAGAATCCAACAAAATAAACCTATCAAGCACCTCCTGTGCCTGAGACATTTTCCCCCTGTGCGTTTACAATCTGGTAAACGGAGAAGCGTCTAATTTTTTATTACGATGCAAGTGAGAATGAGGGAGGGAAGCAAGCCTGTATTGACCACAGTCCCCACCCCCACGCACGGTTATCCTCATTCAGGGGAGCATACCCCCTCCTCCAGCGGCAGCGAAACGCCCATGCGCACAGCCGGAAACCAAATTTTAAACACATTGAAAAAGCTGCGGCAGGGTCGAGTTCGCCTCAGTCCTTCTGGGTCTGGGTCAGTTCTGGTCCCGTCCCAAATCTCAGCCTGCACAAACATTAAGCGCCTACTGTGTACGTGACCAGGACGATGCTAAGCGCTGGGGACACAAAAGCAAGAATGAGCCCTTCAGGAACCCGCGGTCTAATGGGGGAGACAACGGCGCAAACAGGGACAAAATGGGGATCGTGCGGGGGGAAGGCAGGCACCAGGACGCGGAGACCTTGGGGGTCGGGGGGCATGAGGGGCACAGTGAAGCCGCCTGGCAGCTGCCTCCCTCCCCGCCCCCCTTAGCAGACACAGTTTCCAGAGACCCCCAAAACGCAGGCGCTACGGGAGACGGAAGCGTTTCAGCTCTAGCCCCGTGATCCTCCCCTCCCCTTCCCGCAGGACGCAAGCTCCGGGGACAGGGAGCTACGATGACGGAAGAAACAGCAGGCGCTCATCAAAACGTGCTCTTTATTTTTCAGACGTGAGCCCCTCGCGAGCAGAGCTGCGCCCAGCTTAACTAATTAAGCCAGCGCTTGGTAAATGCCTTATTCCCCGAAGCGTCCGCCGAACCAGAAGCTCCTCGACCATGCTCAGAGCGTACAAACTTAGAGCCCTTCCCCTTCCGTGCCACAGCAGAACCCCGCGCACGCAGTCGGAACCCAAGCTCCCCAAAACGGAGCTGAGCTCTTCACCCCACGTGCCCGCCCCCAAGCTCAAGCCTTCCGGATCTGGCCCAATCCGGCCCTTCCCCTGTGCTGCGCGTGCGCGACGGCGCTGCCTGACCCCGCGCGTAAGCGGAGGGCGGGACTTCCCTCTTCGCGGCGGCTCAGGATTCGTTGCCCGCTCTCTGCCCCGGAAGAAGTAGGGAGCCTTCGGCCAGGAGAGAGGGACGGCTCTGCTTGTGGGCCAAGATGCTGTGTGGTGCCCGGCAACACCTGCAGAGGCGGCTTTTGCCCGCCCTCCTGGGGAGCAGGGGCTGTCCGCCAGGGCGACGTGAGCCGCTGGGCAACCCCAACCCCCTCCTGCCTGTGGCGGCCTGTGCCTATGGTGCCGCCGCGGGGCCGGCCGGGGCCGGCAGCTGGTACGAGACCCTGGCCACGTCAGCCCCAGCACACTGGGCGGAGGCGGTGCTCTTGGGAGCGCAGGACGCCACGGGGCTGCCATGGTGGGCCAGCATTATCGTCACCACCGCCGTCTTGAGGAGCGCTGTCACACTGCCCCTAGCCGCCTACCAGCACTACATCCTGGCCAAGGTGAGCGCGCGTGCGCGGGGCGGGGAGGAGAGCCAGACAACTCCGCCCCCTACGATCCTCCGGTAGTGCGCAGCCTCTAGCCACGCCCCCACGAGCCCACCCTCGTGCGCAACTTGAGCCCCGCCTCCCGCAGGGGCTGCCCTACGAGTGCGCAGGTTCGAGCGCCGCCCCCTGCGGCATCTGTCCTTGTGTGTAGGCTCGAGCCCCGCCCACGTGCGCAGCGGACTGGAGCCCCGCCCCCAGTGAGAGCTTAGCTCTGCCGCGGGGCAGAGGTAGGGATGTACATGCTTGCGTACGTATTCACGTGTGCAGGTCCATACAGGCACACGCATGGTAGTAACTTTAGGGCACAGCTCCATCCATCAGCGGTGCATCCGTGTGCCAGTTTTCCCCAAGCCCTCCCACATTTCTTCTTTTCCTTTGTTGTCAGCTTTGCCATTCACGTGGGCGTGAGGTGGAATCCCGGAAGATGCTTTAATTGGAAGGTCTCTAGTAGCGATTTGGAGCATTTTTAAAATGTGACTATAAGTAGTTGGATTTCACCCCTTCAGAATTTGCAGTTTATATCCCCTGACCGTTTATCAATTGGAAAATAGCTCAGTTTCGTATTCCTTAGAAATGAGGTCAGCAGAAAAGCTTGCTGCAAAGATTTTTTTTTCCAGTTGTTTCCATTCCAGTATTAGTTGCATTGGATTTCTTTGTTCAAAAGCTTTTTAATTGTACATGACAAAATTGTCCATTTTTTCTCATGATCTTCTCTATCCTTTGTTTGGTCATGAACCCTAAACCTGTCCCTATATCTGAATTGTAATATTTTCCATTTTTCTCTAATTTGTTTCAGGCTGGCCAACAGGTCATGAATAATTTTGGAGTTTATCTTGGCACATGGCCCCCGGGGTTGGCCTAAACCTGATTTCTGCCAGACTGCTGTCTACTTTTCTCACTGTTTTTGCCAAATAGTGAGTCCTCTTTACTCCATTGACAAGGGTCTTTGAGATAATTGCACACAAGGTTGCTGGATTAATTTCTTCCTCTATGTTATGTACCTGATCTGTGCAGCTGGTTCACCTATTTTTTTTAGCCAGTATCAGATTGTTTTGATGGTTACTGCTTTGTAGTGTCATGTGAGGTCTGGTACTCCTAGAGTCCCCTTCCTGGCAGTTTTCAAAGGAGGAAAGTCTGACTGTCAACAGCTATATAAAAAGGTGCCCCAAATCATAGATAATAAGAGAAATATAACTTGAAACAGCTCTGAGATTCCACTTTGTGCGGATTAGATTAGCAAAGATGACAAAAATGGAAAAGAGACATTGGTAGAGCCACAGGAGAACAGGCAGACTTGATGCATTGGTGGCGCTGTGCATTTGTCTAACCAGTCTGGAAAGTAGTTTGGAACTATATCCGAAAAGCAGCTTAACTGTACATGCCCTTTGAGCCAGCAATACCTCTATTAGGCGTAGACCTCCAGAAGATCAAAGAAAGAATGGAAAGGGGCCCTTGCTACAGAAACATAGTGGTGCTTTCTGTTGTTATCAGGGCCTGGAGGCAGAGTGGTTGCACACCAGCTGGGAAAGGGTGGCTGAACACGTTATGGTTTGTGTAGGTGATGAAAGACTCCGGTGCTGTAAGCAGTTCTGAAGGGGCATGGTTTCAGGGAATCCTGAGAAGATGAGTGTGAGCTGAGGCAGTGAAACGCCAGAATCAAGGGAACAATTTATGCAATCCCTACAGCAGCGTAAAAGAAAATAGCTTTGAAAGGATTTACAACTCTATCAATGCATGAACCACTTATGACTCCAGAAGACTGAGGATAAACCTTTTCAAATGGTTCAAATTGCAAACCTTGAAGCCCACTTATTATTAGGAGTTATTTTCATGTTTTCCCACCTCTTGGCAAAGAGATAATGGACTAGAAGTACGTAGAGAGGACATATTTTCAGACACGGTCAATATGTAGATTTGCTTTGTTTGGCAATACTTGTTACATGAGATGGCTTTTATTTGTTTCAGAGTAAGGAGTGATGAATGCTCCACAGCATTCATTTTATTTCGGGAACTCTAGGTGGGTCATGATAGTAATGACATCACGAAGAACGTCCACAAAGCATGAGAAAATAGAAAGATTGCAGGGCAGAGTTAGGGAGAAGCACAGGTAATGAGCAGGACAGTTTGGGTGCTATCATGTTGCAGTTAATACAGATTTTTAAAATATGGTGAAAGTTCATAGTTTCGTATGCAGTTCTCTTCTGTTCATGTTTATTGATGCCATAATAGAAAAAAAGGCATCGTTAAAAATAATGAACAGAATTACGCCATCGATCTTCTAATAGAAATCTCTGTGTTGAAATCCATCCATTAGTCATTATTCTTTGTGTCTGGTCATTCTGTGAGGTGATTATTTTTGGGGTTTTTTTGTTTTTTGGGTTAGGCCATGAGGTTAAGTGACTTGCCCAGGGTCACACGGCTAGTAAGTGTTATGGGTCTGAGGCCAGATTTGAACTCAAGTCCTCCTGAATCCAGGGCTGGTGCTCTATCCACTGCACCACTTAGCTGCCCCAGAGGTGATTATTTTTTATCCTCTCAGTAGATTAACCTTTCTTGTACTCAGGTCTAAGGTTATGCATGTGCATTGTTTACTTTTTTGAAAATAAAACAGGATGGAGGGAGAAAGAAGCCCAAGTGACTATAGATAAAAATTTTAAATGTGTTCATAACACATTCTACTTTCTTTTTAGCTAGGTGGAAAATTTGCAACCCGAAATAAAAATAATTGCCAAAAATCTTAATTATGACATTGCACTTCGAGCAAAACAGTTGGGATGGTCAAAAAGACTAACTAGGTAAGATAATTTGCACATGGGAGACACTTATTAAATATTAATTTAATATAATTTAGTAACTAAATGCAGATTATAAAAGACAAATTTTCAACACAGTGTCTGAATGATGTTAGCAACTATCGTTAGACATTCCAAATTTTTGCCAGGAAAATGTTCAGCCTTTCACCTATTTTAATGTGTTTTTGAAGACTCATAGCTTCATTAGTGTATCTTTTCATCGTAAATAATCTTTATTATAATATAATTTAAACAGATGCAGTGAAGTAAGAATTTTAACAGCAACATTATTCACATCGATTATGACAGGTTACTTATAAACTTTGATGTAAATTAAATGGATTTTTAAAGATTTTAAAGTGAAATTTCTTTGTTGACATTTACTTGGATGGCCCCTTGTGAAGTTTATGGTAATAGAAGACTGGAAAACTATATAGCATCAACTTAGTTTATGCTGTGGATATGAGATGCTAACTTGGGGTGTTGTTTATTATAGAAGTTTTTTTAAAAATGAATTTTAAATGACTTTTTCTTCCTCTCTTCATTCAGGCTCACTTATTTGAACAACATGAGGAGGATTGTTTCAGAGCTGTATGTTCGGGATAATTGTCACCCATTCAAAGCCACTCTGCTGGTATGGGTTCAGATACCAATGTGGATCTTTATGTCTGTTGCCCTGCGGAACTTCAGTCTAGGGATAACGGATTCAGAAGGTGATCGTTTCCCTCACAGCACTTTTCCCTCTTTGATTTTACCAAAAAATTATTTTCTTGTTTTCATATTATGATAAAAAGTAATAACATTGTTTATTGTATGATTTATGAATATTAGTTCTTATATCCCTTTGGTAACATAAGATGCTTTTAAATCTCTAAAGCACGCATGTGCGTAAGGCAGGGCTTTTTTGTTTTTGTTTTTGCAGTGGCTAGAGGGGAGCAATGGTATAAAGATATCTAGATAAAGCCAATAGGCAGTTCTGTTTCATGATTCAAGGAGTGATGATGTGCATCTCAGTGCCGTGGTGGCTGGGGAGGGTTTATTTAATAAAGCACATGATTGGCATAGACAAAGGTCTGCTGTCATCCCAAGGTATGTTATCTATGTCATGACAGCTTCCGAGATTTATCAAGCCCGAGAAACACAAAGTATATACACAGACAAGGTAACAAGTGATTGTGGCAGGTAGGAGATGAGATGACTGAGGGAACAAAGGTTCAAGCTTCTGAGCATTTCGATTTGTCAGAACCAGGCCCCTTCCTCAGCTGAGGTCCTTGAGGGGAGTAGGATGGCTAGTGGCTAATGGTGGGAACGGAGTGAGCCACGCTGACTCCGTTTTGTGACCCACTTCTGGAGCCAGCTCACTTCCCTTCCAGTCCAGTTATGGGTCCAGCCCGACTTCTGTCTTGTAAGAAAACGTTATTAAATTGTGGGAATTGGGAGAAAAGCTTATTGCGTTTTTGAGCCTGTCCCTGCGAGGCCGGAAAGCTGGACCAGCTCTGCCTGCTGCTCAGAGACCCTTAGCTAGGGCCCGGGTTGTATGACCAGGAGCCCAGGCACACGCAGAGCTTGGTGCCAGGAGTTCTCTCACACTCGTACATCTCGAGCAGCCCATGTGTCTTCTCTGAAAACTGGCCCCGTGCTGATCCATCAGGTGTGGTTTTCACGTTCCCTTGATTGTTTACAGACGCTTGGGGGGCTGGGGCACCTCTTTTTTTAGTTTGGGGAACTGCACCTGTTTGCTCTCTTCCTCCCAACTGGGAAAGTCCCTAATCTTTCCTGCAGTTAGAAATCAGATTCCCTAATTTTGTATCCTGCTTAATTGTTTTCTTTTAGTTAATTAGTCTTATTTGGTTACTTGTTTTTAACGTATAAAAATCTGTCTCCCCCGGATTTGGGGTCCAGTTCCAAAGTTGAGGAAGGTTCCTAGTCCTGATTTGTTTTGGCAGCGGCTTTGCATTGCCATGCATTGCTTAGTGAATTGGTGTGCTCAGAAGCTTGATCCTTTGTTTCCAGGCATTTATTTCATCTCACTCGCTGCATGAAATTACCTGAAGGCACCTAGGTAACATGGTGGATAGAGCTCTGGGCCTGGAGTCAGGAGGATCTGAGTTTAAATCTGGCCTCAGGCATTTACTAGCTGTGTGACTCTGAGGAAGTCTCTTCACTTCTGTCTGCCTCAGTTTCCTCCACTCTAAAATGAGAATAATAGTAGTAGCTAACAGGGTTGCTGTTGGGATCAAATAATGGATTATTTGTAAAGCACTTTGCCTGGCACGTAGTTTGGCTAGATTGCAGTTCACCTGATAAACATCTGCAGGTTGTAGGGGACTACAGGCTCATTAAGAGGCAACAGTGATAGGGCAGCCAAAGAATGAGTGATTTGCTAGGCTTCATTGAAAGAAGAACTGTGTCCAGAACAAGGGACATCATAATTCCCTCATTGTCTGATTAGGGCAGAATCTGTTTGGAGTTATGTTTAATTCGGTGCCACATTCCTGATGAAAATGAACAAGCAGGAGGGCACTTGGCGGGAATGTGTGAATTAAAATGGCATATCAGTATGATGAACTTTAAAAATGACTCCAAGTATTTGAAGGGATGTCACGGGGAAGAGAAGCTGGTCTTCCTCTGCGTGGACTCAGGCCAGAACATTTGAGTAGCAGTGGCTGGAAGCTGCAGACAGTAAGGAAGAGGCCCCTAAGAATCAGGACCTTCCCCAAATGGAATGGACTGTTCCAAGGTTTCTTTCGTGCCACATGACTCAGTGAATGGATGGCCACTTATCAGGGATGCAGAGGGCATTCCTGTTTAGATTGTTGTTTGTCCTTTGTTCTTAAAGAGGACCATGACCTCAGGGAGGAGATGCCATGACATGAAAGTGAATTGGATTTAAGTGAGGGAGAGCTGTGCTAAGTCACCAGCCTCACTTTCTCCTCCAGAGCCATCTGGGTCCAGTGGCAAGATAGAGACCAGGGTAACTGGAGATGGCCCTGGCAGTAGGAGACCTTGGCCTTTTAACAAGCTAAGGTCTTGTAACAGGTCTCAGTTTGACGGAGGCAGCGCCCATTCAGTGATTCAGGCTGGGTAAGACTGGAGGCCGAGAATGGCCTCTTTTATTTAGTCAAAAAAAAAAAAAATCCATCTGAGAGGGGAAGGACCTTCAGGGTTTCTGGCCAAAACAGAAACAATTGCTATTTACTTTTACTCTGAGCCAAGGAATGTGCATTTTGATCTCTGAAACCTCCCCAGATATTTTGGGCTTCACATACCTAGATTTTGTTCTTACAGACCATGCCTTAAACCCAAATCACTCTGGCTCTCGTTGATTGGCCAACAGTAGGTCCCTGGCTAAGCCCCACTTGGTCATTGTTTGAATCCCGTGTAGGTAAGTTTTGGACTAAGTAGCTTTTGAGCTCTTTTCCAATCCTGTGATTCTTTTGTAGGTTGAGTCACTGTAGAATTGATATATCACTTCTTTAATTCTGATTACTAACTGGAAAAAAATTTTTATTAAAATTAGACCAGGCGAGAAAAATTTCCACTTTCTACCTTTAACACACAAGGAGGAAAAACAAATAGTGTAAGATAAAACAGCTCTTCAAGTTCACATAGTCCCACAACCTGGGGGAAAAATTAGGCAAAAAATGTAAAAGAAGAAGAAAAAACTTGTGGGCTAATAATAATCTTAGTCTAAAATAAAGACTCTACTAGTACGTGAGTCACCTCAGTTCATGCATTTTCTGTTTCTACTTTTCGTAAGAATTGTAATCTCTCAGTTTGTAAAAAATATAACATGTCTTTTTTCAGGAGACTTTTCTATTCGGGAACAATTTTCAACAGGTGGAGTCCTGTGGTTTCCTGACCTCACCCTGCTTGATTCCACGTGGATCCTACCAATCTCACTTGGAATTCTCAATTTGTTAATAGTGGAGGTAAATTGTTTAAGTTGAGAAATTTTTTTTTTTTTGTTAAGTGTACATTGAGGATGAGTTGAACAATAGAAAAGTAGTCCTTGAAAACTTTGTGTTATATGTGTGTTTGTGTGTTAGACCAGCCAACGGGCTTCTTTAAAGTCTTGATTTGCAGATAACGTAGTCATTTAAAGTTAGGATGGCAGGAATATTATTAATGTAGATGGAGAATGTCAGTAGGTCAGATACTAATCAGGTAAAGGAATGTTTATAACATGCATAATAATACGGATAGCTCACATTTATGGAGTATTTCAGAGTTTATGGGGCGCTTTGAGTGCCTTGTCTGGAGCGGACATAGGCGTTGGGGATACAGAGACAATATGAAATAGGCCTGGCTGTCACAACCCTTCCATTGTACTGGGGAAAGGGGGCATACAGCCTGCCCCCAGATAGATTAATACCGAGTGATGAGAGGAGGCACCGACGGATTGGTTAGGAGGGGAGGCCTGTGCAAAGGAAGGAGAGCGAATACCAAATAGAGGAATGCTGGGTAGGCCAGTTTGGCTTCAAAATAGATTGTGGCAGAGGGAAATAATATCCTGGAGAAAACAGCAGGAGAATAAAAAGGGGGAATGACGTCTTCCTGGGAAGCCGTCGTCTCCAAGACACTGTGATAGCGCAGCAGGGTGTGAGGGACTGGTTTAGGGGCGAGAATGAGAGTAGCATGGGGTCGTGGATTGAAGCTTGGGATGAGGAAGAAGACCAGGTGCAAATCTTCACTACGTGACCCTCCCTCTGCCTGTGCTTCGTAAAATGTCTGTAAAATGGAGGAGGTGGGCGTGGAAAGCCCTCAAGTCTGTGGTGCAGCGATCACAAGCTCACTTTGAAGCAGCGGTCAGGCATCTAGGCAGGTATGAGTGGCATGGTGGGGTACTGGCTCCAGAGTACCAGGGTTTGGGTTCAAATCCTGCCTCTGATGCTGGTTAACCAGTATAGCCTTGGGCAAGCCATTTAATCTTCTTTGGTTTTAGTTTCCTTACCTGTAAAATGAGGGGATTGGATGAGGAGGCCTCTGAGATCCCCCTAGGTCTGGGTCTGTCATCCAGCGTGTCCTGTGTGCTGTTGGAGACCAGAGTTCCGCACTGGACTTGTGCAAGGGGTGTCATTTGTGTAAAGGTGGTAACTGAAGCCATTGGAGTCCATTGAAATTTCAGAGGCAGAGAGTGTGAAGAGAGAAGGCAAAGGGGAGGCCTAGAAAAACACCCACATCGAAGAGTCAGGAAAGGAAAAAGGTGAGAGGCAGAGAGAGGAGCCCCGTTGGATACGGTGAGAAGCCCAGGAAGAGAAATGTCCACACTGGGATGAGTGGGCGGCCAGCAGCTCAGGTCTGCTGAGAAGTGGAAATGGCTGCTGGATGTAGGGATTCTTTCATGGGTGACCTTGGGGAAAGCAGTGTCAGAAGCATAAGGGAGGCAGGAACCATATTGCAGAGATTGAGAGGGTGGGAAGGGGGGTGGGTAGTAAGGAAGTGGAGATGTCCGAAGGGTCAGGGAAGGCTTTTGTTTTAAGATTGGAAAGATCTAAAAAAAAAAAATTGGGAAGATTTGAGCATATTTGTAAACATTCAGACTGTACTGATATAAAGATGTGTGTATGTATGTGTATGTGCATATGCATGTATATATGTGTATGTGTGTGTGTATGTATATACATATATGTATAAGAAAGTACACATTTTAAAATGTCGTCTCTCAGCTATGTGTTAGCACTGTGTTATGGAACAGTTTTGAGGAAAATATTAATATATCTGTATCTATATCTTCATATATAGAAATGTTTCAGGCAGGAGAAAAGAAAATGAAACTACTCCATGCAAATTTTTTTTTTCAATTACACAAACATCTGTGCATAAGAGACTTTCAACTCTTATCTTCAGATAATAAAAATTTGATGCTAACTCGGGTGTTGAGAACCTTTTCAGTCTTTAAAGATCATTCGCCTCATCTTAGGTGGCCAGTTCTACTGCAATCCCAATAACGATGGATTAACTAGATCAATTATCATGCTTCTGCCCACACATAACAACTGTTAGGACATAGGAATGAGACTGTGAAGTGTTTACCCACATACACAGAATGTCTATTTGTACATTTAGGGAACACAGTCAGTTATAGCACTTGAATGAAAAGCAACTCAAGAAGAAAAATAAAGATCTACAAAAATAATGAGTATTATTCACTTAGAGTCTAGGCTTGGGAACAGAATTAAACCTGTATTCGTTATTTCAGCTGAATGAAATTATGGCAAATCCCTGAAATGTTCTTGCAGCTCCACACATGAGATAGAAATGTATAGAGATGACCCTTCCCAAAGGGTTACTTTCAGCCCCGAAGCCTCAAGGATCATCAAAGTCAGCATTCACACAGATCACCTAGTGGCTTCCGGGCCTGATTACCCCCTTGCCCCATAGCCTCTGATCACAGGTAAGCAGCTGTCTGCTTCTCCACCCGGCACAGCCCTGTCACCCGTCCATGTTTTCTACAGAGATGACATAGCTGCAGGCTGGTTGCCTGTATTCCCGTAGTGATGGGCGTTTACTGAGCACCCGTAAGGAGTGAGCAGGAGAAAGGACAGGAGGTCAGGGAAGCAAACACATGCTAATAATTTTATTTTTTGGTTACATAAATGTGTTTGTGACCACCTCCCAGCTCTGTGTCCTCAGTGATGCAGAGGCAGGGGTGGAGGCTCTTCATTCTCTAAAGACCACTAGCTTCTTTTTATTTTTTCATTTATTTTTCTGGTTGCTAGTGCCTTTTATTGTTTTGTTTTGTTTTGTTTTTTTAATTTTTAAATTTTTTTTTCTTTTGGACTGAAACACATAATAGAGAAAAGAAAAAGAAACATATTATGAACTTAAATATTGAAACAAGCCTCTTTTTAGGTGGCATAGTTTCTTATTAGCAGCAAGTCAGACTCCTCCGTTTAGAGATTACAGATGGCTGTTTAATAAGTTTTTTTTTTAAGTAGAGGAATAGCTAATTGAACATGTTCTCTGTAAGACAGAAAGACTTCTCAAAGGGTTGAGTTCAAGTTTTAAAAATTTATTGACCTTTCTTATGAGGTGCAAAATTCAGTTTTTAGTCAAAATTTATCTAATTTGATTTGCATTTTATGTCCGTGTATGTGTTTTCTTCCCCCTTCAGATTTTTGCGTTACAAAAACTTGAAATGTCCCGCTTTCAGAAGTATGTCACACATTTTACTCGTGGAATATCCGTGCTGATGATTCCCATTGCTGCAACTGTACCCTCAGTAAGTAATCTAGAACGGTGAGTGCACTGTATGTTTTGGTGAAATGGTGTTTATTAAATCCCAAGAGGCCCAACTCAAGTCTGACAAGACTGTTGCATGAAGTCTGACCTTCTCGTCACTTCTTCCTCAGCCTGTCTGTGTGGCTTTGTGCCTTGTTTCCTGGGAACCTCGATTTCTCCCTCTTTGTACTCATCCCCAGCAACTGGCATGGTGCATTACGTGTAGTAGTTGCTTAATAAATGTTTATTGGATTGCCCATCGTAATTACTTACACTTAGTTTGATAAGTTCATTAAACTCCCAAATCAGATGGAGTCTAAACCATAGAATTTGGGGATTGGGATGTCCTCTGTATAAGGTGATCCTGGTGAGAAAACTCTGTCTGCTGGCACAGGTCATCATCTCTTCCGAGCCCAGTGTCTCCTGCGAGTGCCCCAAGCAGCGACCTTGTCCAGGGGTGGGACTGCACCCCGCCTTCCTGACACAGAGGCCAGCTCTTTGTAGGCTCCACGCACCACCACCTTTCAATGATGAAGCTGTAATACAATTTAGTATTTCATCATATAATGCAGAAAGTAATGTCCTAATCTTTGGTGTTACTTCCTGAGTTTTGATCTTGTCTCTCTAACTGAATTGTAAGCTCGTTGAGGACAGGAACTGGATACTTCTGTATCCCTCCTAGTACCTAGGAGAATGCTGAATATTCCTAATATTTGGAATTCAGTAAATGCTTTTTGATTAATTGGTTAAACAAACCAATAGTTTGATTAACACATAGTCCCTCCTCCCAGGGAGCTCAAATAATACCTGGAGAAGAGACACATAAAAGGGTAAGAAACGCCCGCGAGGGCTCAAGCCACAGGGCAGCTGATGCCACATGACTGTGTGTGGCTGGTCCGTGGAGCTTCCTGAATGGGCCAGAAAGGGGCCATCCTGTTGGCTTGTCCTGGCTTCCTGCGGAGAATGCCATAGAAGGGCAAGTCTGGTGACGGATGGAGCGCACACACACCGAACTGGGCAGTCATCCAGCCCGACGGACGTAGGCTGAATGCAGCATCGGCTCTGCAGCTGTCAAAGGCCTTATAGCTGGCAGAGCGATACGCCGGAAAGGAGCAGCACCGCCTGTGCTCACTCTCCTGGGCGTGCATGGCGCTGATGCTCGTGTCTGTTTCTCTTTCTAGTCCATTGCGCTGTACTGGTTCTGCTCCAGCTTCTTAGGCCTCTCACAGAACCTGCTGCTGCGCTCCCCGGGATTTCGCCAGCTCTGCCGCATACCACAGACGAGATCACAGTCAGACACTCCTTATAAGGACCTCTTCGCTGCCTTTTATGCCAAGTTCTTTTTAAGAAAATGACCTCTTCCTCAGTGACTCTGGAATAAATCTGACAGCTGCGTCACTTAAAAATGGAAGGTTAAGATTTTGCTGACGGTTCTTCATGTGAAGCTCTCTTATGTGCTGTACAATTCTGTTAGCTAGGGTTTAAAATGCTGTTTGCAATATATGACACTTGTGTTTTAGACGAGTGAAGATCTAGCCAAGTAAGCTTTGGTGGTTGGATTGTGGAAAGAAAATTTGTTTTATATCTGAAGGATGAGTGGGTGGAATTTGTTAGGATTTCAGGAAACGATTAAAATCCTGAATTGCAAAAGGGAAGTATCAATAAATCCCACACGTCTAAAATGGAGAACTGACTTCTCTGAAAGAAAAGCATCTGTTGAAATAGCAACTGGTAGTATTGCAGAGAGACTAACTGTATGTTAGGTTGAATATAATAGATGTAAAAATTGTAAGAAAACCAACCTTATGGAATCATGCCTCTCAAGTCTTCCCTGAAATAATTCAGTTGTTGTTATCTTCTTCACGCTTCAATAAACTTGGACGTCTCTGCTAAAATACAAAGGGAGGAGAGCAAGTTTTATCGGTGGTTCCACACCTTTGAGGAAAGGTTGAACAACTCGGGTGTTTTCAAGAAGAGGAAAGAATAGAGAAAATGCTAGCGAGAGAATTGAGAGAATTATCACCCTCTCGTTCAGACCACCATTTTATAAATGAGCAAGTAGGCCCAGATGTTAAATAGCTTACCTAGTAGTGGTGGGCTTGTGCTTAGTATTCACATCAGACTGCCAAGATCGTATGCTTTGCATCCCATGACATCATAGGTTGGGGCAAGGGAGAAATAGAGTAATAGCTTTTTTGTGTTTGTTCCTAGAAGCAAGATTAAAGGGTACTCGAGTGTAGTGGTGTCAAACTCAAGTAGACATCCCTGAGGGCTGCATATTGACTTAGAAAACCACAAATTTACATTATCTGTGTTGTATTTTATTTTTTATCGACATTTCACAATTGTATTTTACACATATATATAAATGGTTCCCCTGAGCTTGATACCTCTGCCCTGTTGAGTTCTAAGTAAGTTAGAGGTTTAGCAGGGGAAAAAGATCTAAAAAAGTCTGGAATGGCAAAATTTGTCTCAAAAGAAATTCTTAGAGCTAAGTTAACTTGAGACAAGGTGAGAGATCAGTGTTTCATTACTGCGTACACTAATCTTCTGTTTCTAATCCAGTCCTTTCCCAATTTTTTCACATCACTTCCCAGTTTGTCTTTTCAACCTGCCACCTGATAGTACTCCCATTTAAAAAGAAAAAAAAAATGGCTCTCCATTACCTACAAAATAAAATCTAAACCCATAATCCAACATTCTAAGGCCTTCCACAATTGACTTCTGTGCCTCTTTCTATCCTTTTCTCCCGCTGTTCTTCATTGTCTCTGTTGAAAGCAGCTGATGATTCTCTGTCACAGTCTGATATTCTGCCTTGTGTCCCTTTGCCTTTACTCATTACCTTCCATCACTACAGTGGTTTTGATCTGGCTCTTTAATGCCCGACCTGGCTGCCCCTTCTCAGAAAATTTGCTCCCATTTTCTTAACTCCGTGTCCCTGTTACAAAAGTGATTACCTCAAGTATTTCATAGCACTTTGCCTGAACCCTTCTCAGTGGTTTGTAAGTTCCATGGAAGAAAGGTCAGGAAGACCTGAATTCAAATCTGGCCTCAGACACTAGTAGTGTGACCCTGGGCGAGTCCCTTAACCCTGTTTGCCTCAGTTTCCTCATCTGTAAAATGAGCTGGAGAAGGAAATGGCAAACCACTCTACTGTCTTTGCCAAGAGAACCCCAAATGGCATTATGAAAAGTGATATATGACTGAACAACAACAATAAAAATTAAAAAATTATACTAAGGAAATATGTGGAAGAAAACAACTTTAAATGTTAATTTTTACATAACTTTAAGTGTGTATGGACTAAATAATTCGATAAAGTGAGAGTGGTAGAATGGCAAAGAAAGTATAACCCCACAGTCCTTTGTTTACAACAGACTGATCTAAAAAGCAGACACACAGAACCAAAATAAGAGGCAAGAACAAAATTTAGTATGCATCAGATGAATATAAAAACACTAGAATTACGGTCATGTAATCAAAACAAAAATAAAAATTTGCATCAATAGAGATAAGGAAATTAAAAGAACCCTAGACAACCATTATCAATATTAGACCTATGTGCACAAATTGATAGAACATTTAAATTCAGAGAAAAAGTTGATAATTACAAAAAGACATAGTTAATACATCAGTAGAAGGAGAATTTGATGTTCCTCTTTCAGAGCTTGACAGATCTAGAAGAAGCAACAAATAAAGGGAAAATATGGAACTGAACAAACTTGAAAAAGTTTGGGCTAAAAGATATACGATTTCTTCTAAATGGAAACATTTAGGTGTATACGTATTTTCCAGTACCGTATGGCACATTTACAATGACAGATCATATACAAAGAAATTATATTAAAAAATTGGAAATTCTAAACATGTAGATCAAGACAATAAAATATAAATTAATTTAAACACAATCAAAGGACAGAGACCTAAATGGACAACTGACAACAAAATCCTGGATGTTGCCAGACACGGCTCTGCTTTGTGCTGTTAGATACTGTTTTCCCTAATGTGATTCAGAAGGCCGTTGCTAGATATTGCTACACTGTAACTTGTCCACCGTCGCTCTGCTAGATACTTAGAGACCTTGTTCTCTTCTACTGAACTCCTTGACCACCATACTACTATATAGTTTTAACTACTTTTAGTAAAAGCATAACCCTTACGCTAGGACTAATGGAAGGCACCTTCATTTTGTACTCCTTGAGCACCAGTAGGAAATTCCCAGGCCCAGGTTCTAAGCCTTGTAGAACAAATAGCATAGTAATACTAGCAAGCTGTTGGCCTAAGGCTTAGTTTTTTCTCTTTTCCTGCAAATCCTTCCTTGCATGAGGGGGCTAGATGCCTTTTGTTAGAAATCTGATTTTAGTTTATGGTGATTAATCAATATGTTACTTAACTTTGTTTCTCTACAGGCTAAGACATGTTCCAGACAATGGTTGGTCATTTTCCCATTAAACTACAAAACAGCTCTGGAGTTCAGGAGTCTCTTAGTTTTTACTTCTGAATTTTTCCCACTTGTCCATGGAAATGAGTGGGCACAGAAAGAGATCGAGAGGTATTCCAAACCTAGGAAGCAAGATCATTGTTTCTGCTAACTCAGTGAATTCCTGGTCTTTCCATGTGCAAATATTGCCACCTACAGTCTGAAAAAGGCAAAGCCACAAAGTGACTTCACCACGTACCCTTCTCTCTCTCTCTGTCTCTCTCCACACACACCCACACACATACATACACAATATAGAACAAAGGGAACGGACAGAGAAGGGAGTATTTATTAAGCACCTATTATGTTGTACAAAGTGCTTTACAAATATTTGATAGACGACAACATAGGCCATGTGTGGGATTACATATGTGTGTATATATCCGTATCCATACACATAAATATTATTTATCTCTACTATATTCAGATGTTAGTAGAATTCTAATATGTGTATATATGTATATTATATGTATATATCTGCACACACGTCTATTAATATATACATACATGTATGTATGTGTATACACACATTTATAGAAATTCTAATTTCATATACATACGAAATTAGAATTTCTTAAGTGTTAGGCACTGTGCTAAGTGTTGGTGATACAAATATAGGAAAACAAGATGACCCCTGTTCTCAAAGAGCTTACATTCTAAAAGGGGAAGGCGGCACTTTCAGGGAAGCTGGAAATCAGACAGGAGGAAAGGTACCCATGTGAAGGCCAAGCAGCTGGTACAGAGGTGGAGCAATCTGGAGAGTGCTTTGAGCCAGGAGTGCAGTGGGCAGGATGTCTGGGACTCCTCAAGAAATGGTGATGTAAGCAAGGACTCCCCAGTCACCTCAGGGCAGAATCATCTGAAGGGTGCAAGGAAGCTTCTGCATAGTAGACGGCTTCTTACAAAGCCCCATTTTGATCCTGGAGGTAGCCCTGGGCTCTCGGAGGACGTGCCCGCCTTTTTGGTTCGTGTCTTGCTGTGGCTGAAGGATTCATCAGTAAGTGTCCAACTTATTGATAATGACCCTCTACACTCAGGCTGATCTTTAGCAGCAGGCACGGTCTTCTAGACCCATGCTGTTCTTGCCCAAGATGCAGAGTCAGCGGAGAGGTGGGAATGGTGAGTGGGATCTAAGGGCTGTTATCTATTTTGTGAGTTTTCCTGAAATTTTGCAGTACTTCTGTCTTCTTGTCTTATGGATTCTGTTTTAGTAACTGTATTTTAAAAGTTTTTCAGGTTGGAGAAGTTTGCAAAAAACAACCACTCTGCCATCTTGACAGTTATGTGAACTACTATTGGAATTTCCATCTGGAAGTTTGATAAGCATCTGGGCCATGGGACCTAGTCACCTGGGGCCCCATGATATAATATTAATAATTATTGTGCTTTGAATTTTGCAAAGCATGTTGTTCACATTATCTCATTTAGGTCTCATAACACCCCTATGAAGCTGGTATTATTATTCCAAGATTTCACAGATGAGGAAGCAGTCTCAGAGAAGTTGTCCCTTGTCCATGGCCACACATTGAGTATAAGAGGTGAGATTTGTACCCAAGTCTTCCTGATTGTAGGTCTACCACCTCATCCATTAGCAATACAAAAAGAACATAGTCTTAAAGGAGAATAGAAGATAAATAACAAGAAATATGAATAAAGCAGTCAACAGTCTTACTACTCATTTCCCAAACTATAACCTCCCAAAATCCCAGGGATTGCAGGCTGTGAGTCCTCTTGGCTCTAATTCCTGCACCATTTTACCAGACAAGCCCTTAAAAGCTAGGAGAACAGGGAGAACAGGTTTGCTAATTAATTATCTCTGCATGTCCTGGATTTACTTCAATAACCTAGGGAAACATAAAAGGTGTTAGGAATTTATAAAGTGATCAAACCTACGAGTCCCTTGGGGGAGGGGGTACAAATTCCCTTCTCTCCCCCTCTCCTCGCTAATCTTATAATTATAGAGAAGCCAATTAGCCTCTGAGCTTTACTTTCTAGCCTCTGTAAAATAGGAATTATAATACCTCTACTAACTAATTATTGAATAGAATAGATGTTATGTTGAGGAACAAATATGAAAGACCTCAGAATGGCAATATAAAATCATGATGTTCCCTGAACTGAAGTTTTGTATACAGAGACGTGCCTGGAGAATTTATATAAAGCCAGTAAAAAGAGGAGAGAGGAAAATATAGATTATAATAAGATATTACTAATTCATAAATTGTAGTCTAGTGGAAGAAGCATTGGATTTATAGCTAAGAAATCTGGGTTTGAGACCTGACACTGCCACTTATTGAGTGTATGACCCTAGCCAAGTAATTTCCTTTTCCTAGGCCTCAGTTTCCTTGAATGTAAAACTAGGGGTTTGTAGTAGATGAGCTGTAAGATCCGTGTAACACTAAATATATAACCGTATGATTCACATTATTGTTGCTGTTCAGTTCTTTCAGCTGTGTTCAACGCTGTGACCCCATTTGGGGTTTTCCTGGCAAAGATACTGGAGTGGTTTGCCGTTTCCTTCTCCAGCTCATTTGACAGATGAGGAAGCTGAGGCAAACAGGGTTAAAGTGACTTGCCCAGGGTCGCCCAGCTCGGAAGTGTCTGAAGCTCGGTTTGAACGCAGGAAGACGAATCTTCCTGATCCCAAGTCCAGTACTTTACCCGCTGTGCTGCCTAGCTGCCCCATGATTCACATACATTGGCCTGTTGTGGATCTGCTCAGAGAATGATAAAAGAACCATAGCTCAGTTCAATGCAACATTTGTGTGTTAGC